AAATTGCTAGCACAACTTTGCAAGATAATGCTTTGGATCCCACTGTAGCTTATGGGATACCATTATTGCTATTGCTACATTCCATTATTCTCCCTATGATTTTAATATGTTGGATCTTACTCCTTCGAGTTCTGCGTAAATTAGGATTCATAACTTCTGCTGAAGAATCCAACATTGCAAAAAATATTAGCGAGATACCATTAGAGAGCTTGTGTCGAACTAAAACACACTTTTCATTACCAATTGAGCGGGTTGCCTAGCGCATTAAACTAGCACTGAATTGGCTCTAGTAAAAGGCTATGAAAATAATTGTTACCAGTTGAGTGCGGGTAGTTCGAGTGCCAAAAGAACTGGACATAAAATTATCGATTGATTGCCCGCCGGCCCGACTCGACACGGCCCCCGCTTCAGGCTACAGCCACCCGCGTGTCAAGAATTTCCTCAGGCCATATTTGATACCTTTTGGATTCTGATGCAATACTTTTGATCACCCAGCATCGACTTCGGAATCGCCTTCAGAATCGCCTCAGAATCCTTTCAGAATCGCTTCAGTTTCCCTTCAGAATCGCTGCAGAATCGCTTCAGAACCACTTCAGAATCGCCCTCAGAATCGCTTCGGAATCGCCCCCAGAATCGCTTCAGAATCACCCTCAGAATCGCTTCAGAATCGCCCTCACTTTACTTATCCCCCGCACTACTCCATTCAACCCCCACAACCTCCTATAGGATTGGGTTAACAAAGTATTGATCGATTAGAACAAGAGAGCCTGAAGAGACCGATTATATGGGAAGAGAAGAAATTTTTTCTCCGACTTCTCTAACCCAATAATCGGTCTCTTCAGAGCCCTCTTGTTCTAATCGATCAATACTTTAATAATGGTAATATAGTAGTGAAGGATTAGAAAATGTTTTTCCGTAAAGTGTTGAAAAAGTTTTATTCTGATTTGTGTATTTTTGTAAGAAAAATGTTTGTGTGCCAGAAACTTTTGTATTTTCTCGCTTTATAAACACTGTATTTTTACATTTTTTAAAACACAACATTTTTAAAGTGATATTAACATACCACGCGAGTTTTCTTTTTTTTTGTATATGTGTTTGTCAATTGTGAAAAAGGGGGTTGTGACCAAAAATGTGTCGCTTTAAATAGCAAATATTAAAAAAAATATTAATTTGTTTATAGTATATTAGTTCAACTTGTGTCTCGTTTTGTTCTGCGCGAAAAAATTATTTTTATTATTTTTAGTTGCAGCATTAAAATTTTTCAGTGATTTTTTCTTTGACTTTCTGCTTTTTTTCTCTATTAAATTAAAAATTAATAAAAAAATAATAATAAGAAATAAATTAATAATTTCTTTTATTAAATGTCTCTAATTAAAGAAACTAAAAATAAATTTTATTTTTATTTTTCTCGGCGTGATTTGCCCTTTGAAAATAAAATAATATTTTTTATAAGCAGGATTCTGCTCTGCATTTTTCTCGTCAAAAATTTTTCTTTTTTTTCTTTAATTTTTACCTTTTTTAATTTTTTTTTGTATAAAATGCATGCGCGCATTAATGCGATAAATTAGTGAGAAAATAAAAGAGTGGGGAGGGGGTTTGTGTTAAATACCAAAAAATATTAGTTTAAGGTGTCTATAAAAATTAAAATAAAAAATATTTGTTTATGAGATATGTTTAAAAAAGGTGTGAGAATTTATTTGTGTGTGTGTGTGTGGTCATTTGTGTTTTGTGTATTTCACTTTAAATAATTATGATGTTTTCCGGAATGTTTTTAAAAGACTTATAAATTTGTGTTTTATTTTAAATGTTTTACAAATAAAGTTTTGTGTTTTTGTTTGTTGTTTTTCTGGTTTGTGTTTTCCGGAATGTTTTGTGTTTTTGTATTTTTTGTTTGTTGTTGTTCTGGTTTATATGTTTTCCGGAATGTTTTGTGTTTTATATGTTTTCCGGGATGTTTTGTGTTTTATATGTTTTCCGGAATGTTTTGTGTTTTATATATTTTCCAAATGTTTTGTGTTTTATATGTTTTCCGGAATGTTTTGTGTTTTATATGTTTTCCGGAATGTTTTGTGTTTTATTAATGCTTTAGAAAATTATGTTTTCCGGAATGTTTCTAAAAACTTGTTTTTTAAGTTTTATTCTGGTTTATGTTTTTCCGGAAAGTTGTGTTTGTTTTGTTTTGATGTTTTGTTGTGTTTTGTATTTTTCCGGAATGTTGTTTCCTAATTGTTTTTGTATTTTTCCAGAATGTTTTGCTGAAATTATTTGTTCTGTTATTCTTCTGTTTTTGTTTAAATGACCTTAGAATCTCGATGACCTCAAAACTATTTGGGAAAGGACAAAAGCATTCCCGTTAAAAAAATTAAAAATTTATGTACATTCCATTCTCCGTTTTATTAAACTTTATTATATTAATTTTGAGTTTTGTTTGTGTGTGGTAATTAAAATAATTATTTTAAGAAATAGGAAAAAATGTTGAAAAAATTTTTATTTTTTGGTATGCGAAGAATTTTTATTTTTAAAAAATTTTATTTTTTTTTAATTAAAAAAATATTATTTTAAATCATTTTAATAATTAATTAATTCTGATATTTTTAATTAGTTGTTGTAAATTATTTCTGGAAATGTTATGTTTTTATTCTGCTATTTAATTCTGGTTTGTGTTTTTTCCTGTGTTTGTTTGTGTTTTTGTTTGTTTTACTTTTATGTTTTTCCGGAAGATTGTATTTTTATTCTGATGTGTTTTTGGTGAAGTTGTGTTTTTATTCTGCTATTTAATTCTGGTTTGTGTTTCTTCTATGTTTGTGTTTGTTGTTTTGTTTTAATGTTGTGTTTTTCCGGAAGATTGTGTTTTTGTGTTTTTATTCTGATGTGTTTTTTAAAATTATTTTATGTATTTTTTGTAGTTCTAAATTGTATTCTGATTTGTATTTTCCTTCCGGAACTGTTTGTGTTTTTTCGGATTGTGTTTTATTTTTTTCCGGAAGGTTCTGAGGTTGCGTTTTATATTAGTTTTAAAAACATGTTTTACATGTTTTTCTGACAAATACAAAAACATGTTTTCCGAAAGCAAAAACATTATTGTATGTTGTAGTTGTTGCAATAACGTTATGCTTTTCGAGACGGGAGGTGCTGAGATGTTTAAGGTTCGAATCCTTTAGTGGGGTTAATTAATTTAATTTTGTTATATTCTTCATAAATTTCCAAATTAAATTTAAAAAAAATTATTTTTCAATTAAAAAATTTTTTTGCTTCTAATTGCCCTCGTATTCTTCACTAAAATATTTTTATAACTTGAAACAGACGCCCACTACTACCACCAAAACCTACTTTTTTTCTTACTCACTTCCGTCTCAATCTCCATCCAATTCACCCTTTTATTTTTATTTATTTTTTCCCTCAATTTATTTGTTAGGAAAGGCCAAACACACACAACAAATCTGTTTTTGGCCAACTGCTTTCTCAATAAATCGATGGCAAAATATTTTCTTTTTACTTCTTTGATTAGGCTAAAAACTTTGTAAAGAAAGGATTGCAATGAAAATTGCAACTATTTAATTAAGCCTTTTATTTGTTTTCCGGAATGTTTACAAAATACAAATTTTTATTTGTTTTAATAATTTTTAGAAATAAGACATGTTTCCTCAATTTTCCTTAAATCCGGAAAACACACTCAATATTTTCCATCTTTCCGGAAAATACAAAAATAAGTTCTTTTAATGTTTTCCGGAAAATACCGAACAAATTTTGTTTATGAAAAATGTATTTCTCTAAAATACATGTTTTCCGGAAAAATTAAATGTAAAATACATGTTTAAGTGTTATAAGTTTTCCGGAAAACTAAGCAATGTTTGTTGTTAGAAACACAAACAAAGTGTTTCTAAAACATCATTTTCCGGAAAAACAATTATGAATGTTTCTAAAATACAAAAACAAGTTTTAAATTAAATCTAAGTTTCCGGAAAAAAATACAGAAACATTTTCCGGAAACAAAATACAAATTCTGAAATTTCGTGTTTCACGCTGAATTGTCTCTTCCAATATGACTTGTATTTTTATTTTTTAATTTAACACATTCTTTAAAAAATTTTTTTTTCTTTTTAAAAATACATGCAAAAAGCAAACACCTTTTTTTCACCAATCTTTTTTTTTCTCGCCAAAAAATATTTCCACCTTGTTACTATTTTACTATTATTTTAATACACATATCCTTTTCCTTAAGCACATTCCTTTCTCTCCTGCCAAAAAAATTTTTTTTCTTTTTATTTATCCAATCCATTTAAAAAAAAGCCAATTGTGCTCCTTAATCTCCTTGTTTAACTAAAATAGTATAGTTAAAAATGTGTCTGTTAGGATATTTTTCCTTTGCAAATCAAAGTAGATCACTAAAAGCTTTTTTCTATTATAAATGTATTTTATTGTGACCAAGAAATGTATTTTTTCAGAAATTAAAAAAACACAGTAAAATACAAGAAATCAGAATTTTGTGTTTTTATTACAAATCAGAATTTCGAAATTAGAATTTTTCAAACTTTCTAGAACCAGAATTTTAAAAATCAGAATTTCTAAAAATCAGAATTTTTAAAACCAGAATTTGTAAAAATCAGAATTTTTAAAACCAGAATTTTATAAATCAGAATTTTTAAAACCAGAATTTTATAAATCAGAATTTTGTATTTTTATTACAAATCAGAATTTCTAAAAATCAGAATTTTTCAGAATCAGAATTTGTAAAAACCAGAATTTCTGAAAAATCAGAATTTTAAAAATCAGAATTTTTAAAATCAGAATTTTTGCGAAATTCTGCAATTTAAAATCAGAATTTACAAAATAAAATAAATCAGAACTGAAGCATCTTTTTATAAATTAGGTTTTCAAGCGTCCACTACCAGTCATTTGAGTATTTCCTAATTTTTATTTTATTCTTTTTTTCTTAATTTTTAATTTTTTTTTTAATTTTCAGATTAGTCAATTTAATTAATTAATTTTTTTTTTAATTATTTTATTCTTCCTCTTCTTAAAATGTTTCATAATAGCGAACAACACCCTTTACATAAATATACTTATCAAATACCTGGTCAAGAAAAAGTTTATCCAATAACTAGTGATCAAATAAATTATCAACAACAACAACAAAATAAAGATTATAATATAGATAATACTTATGTTAATGGAACAAGTAGTAGTGGAGGTGGTGGAGGTTAGAATTTTTTTGATTTTTTTTTTCTGAATTCTGATTTTGAAATTATTTTCAGAATTTTAATTAGAATTTTTTTTAATTTCTGATTTTTGATTAAAGCTATTTTCAGAATTTTCTGATTTTTCTGATCAGAATTATTCTGATTTTCGACCAGAATTTTTTCAGAATTCTGATTTTTTTCTGAATTTATTTCTGATTTTTTTAAAAATAGGAGGAATACAACAACAACAAAAACACCAACAAAATTATCATACTAATGGAGGAGGAATATTAGAAAATCAACAAGAAGAAAATTTATTAAATCAACAATTTGATCAACAAATAAAATTGGATGATTTTATTTGTGTAAGATGTAATGATGGATTTATACCTTCCGAAACTGTTGTTAATTCTGGTGGGCAATTTTGGCATGCTGAATGTTTTGTGTAAGTGTTTTTGTTGTGTTTTTAAATATTGTATTTTTTTTGTATTTTTGTTGTTCTGAACAAGTTTATTTTAAATTCTGATTTTATCTGAACATGTTTATTTTAAATTCTGATTTTATCTGAACATGTTTATTTTAAATTCTGATTTTATTTGAACATGTTCATTTTAAATTCTGATTTTATCTGAACATGTTTATTTTAAATTCTGATTTTATCTGAACATGTTTATTTTAAATTCTGATTTTATCTGAACATGTTTATTTAAAATTCTGATTTTATCCGAACATGTTTATTTAAAATTCTGATTTTATCCGAACATGGTTATTTTAAATTCTGATTTTATCTGAACATGTTTATTTTAAATTCTGATTTTATCTGAACATGTTTATTTTAAATTCTGATTTTATCTGAACATGTTTATTTTAAATTCTGATTTTATCTGAACATGTTTATTTTAAATTCTGATTTTATCTGATGTGAACATGTTTATTTTAAATTCTGATTTTATCTGAACATGTTTATTTTAAATTCTGATTTTATCTGAACATGTTTATTTTAAATTCTGATTTTATCTGAACATGTTTATTTTAAATTCTGTGTTTTTCCAATATAAATATAAAATCAGAATTTTAAAAATAAACTTGCTCAGAATTTATTTAAAAAAAACCTTCTTTTTTCTTTCAAGTTGTGCTCAATGTTTTCAACCATTCCAGGATGGTATATATTTTGAATTTGAAGGACGTAAATATTGTGAACATGATTTTCATGTTTTATATTCTCCTTGCTGTAGTAAATGTAGTAAGTTTTTTTTTAATTTTTAGTGGGTTTTTAACGAAATTTTTTTTTCGATTTTTGCGGACAAAATTTGCGGATTTTTGAAAATATTAAAATTTTTTTTTAATTTTTCGGCTAAATTGACCCTTAAAATTCAATCAATAATTAATTTTTTAATTTCAAAGATGAATTCATCATTGGCCGAGTAATTAAAGCAATGAACGCGAACTGGCATCCGCACTGTTTTACTTGTGAAATGTGCAATAAACAATTGGCTGATGTTGGGTTTTTGCGTAATGCTGGAAGGTTTTTATTTTTAAGAAATTTTTTCACAAATTAAATAGGCTGTTAATAAATATGTAAATAAATAAGTTGCCCATTAAGAATGTGTGGGGGTAGTGCGTTTTGTTTAGGTTTAGGTATACAAGTGTAGATTCGATACCTTCTGTTTCCTCTTATTTTCAATAAAATTTTGCCAAATATTTATTTTTGACACTTTTTGGCACTAACAAGTATTTTTAAGAAATTTTTTTTTTAATTTTTGAAAAAAAATTTTGTTCTTTGGTTGAGTGGTAGTGTTTTTGGTTTTAGATGGTTAATGGTTGTAGGTTCGATCCCCGTTGCTTCCTATTATTTTTATGTTTGTAATAATTTTGCCAAATATTTATTTTGGACATTTTTCGTCACTTACAATTTATTTTTAGAAATTTTTAAAGATTTTTCAAAAAAAAATTTTCTTTGGTTGAGTGGTAGTGTTTTTGGTTTTAGGTTGTAGGTTCGATCTCTTTTCCGTCCTTTCATTTTTCTGTTTGAAATAATTTTGCGAAATATTTATTTTAGGCATTTTTAGAGGCTTTTGGCATCTAAAAATATTTTTAAAAAATTTCTATAGATTTTTGAAAAAATTTTTTTCCTTTGTTGAGTGGTAGTGTTTTTCTTTCTAGGTTGTAGGTTCGACCCCCGTTGCTTTCTATCATTTTTCTGTTTGAAATAATTTCGCCAAATATTTATTTTAGACATTTTTAAACTCTTTGTCGCTTAAAGATTTTTTAAGAAATTTTTAAGAGTTTTGAAAAAAAAATTTCCTTTGGTTAAGTGGTAGTGTTTTTGGTTTTAGGTTGTAGGTTCGATCCCCGAAGCTTCCTATCATTTTTCTGCTTGAAATAATTTTGTCTAATATTCATTTTAGGCATTTTTAAACACCTTTTTTGTACCGAAAATTTTTTAAGAAATTTTTAAAAGCCAATTTCTTCATTTTTTAAAGAGCATTATGCCGTGAATGCAATGAAATTGAAAAAGCTGCTGGACAAGGAAAATATGTTTGTCACAAATGTCGTTCAATAATAGAAGATGGACGTCATATAAAATTTAGAGGAGATTCATTTCATCCTTATCATTTTAATTGTAAAAGATGTGATGTTGAATTAACTGATGATGCTAGAGAAATTGGGGGTGCTTTGTATTGTTTAAGATGTCATGATTTGGTATTTTTTGAAAAATAAAAATTTTTTTATAATTTTTTGGGCGAAATCGAAAGGTTTAGGTGGTTGTTAAAAATAATTCTAAGTAGGGAAATATTTCTTAACGAAAAAAAAAATTTTTTTTTAATTTTTGCGGTCAGAACTTGCAAATTTTTGAAAATAAGGCTTTCTCCTAAAACTAAAAATAAATCTTTTTTGAGTAAAAAGGTCTTCTTGTTTTTTATTCAATAAATCGATTAAAATAATTTTAAACAAAAATATCCTATATTTAACGAAAATTTTTAAAAAAAATTTTTTGCAGAAAAACTTGGGGATTTTTGAAAATATTTTAGGAAAAGATTTTTTCTTTTTTCTGATTTTTGCGTTTTTAACGATTTAAAAAATTATTTTTATATTTTTAAAATTATAATAAATAGATGGGAATCCCCATTTGTGGAGCTTGTCATCGTCCAGTTGAAGAACGTGTAGTTACTGCTTTAGGAAAACAATGGCATGTTGAGGTTTATTTTTTTAATTTTTAAGAAAATTAATTTTATTTTAAAGCATTTTGTCTGTGCTGTATGTGAAAAACCTTTTCTTGGTCATAAACATTATGAACGTAAAGGACTTGCTTATTGTGAACAACATTTTCATTTGGTTTTTTTTTTATTTTTTTTTTAATTTTTGAGGAAAAGAAAATTCGGAAATTTCAGAACAAAATTTCAAAATTCCACAAAAAATAGTTCAGAAAAAGAGACACTAGACCCTGCAAAATTAGTAAAATTTAGATCAGAATTTCGAGTCGAAAAAAATTCAATGGGTTTAGGGTAATTCTCCAGAAGTACAAAAATCAGAAAAAATTCTGATTTTTGAAATAATATTTTTTTTCTGATTTTTGTACTTTTGAGGGATTCCCTAAACCAACTGACTCTTTTTCGACTCGAGATTCCTATCTGATTTTTTTCTCATGACAACAATCCCCCATCCGTTTTCCCGTGGGTATTATATATTAATTAGGATTTTTATTATTTTTATAATCAGAATTAAATTAGAAAAATCAGAAAAAATTCAGAATTTTATTTAATTAATTTATTTAATTCAAATTTAAAATTTAATTTAAAAATTAGCTTTATGGCCATATATGCTTCAAATGTGGAAATCCTTGTGGTGGAGAAGTATTTCAAGCTTTGGGTAAAACTTGGTGTGTAAAATGTTTTTCATGTTCACTTTGTGACAAAAAAATGGATCAAAAGTAAGGGAAAATATTTTTAATTTTTTTTTATTTTTTAAATTTTAGAACAAAATTCTTTGAATTTGATATGAAACCAGTATGCAAAAAATGTTATGAAAAATTCCCGAATGAATTAAAAAAGCGTATAAGCGATAATTTGAAAGAAAGGGAAGCAGATACATTACGTAGGAGATCGGGTAAAAGTTGAAACATTTATTTAAATAAAAAATAAACTTGAAGCAAAAAACTTGAAACAAACTGAAATTTTAAACCTGAAACAAAAACTTGAAGCAAATTAAAAAAAACTTGAAGCAAACTCTAAAAAATAAACTTGAAACAATTACAATTTGTAAAAAATACAAACTTTACAAATTGTACTTTTACAAATTGTAAATAAAAACTTGAAATTAGACTATAAAATAAACTTGAAGCAAGTCCATCAACAACACACCATCAAAAACAGAAAATGAAATCAAAATCACCAGAAACAAAATAATAAAAGAAAAACACAAAAATCAGAATAAATGTGAAAGAAAACACATATTATAATTAAAAACTTTGTTAAAAACACAGCTTTAATATTCTAATTACTACTTAATATTGCCTTATGTTGAGAGAAGAGAAAAAAATCAGAATTTAAAATGAACAATTGTTTTTCCGGAAAAAACATGTTTATTTAATTTTCCGGAAAACACTAAAAACATGTTTTACAACAAGGAAAACACATTTCCGAAAAACACACAAAACACACAAACATTGTTTGTCGGAAAACATTGAAAAACATGTTTTACAACTAAAAAAACACATTTTCGAAAAACACTTTTTATATTGTTTTTCCGGAAAAGCATGTTTATTTAATCTTCCGAAAAACACTTAAAAACATGTTTTACAGCGAGAAAAACACAAATCAGAATTAAATGTTTATATAAGTTTATTTTCTGATTTTTAATTTTGTAGAAATGTGTTTTTCTCCTTGGGAAAAACACAAAACTTGCCATTACTTCCAAATAAAAGTGCCTAAAAATGTTTCCCTTAAATTTTTTACCCCCATAATTTTTTTATTAATTTTTATCTAATATTTTCCGTCCCTATATATCTTGCAATAATAATAAACTATATCCATTTTTATTGAATAAATTTGAATTAAAAAAATTTTTTTTTAAGGTTTTGGGTGAAATACAAGGTGTTTACTTCTCAATTTACCTTTCTTGGCATTTACCATTTTTAAAAGTTATCATTTTAACGTTTTTCTAGTTGTTTACACTTTTATTTTTTCTTTTCCTTTCTCTCATTTAAACATATTTTGCCAATCTCATGTTTTGCCAAAAAAGGCTAAAAAACGACGTTTTGTCAATAAGGTAGTGTTGACAAAATGTCGTTTTTTACCCTTATTGGCAGAATGTCGTTTTTTTAGTTTTATGGGCAAAATGTCGTTTTTTAGTTTTATGGGCAAAATGTCGTTTTTTAGTTTTATGGGCAAAATGTCGTTTTTTAGCCTTTTTGGCAACATATGGGGAGAGCTCTGCCCTTTTTCAATTACCCGTTTTCTCTTTTTGTTAGGCAAGGTAATTATTTTATTCTTTGATTTTTTAATTGGTCCTTTTGTTATACATTTTTGCGCGTATTAATCATCATGCTTTTAATTTTCTTATTTTTACAGGAGAAAATTTTTTAGTAAAAAAAATGTCAGAAACAGCACTAATTGATGAAGCATTAAATGAAGTTTTTGTTGAAACCGATTTAATTGGATTTCAATCTTTATTTGTATTTGATAAGCAATTGACTAGACTTGAACATTTTTATGATGTAACTGATGAAGAATTGAAGGTTTTCTTTTGAATTTTTAATTTTTAAAATTTTTTGGTGATGTTTAATTCTAAATCCCGCTCCCATTCTTTCCTTCCCATCCTCAAATACTTGAAAATGGTCTGCTTCAACTTCACGATCTCCATATGCCTAGTAATCGATTTATTTTGATCCCATATGGAAATAGAGGAGGTTGAGGAAGTCTGACCATTTTGAGTCTTTTTAGAAGTGAAAAATAGGGAATGGGTGGGAAATTGAATATTATCAAAATATTTATTTTTTTCAAGTCTTATGGATTGTCTGAACCAGCTATTCGTCGTCTTAGACAAGCTATTGTTAAAAAATCTAAGAAGCAATCGAAAACTTTATTTGGAGGTGGAGGAAAGAAGAATGTTAAATTGATCCAAGTTAAGAGGGAGAAGACGGTTAATTCTTGTAATAAAAGTTTGAATGAAGGAGGCTTTGAATTTAACAATACACAACCATTCTTAATATCAGAAAATGAGGTTTAATTTTTTAAATGATTTTGGGTTTTTTAAAAGGGGTTGGGGTTTTCGAGGCTTGGGAAGGGTTCTGTCTCTTATTTGTTTCGTCTGTAGCCAATGAGTTATCCAAGCCAGATTTTTTTAGTTTTTTAGGAGTGAGGGGAACGAGTCTGGTAGACTAACTTAAGTGTCTGGGTATGAGTTTAACACGAGATGAGGTTTTGGTTTTTATTGAGTGATTATTGGGTTTTGGGGATGGGAAGTTCTGTCTCTTATTTGTTTTGTCAGCAGCCTCAAGAGTTATCCAAGCCAAATTTTTTAGTCTTTTTAGGAAGTGAGGGGACGAGTCTGGTTGACTGAGTATCTGTTTGTGAGTTTAATACGGGAAACATATAAAGTACCTGACCTGGACTTTTATTGCTTGGAGTACTCCTGACCCTGACTTATTGTTAGAAGTCCAATAGCCCCATGAGTTATCTAACATAAGCCAGATTTTTTTAGTCTTGTTAGGAGGGAGGGACGAGTCTGGTAGACTGATAGCTGAGTTTCTGGGTCTGAGTTTACTGCGGGGAACTTATAGACTACCCGACCTGGACATTGCCTGGAAGATCCCTGACTCTAACGAAGTTTCAAGTTTATTATTTTTAATTCTTAAAGAGATTTTTTTATATTTTCCTCAGATTTCTTTATACGAAACATTGGGAGAAGGCAACTTTTCTATTGTCAAACGAGCAATTTGGAATCGTTCAGACAACAATTCATCAAAAATTGAGTGTGCAGTCAAAATTCTACATAACAACATGACAGAAATATTTAGAAAAGATTTATTGGCAGAAATTACAAATATGCAAAAATTACGCCATCAAAATTTGGTTCAACTTTTTGGGGTAGTTTTTGGTGAAAATACATTGATGGTATTAGAATATTGTCAAGGAGGGTCTTTATTAGACAGATTAAAGAATTGTGGAAATGGAAAATTTGCTGATAAAATTAGACCTTTAATTACAACTTTACACAATTATACACAACAAATAGTTAATGGAATGGCTTATTTGGAGTCTAGAAGGTGTGTACATAGAGATTTGGCTGCTAGAAATGTGTTGTTGGCGCATGATGAACAGGTTTGGGGTTTCTGAAAATTTTTATAGATGGGGCAGTGTTTTCCCGTTCTGACTGGTTCCAAGATCGTGGTACTTCTAAATCATTGGAACAGCCTGGAACATTCGGAACTTATTTAATCGACCGTTACTACACTTTGATTTTTAAATCAGTAAGGGAGTAAGGAGTACTGTCGAAACCTTAAGAATTAACTAACAGACCAAGACTTAAAAATGAACTGTTCTATTTATGGGCTTGGCAAACGGAGAATTTGTGCATTTTTTTAATATAACTGAAGACGCCCCCCCCTCCCCTCTGGTAAATTTCTAAACAATTTTTTTCTTTTTGCAGATTGTTAAAATTTGTGATTTTGGTTTGGCTCGTGCATTAAGCGAAAATGAGCGTTTATATGTTATGAATGAATTAAAAAAAGTTTCATTTTCCTGGTTTGTTCTTTCAAATTTTATTTTTTTTTTCAAATTTATTTATATAAAGGTGTCCGCCAGAATCTTTAAGATATCGACAATTTTCACATAAATCGGGTATTTTTTTTTTTGAAAAATTTTTTAAATCTTCAAGAATTTTTTTAAGATGTCTGGGCATTTGGAGTTACAATGTGGGAATTATATACATTTTGTGAAGAACCATGGGCTGGTTGTAGAGCTGCTGAGGTTATTTTTAAAAATTTCAAAAAAAATTTTTTTGCGAAAAAAAAAATTTTTTGCGGATTTTCTGCAAAAAATTTGCAGATTTTCCGCAAAAGATTAAATTATCAAAAAAAATTTAATTTCAAGGTTCTCCAATTAATTGAATCAGGTCAACGCCTCAAACAACCAGAATATTGCCCTCCACAAATTTATGAAATTATGAAAATGTGTTGGTATAATGAACCTGAACAAAGACCTAAATTCGTGCATTTGAGGAAAATGTTGTTGGATGTTTGTGTTTTTTTTTAATTTTAGAAATTAGAGAAAAATACAAAACAAAACACATGTTTTTAAAAATCAGAATTATTGAGCAACTTGTTTGTGTGTTTTTGTAAAAGAAAGGGGAAAAACACATAAAATCAGAATTAATTAAATAAACTTGAAATCAGAATTAAATAGGAAAATTCTGGTCATAATACCAGAATTAAAAGAAAAGTGTTTATCGAAAACACAAATAAAAATTAGAATTTTAAGTTTATAAAATTACAAATCAGAATTAATAATAAAATAAAAATAAACTTGTTTTTCAGAATAAGTTTATTTTTTATTTTATTCTGGTTTGTAATGTTTATTTAAATTCTGAACAGGTTTATTTTTAAAATTGTAAAACATTGTAAAAACATTTAATAAAAACATTGTAAAAACATTTAGAAACATGTTTGTAAAAACATATAACAAAAACATTTAATAAAAACATTGTAAAAACATTTAATAAAAACATGTTTGTAAAAACATTTAACAAAAACATGCAAAACATTGTAAAAACATAGTAAAAACATTGTAAAAAAATGTTTGGAAAAACATCATAAAAACATGTTTATAAAAACATTTAATTAATTCTGATTTTTCTTTTTTTTGTTTCAGATTAAATTTACACACGTTGTTTGTCGTCAATCCTATACCAATAATAATATTAACAATTCTTTGTCAAATTCAACACAATTAAATAATGAAGAAATTAATTTTAATAAAAAAGCAACATTTTTTAATGTTTCTCAAGGAGATCAATTTTGTTTAATTTGTGAAAAAAATTTAAATTTTTATTTTGGACAAAATTTAAAAACTAGACAATTTGGGCAATTTCCAAAATTAATTTGTTGTGTTGTAAATAATAATGAAGGAGGAAATGAGGAAAATTTTTCAAAAATTAATAATGTTTCTTCTAATAAAACAACAATAACAAATAATATTAATACATCAACAACAATAAAATTAAAAGAAGCTAAAAGAGGAGAAATTTCTTTTCCTGTTGTTGGTAAGGATATTTATTTTTTTTGTTAATTTTGGGTTATTCTAATTTTTTTTTAAATATTTTTATTAAAAATTAATTTTATTCTTGAAAATTTTACATAATTTAGAAAAAAAAATTTTTTTACGGGACACAATTTTCATTTAGTTTTTGATTGACAATATATCCAATTTTCTAAATTTTTTTTATTGATGGGATAAAATGTCTTATTTTTTGCAAATTCTGTCCGCAAAAAATTTTTTTCTGTCCGCAATTTTTCTTTTAATTTTTAAAAAATTTTTTCTAGGTTCATTTATTCATACTGGTCATGGTGATTTAGATGAGCGTCAATGTTGGGGTCATGTAGACCATATTGACCAAATATATTTACAAAATCCAATAATTGGTGTATCTACAAATACCACTAGTACAAACCAACAACCTCCAATAATTGTGCCATCATTATTAAATTTACAAAATTGTGTTAAAAATAATAGTAAAAGTTTTACAAATTTGAATGAAGGTTTGTATTAATTTTTTGTTTAAATTTTTAATTTTGCGGAAAGTCCGCAAAAAATTTTTTTGTCCGCAATTTTTGGCTTTTTTTGTCCGCAAATTTTGGCTTGAGTTGAAGACGGATCCTCCTACCCTTTTTAGTTCTTTTTCGGTGTACACAAATTGTAACCCTTCCTGAAATCTGCCTCTTTTATATGTTTTTCGAAAACAATTTTGCGGATAAAAGAAAGTTTTGGATTTTTAAATTTCAAAATAATTTTTATTCAATTTTTTAAAGCAAAATCTCAGCAGGAAAAGGAAGATAATAAAATATACCATAGAACAATAACAACAACAAAAATGAATGAAAAACCAACATCAATTTTTGATGTTGACCTTTTTGATCCTTTCACTACTAAAAATAATATTAAAAATGAAGAAAATGGAAATGGAATTCTTCGTAAAAATTCTTTACCAACAATTGGGGCAATTAAACAGGAGCAACAAAAACCGTCATTAAATTCTATATTTTTGAGACCTCCTCCAACTTGTAAAAATACTGGGCTGTCTAATGGTGCAAATACATCTACAACATCTTCAACTAGTATTTTTTTTAAATTTTTAGAAAAATTTTTTTTTCCGATTTGGTATTTGCGGACAAAATTTAGCCGTTAAATCAAAAGTCCTTTCCTCGGATCGGGTTTCGGGTCGAAAAAAGGCCGGGTTTCGGATGACCCGACCTATTCTTGCTCAAAAGTTGTCAAAATGCCAAACATTGTAAAAGGCATTGTAATACCAAATAATTACTAAAAAAATTTTTTTTGTTCTATTTAAAAATTTTTGTTGTATTTTATAAAATAGAAAACCAAATTAGTTGTGTGTCCGCAAGAAAAATCTTGTCCGCAAAATTTTTTTAATTTTTTTTCAAATATTTTTTTAAGAATATGATTATTCAATGTCAATCCCTCGTCCAAATCGAATTTCACCAACTAACAGGTTTCTTTGATTTTTAATTAAAAATTATTTTATTTTTTTTTTTTAGTTTAACCCCTCCAGACTTGAGTAAAGAAAATTTAACAAAAAATGTAGATCAACAAAAAATCTCAAAAATTGAGAATATTCCTCTTAAGACAACAAATACAAATTTACTTTTGGATTTATCAAAGGAACAATTTGTTAATTTAAATTTAAATAATTTTCTTCCTCAACAAAAGCAACCCCAAGCATCAACTCAAAGACCAAAATCTGCACATTTTCTTTTTGATGAAATAAAACAAGGATTACAACAACAACAACATTTAAATGCTTCAACAAAACAACCTTATTCTTTAATAGATGATCCTTTTACGGTATGCTTGGGTTTTTATTTTTACATAGAAAAATTGCGGACAAACAAGTTTTGCGGACAAAAAATTTTTTGGACATTTTTTCGAATAATTTAGGTGAAAATATAATTGAGTGGTATTGAAAATGTTTTTTAACTGTAGGGTATGGGTTATCATTTTTATTGGTTATTACTTATTTCGGGTTTTGTTTAGAAAAATATCTTTGCAGTTTGTCCGCAAAAGTTGTCCGCAAATAAATTTTTTTAATTTTTAAATTTTTCTACTAAAATTCCTTTTTTATAGGTAAAAGACGATATAAAAACTTTATTAAATACAAAATTGCCATATCGTGAGATACACAAATCTTGTAATGGTGGTTTTAGCAGTAACAGTAGTAATGTTGCTATTGTACATCCTATTCAACAACAACAACCTGTTTTAGTTAATAATGCTTTAATTTTTGATATTAATAATTCAACAAGAAAATTACAACAAGGAGAACAGTTAATCTCAAAAAATGAAGGGGCAAATTATTTTGATGAAAATTTTGAAAAAAATTTTTGTCCGCTTAATTTGTCCGCAAAAAATTTATGTCCGCAAAATTTGTCCGCAAATTCTTTTATTTTACCAACTCAACAAAATGAACAGCAAAAATCATCTTCCTCTTCATCTTTTATTAATTCAAATACTTTTGGTCACTCAAATGATATTCCAAAATTATTAAATCCAGTTAAAATACCTCAACAACAACAGCAACAGCAAGAACCATCAACTACTACAAGAAATATAAATATTCAACAAAAAATACCTCATCATCAAATAGTTGATTTAAGCGAATTAGATACCGATGCTTTATTAAAACAAGTTAAAGATGCTGTAGATTTTGCTAGGTTTGTTTTTTGTTTTTATTGAAAAAAATTTTTTTGCAGACAAAAAAATTGTCCGCAAAAATTTCTGCGGACAAAAAATTTAAAAAAAAATTTCTTTTTTTTAAGCCTAGAACAATGTCGCCAACAACTTTGGCGTAATCAATTTGATGCTGAAAGGGCAATACAACAATTAAAAATTGATAAGCTTTTAGAAATGGGTTTGGCTACAGATAGAGAATTAGCAGCATCCGCTTTAGATTGTGAACAGTGGAATGTTAATGCTGCTGCAAACAGGCTATGTTCTTCTTAAAATGTTGCATGTTTTTAAATAATGTTTTTACCTCCCAAACAAACAAAAATACAAAAACTTAAAACTTTGTGTTTTAGCATAATTATAAAAAATACAATAACACAAACACATATTCTGATTTTCATTGTTTTCCACAGATATTATATTCTACCGGTTTTTGTTTTGTGTTTTTCCGGAAAACACAAAAACTTGCAAAATTTAATTTGTAAAACACATAACAAAAACACAAACATTTTTCAACAAAAACAAACATTTTTTCCATGTTTTCCGGAAATTCTCTGTTTTGTATTTTTCTGGTACTCTTCTGATGTTTTATTCTGATATTCTGATTTTTATTACTCTCCAGATATTATTTTCCACAAATTCCGGTTTTGTATGTTTCCGAAAACTTGAAACATTTTAATAAACTTGTTATAACAAAAATACAAACATTCTTCTTTTCCAAGTTTTCCGGAAAACACACAATTTTTTACTATTTTTCCCGTTCTGTTTTAAAATACTTTTTAACCTTTGCATTTTTCCCTATCATTTTTCCACTTGAATTTTCATCAAAAAATCTTTCGCGCATTTTAAATTTTAGGATATTATATAATATTTGCCATTTTAAAAAATTGTATCTCATCTAGATTAGAAAATAATTTTTTTTCTTTTGTTTATAATTTTTTGACAATAAGAAAAAAATTTTTCTGAAACATTTTTTTAATTTTTTTTTTGATTTTTTTATTAAGAATATTTCTAATTAAATAAGAATATTTTTTTATATTTTATTAAAAAAAATTAATTTTAGAATTTTTTTCAACCAGAAAATAGGAGAGAAAGAATGAATGGTGAAGGTACGAGTAGCAGCATTAATAACAACAATAGCAACAACAACAATTCTTCTTCAAGCAAAAAACGTTTTAAACAATTAATCCAATGTAGAAGTTGCAATTGTTTTGTATTAGCAAAGGATATTGATAAACATTCAAAATTAAATAATGAAGCTACTACAACAACAACAAATTTATCAGAATCTTGTATAGTGGAAACACCTAAATTATTGGTACATAAACGAGTAAACAAGGTGAATAAAACATTAAACAAATGTTTGGATGTTTTTCCGGAAAGTTGGGGGAATGTTTTTGATTATGTATTTTATAGGTTGTTTTTAAAAACATGTGTTTTCCGGAAAATTTAGAATGTTTTTGTTTATTTTCCGGAAAGTTTTAGTTATGTTTTTAAAAATGTTTTGATATGTGTTTGATGTTTTTCCGTGTTTAAGTGTTTCTGATTTACTGTTTTAAAACATTTTTGTATGTTTTCCGGAAAAATGAAATGTTTCTGTTTTCTCTATTTGGGTTGTTTTAAAAACTTGTGTTTTCCGGAAAGTTTATTTTATATTTTTAATGTTTTTCCGGAAGATGTTTTATTTAATTCTGTTTTCCGGAATTTTTGTGTTTTTTGTATTTTCCGGAAAGTCTGATTTTATGTGTTTATAAAAATGTTTTGTTCTGAATGATTTTACAAAAGGTTTAGCAAAACACAACAAGGAGTAAACGTCCATCATCAACCGGAACTTTTAATTGTAATAATTCTGATGGTTTTATTTCTACCCAAATAGCGTTAATTGAACCAAACAATGGAATGGCTCTTGAATTACATTCTTTAAAAGATGAAGCAGATTGGGAAAAAAATTTTCCTATGGAATTGTATGGATGGCTACGAAGGCATTCTGCTTTGGTTAATCCTGGTTGGATGAGAAAAGAAATTTTTTTGAAAAATAAAAAAAATTTTTTAATTTTAGAAATGTTTTCTGCAATCTCCGCACTTGCTAGAACTGCTTTTGCTATAATTTCTGAGGAGAATGAAATACCTTTTGCTGTTGATGTTGTTATACTTTGGCCTTGTATTGAGGTAAAACTTACATTAGAGTTGTGTTTTTCTGTTCCGGAAAGTTATTTTTATTTTGTGTTTTCCGGAAACTTTAGAAGTTGATTTTATACGCGTTTTTCCGGAACATGTTTTATTAATATGTTTTCCGGAAAATGCTTTTATTAAAATTTACTTTTGTGTTTTCCGGAAACCAAGTTAATTCTACTTTCCGGAAACATTAAAAACAAGCTAAAACATCTTCCGGAAAACACACAAAATAAAACATCCCAAAGTTTTCCGGAAGATGTTTTTAAAATTTCTTTCTGTGTTTTCCGGAAAACTAAAATAATTTTATGTTTTTCCGGAATGTTTTATGTGTGTGTGTTTTCCGGAAAACTTATAAACAATTATGTGTTTGTGTGTGTTTTCCGGAAAGCTTAAATAAAATTAAATAAATATTCTGATTTTTCAGATTCCTTTAATGCAAATTGCCTTCCCTCCAACATTTCAACAAACATTTAATTGTTCTTCACTTATTCGTCTACAATTAATTAAATCATTTGGACAACCTTTACAAAATATTTTATTAAAGCCTGATTTATCAAAAAATGATATAAAATTACAAGAATGGTCAAAATTGGCAAAACTTGAATTTTTTGTACATTTTGTTAAATGTTATTTTGGAAATGCTTTAATTTTTAAAAATTTGAATTCGATACAAATTGAATATTATGGACGCAAATTAAATTTTAAAATTTATTTTGAAGAAGATGATGATGTTGAAAGGGATATTGAAAGAAAAATGGAATCATTATGCAAAATTGAAGGTTTATTTAATTATTAATTAAATTAAGAGAGAAGGGGGGGATGCTTGAGGACGTCATCAGTATTTTTCGCAGCGAAATCCTCAACTAGCAATTTTAATTTTAAAATCCGCAATCCGTAAGTCAAAAAAAACAAGCAATTTTACGAAATTGCGTTCACCCTTGCCTCCACTACGCTCTCTATTTTATAAAAAAAATAAAGTGACCATTAAAAGTAAGAAGAGTAAGTAAGAGAATTATTCTTTCCCGGCATCTATTGCTCTAATAACTTGGTTTCACTACGTTCAGAGGTGGGGAGATGTTGGGGTGCTACTGGCCTGGGATGAGGTCAGCTACTATAAGGAACTCTGAGCGATGACTTACTTTCTCTTTAAATTAGGGGGCCTAGACGTTACTAAAAAATTTTTTTACTTGAAAACAGATGAAAACGGAGAGAGCAATATTATAAAGTATTACCCAAAAGTTTGTAAAATTTCTTATTCTTGCAAATTCAAAATTGATTGGAGTGACGTACTACAATTGGAAATAAACAAAGTTGAGAAGAAAAATCAAATTGAGGAGGATGATCCTGATAGTTTATTATAAAAATTATAAAGGTTTCTTGTTTAATTATTTTTATTAATATCAAAAAGGAGGGGGTTCAACTTGGGGTTTCAGCCAGGGAAGGGTCATGTTACCTCTGAACTCTGACCTTTTTTTCGACTCGAAATTAGACTCGACATTTTTCTTAACCCGGCGATTCCAGGTTTCAAATAAGGTGGGGTTTTAATGGGACTTCAATCAAATGTGTTTTAACAATAACCGAGAACTTTGTATTGGAATTGTTTTGATTATTGGCGAGATTAAAAAGTCTTTTATAGAAGAATTTCCACACAATCTTCCTCTTTCGAAACTGACCACTTTGGAAAATTAGGGAGGTTATTTAAATATTTTTTTAATTTAAGGTGCCCGAAGAAGAAGATACCAAATGTATGAGTACTTTTAAGTTTTTGTTAATTTTTTAATAACTTTATTTTGTAAACATTTTTTTACAAAAAAGAAAGGTAAAAATTTTGTTTGTGCAAAAAATATTTTGGCCAAGGTTTTTTTTCTTTCATACTAGCAAAAAATAGTAATTCATATAGGTATAGAAAAGCCGAAGAAAATAAAAAAATAATAAATTGGTTATTTTAAAGGTAGGGAGACATAACGGGATTGCTGTGAGAAAAATAACTTCTTGGGTGTTTACATTGGTACTAGAACATAAAAACTGATTTCCAAGACCCATGGTCAATAGGTCCCGAAATCAGTAGTTTAACTGTTCATACATTGAAATATCCCGAGATGTCCGTCCCTGCCCATTTTAAATTAAAAAAAAAAAACCAAAAATTAATTTTTGTTTGGTCGACCATCCCCTTTCCCTTTTTTGTATATTCAGCAGCTAAATAACCAAGCTAAATAACCAATTATTTTTATTTTTTTCTTAAAAATTAATTGTAGTTTAGAAAAACAAATAAGAAGTCAATAATAATAAAAACAAAAAATATACGAGAGTAAAAGGAATATATTTTAGTTATATGTATTTCCCCCTCAATTAGCACAATTTTAATACAAAAATTCTTTTTTATATAATTAATAAATGTCCCCAAAAAACATTTACACCCAAAAAATAATTTCAAAAAAAAAAGAAAGCAAGAAGCAGAATTTAGGTAGTTTTATATTTTAGAAAGTATATGGTTAAAAAATAATATTTTTAAAAAATTGTTGTGTTACTCTTTTTTAAAGAAAATTTTGGAAGGCGTCGTAAATTCGAAAAAAAAATTTTTTAGAACGTCAAAAAATGGATGAGCGTTAAAAATACCCAAAAAATAACCAGAATAATTAGTTGGTTTTTACGGGCCAGGAAACCGAATTTTGGATTTCACATTCATGCTGGCCTGGAATAATCCGGAAATCGCGAAAAAATCCGGAGTTGGGATCCAGACTTTGGAAAATCCGGCTGGAGTCCGTGCCAGTCACTAATAAAAACACAACATTTTTTTAAGAAAAATATTATTTTTTAAAACCACAATTTAGTATGGGTGTCAAAAAACAAAAAGAAAAAAATTAATTTAAAAAATATATATAGTATAAACCTCTTCCCGTTTACATCCTCCTCTTTAATTTTTTTGAGTTAAATTTTTATATATATTACACAATTTCTTCTTTAACTTCCACACATCAACGAGAAGCCGACCGCGAATTTTTGCGTTGCTTCTGTTCCGAATTTTCGTGTTTATTATGTTGGTGATCTTCACGGATGGATGAGACCTTGAACGAGAAAATTTAATTAATTTAAGAAAAAAAATTTTTTAAAGAAAAACCTCTCCTTCAATAAATGCTCTAAGGCGTTCAAGATATGCTGCATGCATTTCAACGTCATTGTGACCTGCACCAGAAACCCAGAGAGGTTCGACCTGGAAAGAAAAAAGGTTTATTTTTACTTTGAAAAACACAAGTTTCCGGAATTTTAAGAAAAAACACAAGTTTCTGAATATTTCTGGTCTGTGTTTTTTCCGGAATGTTCTGTATTTTGTTTTTCCGGAATTTTTGCAATTATTCTGATTTTTGTGTTTTTAGTTTTATTTTTAGTTTTCCGGAATTTCTGATTTTGCGTGCGCGTCCTCCGGAAGAGTTAAATATATTAAAAATTGATGTATTTACCGAAGTTGGACACTGTTCATAAATAGTCACCCCATGAGAAAAGTCAACAACCTAAAAAAATCATTAAAAAAATTTTTTTAGAGTTTCTAGGGTTTTTAATATTACGTCATCCTCTGTCCCATGAATAACAAGCGTTGGACAAGAAACTCGTGGAATTTTTTCAATAGACGGAAAAGCATCGCAACACCAAGTTCGTTGAATTCCATGAAATGCTACACGCATACCAGAAAGTAGAGGAGAGTGTAATATAAGTGCAGCAACACGTGGGTTTTTACTGGCTAGGTCAACTGTTAGAAGGAGGAAATTTTTGGAATTTTTTGAAAATTAAAAAACCTGAGGGCACAGTCCCAATACTTTGTCCATACAAAATTACACGTTCTGGCGGAATTTGGCATTTGGTCTCTAAGGCTTTTAAAGCTGCTGCAATGTCTGCATAAAGATTCTTTTCTGAAGGGCGTCCTGTTGACTGGCCATAACCTTTAAAAAAAATTTTTTTTGAGAACGTTTATGGACACATTCGTGATGTCAAAAAAAGGAAATGTTCCAGCTAAGTTTCGGATTCTAATCTCTGCCAGAAAAATATTTTTCAAAATTCGCCTTACACTTAGTTACACTAACTTTCCCTTACATACTTCCCGTCCCAACTCCCTAGACTTGTAGAAAAAATATTTTTAAAAAATCCAAAACCAGAATAATAACCCTATCTCACATCAGACTCGGTTCTTTTTTGGGAGGCTATTGTTGGTTCATCCCTAAAAAAATGTCCCAGACTAACTTTCCCTTGGCTCCTGTACAAAAAACAGATGCAAAAAGAGAACGGAACGGACAAAAGGGGTTAAAAGACCGGTTTTACGGCCTTTTTTGCCCGTTCCAGTTTTTTTGCACCGGTCTTGTGTACAGACTAACTTTCCCTTACATACTTCCCGTCACCAACTCCCCAGACTTCTAGAAAAAAATATTTTTTAAAAAATTCCAAACCAGAATAATCATAAGCAAAAACATTGCATCCAAGTCGATAACCCAACAAAACATAAAAAGAACACATTTGTCCAATATCAACAGCATTACCATGAGAGAACAAAATTGTAAAGCGTGTAGGTATAATTGGCTTAATAAACATACAAGCAATTTTATTTCTTCGAGAAGTTTTTGCAAAAAAGACGGTTATGTTTTTGAGTTCTTCTGAAAAGTTTGGGGGTGAGTTTAGAAGAAATTTTGGGTCTACTACAGTTTATGAGTCCAATCAAAAAATGATTTGATTTTTTTGGTGTTGCAAAGTAAACACCCTGGCAACACCAAGAAAAATCCAATTGTTTTTTGATTGGATTCATAAGCTGTAGTAGAGCTGAGATTTATTTGTTTTAAAGAAAAACCTTGTCCATGTGGCCATTCAGAACCTGTTCGATTTTCTACCAGCTCCAATGAGGTCCTTAAAAATACATGTTTTATTTGATTTTTCTTTTTTTCAGGTTGAACCTCTCTGGGTACTGAAAATCTCAAAAATATCGAAAAAAAAGAATATTTTTTTTCAAAAAGTATACCTTTTTCAAAATCAATTTTGACCCATAAGATTTAACTTTAAAAATATAAAATTTATATTGATCGATAGAGAATAAACTGAACTTTCAGAATCTTTTTAAATTTTGAAAATCGGATCAGAATTGATCGAGAAATAGCATGTCGCAAAAAAGTGTCGCCAAAAATTCAAACATGTTTGAATCAAAAAAAGTGTCGCCGGCGACATGTCGCCGGCGGAAATCGCATTTTATGTAAGCACACGAAAAAGCGACAAAATCGCGCGCGACATGTCGCCGGCGGAAGTCGCGGTTTATGTAAGCACTCAAAAAAGCGACAAAGTCGCGCGCGACATGTCGCCGGCGGAAGTCGCTTTTTATGTAAGCACGCAAAAAAAGCGACAAAATCGCCGGCGACTTTTCTCTCCTCTTTTTCCATTATCTTTTCTGTCGCGTGTCGCGCGCGATTTTTATGTAAGCGTAGCATAAGAGAAGGTAATAATTAAAAGGTTGTCCGCAAAAAAGTTGCGGACAAAATTTTTGTCCGCAAAAAAATTTTTTTCAAGCTCAAAGATTTAGAAGCCCAAAGGTAATAAAAAAAACAAAACAAAAAAACAAACCTCCCAGTATCACTAGTCAAAATCCGATAACTCGGTTCAGGTGGCATAAAAGCCAATTTAGCAACAATAGAAGAAGGAAATGGAGGGCAACAAAAAAGTGAACATAAATCTCTAAAAGTAGCACGTGGAGTAACTTGTGGTGCAGAAGTAGAAGTAGTAGAAACTGTTGTTGTAGCCATTCTAGTAGTTGAAGTTGGTTCGTTTGTTATCACAGTTGTGGTAGTTATATATTCATTAATTGGTCCGTTAGGTTTGTTGCTAGTTGATTTTGTTGATGTTTTTGTTGTTGTAGAATTCATACAAACAAATACACATAAAATTGATGTATTTTAGAGTATCTAATCGAAAAATAAAGAAAAAAAATTTTTTTAGAAAAAATTGGAACTTATATACTTTAGGTACGCTTTTTTAGCAACGCACTTTTTCCTTATTTTTCATCCATCAACTATAATTTGTACGGAATGTCAGCCAGCCTTTCTTTCCCCCTTTTTTTCCTTTTCCATCATCGTTCTTTTTTTACTTCTCACCGCGTCAATCAGTTCAACTCATAATTTTTATTTTTAAAATTCATTTATGATAAAAAATTTAAATTAATCTGTTTAAGATGTAAAAAAAGATCAGTGAATAAATAGTTCGAGCTTATCGAGCTGAGTCGACTGCCCAGAAGCAGTCCGTGATATCTCTTAGCTGATTGAATGGGTCCAATTTTGTCCAAAAAGTGGTGTAAAATGTCAATATTTGAGGAAAACATTTGATTTTGGACACGTAAAAATATATGAAAACATGCAGAAATGCCGATTCTCAAAACGCAGACCCGTGTACTTATTAGCATTTAAAAATTGAAATAGATAGAAATAAGAATAGTCAAATGTTAGTTTCTAATTTTGGTGAAATTGGAAAGAAAAAATAATCTTCTTTTTGTTCATTTCTCTTATTGAACATGCCACAGGGAAAATTAAGTGAAAATGAGGAAGAAAAAAGGTTGACCGTTCCGTACAAATTATGGTTGATGAATGAAAAATAAATAAAAAGTGCGTTGCTAAAAAAAGCGTACCTAAAGTATATAAGTTCCAAAAAATTTAAGGAATTTTTGGGAAGAATAGAAAATGCTTGGATGACTGTTTAGGGGTACATATCGGCGCGCGCCCAAAACGGCGCAAAGCCGTAACTTGCTAGAAAATGTCTAGCCCTTGTCAATTTCGGTACCTTCCTCTAAAGCTCGATGTAAGGAATCGTTTGATACTAAATTTGGAAAGATTAGAAAATTTTGAAGCAAGTTATGGCCTTGCGCCGAAAGGGACGCGCGCCGGTTTGGGCGTGTCTCTGTTAAACCGGAAATGTAATAGAAAAGTCATTTCGCCAAAAAGTTTTGTTTATGAGTAAGGTTAAAAAGGTTAAAAATAGATTAATAAATAAGGAGAGAGTATTGAAAAGAGAGAAATTAGAGTAAATTAATAGGTTAGAATTTTTGTGATAGATAACGTAAACTTTTAAGTTATAGAGGAAAATAGAGAGAGATGTAGCTTTGTTGAGAGAGAGACGAGACGTAAAAGAAAGAAAATAGTATAGATATTGATGACAGACATTAAATCTTTTGTTTTTTCCGTGCCTTCACATTTTGTCAATACCATATTTCGCCAATATGGCTAAAAATCTACACTTTGCCAATAAGCTTATTGGCAAAACGTGAATTTCGAGCCTTATTGGCAAAATATGGAATTGGCAAAATGTGAAGGAGCCGTTTTTCTTGGGGTTATTTTATATTAAAATTTTTTTGGGGTTCTTTTTTGTTTTTTCCTCATTTTTTTCTTTAAGATGACTGAAGAACAATTATTTGATGCTTTAAAAAATGTTTGGGCAATACTTTGGATTTGGTTTTTAATGCCAAGTGGAATTTTTGCAGCAATTAGTGGAGGAGGAACTTCTACAAATTTTGGAAATAATAAAATGGATATTGAAATACGTGCTTATCGTTTACAACAATATGAAATTTCTGGAAAAGTTTTTGGAAGTAAATCGTGGAAGGTTTGTAGGAGATTTTTTAGTTTCCCTCCCTTTTTCTTTTCCTTTATTGGGCTCATAATGGGCAGACTTTATTTGTCATTTGAAAAATCTGGGCCCGTGTTCCTGGAAAATCGTTAGGATTCGCAAAAATGTCTTGGGGAAATCAGTACGGGAAAATCCAGGCGTTGTCCCTTAGCTCAATCTCTAGTGAGTTTGGAGTACTGATTGGATCTCAGGCCTGTTCCCGGAAAATCCCGGAACTCCAAAAATGGTTGGGTCTTTGTACATGACAACCCAGGCGCTGGCCAAGCTTCAGCTTGTTCCCTGGTGGGGTTTGGAGTATATACTGGTTTTTGTGTCGGGTCAGAGTTTCTGATTGTCAGATTTTCTATTTCACAATTTTTTATAATGAAATGTTTTTTCCTCAAGGTTATGTACCAAGCTGTTGATATAAACGAATCTGCACTTCGCAAATGTGTTGTAATTAAATGGTGGGATTTAATTGGTGTTGATTTTGAAGACAAATTTTCGGCGGTCCTTGGTGCTGTTTTAATTATACTTCCAAAAGATGTTAATGAATTGACTAAACAGGAGTATCAGGTTTCTTTTATGTGTCGTTTCTTTGATTTTTTCGTTAAAATTTGAACGAAAATTTATTTAGTTTTAAAATGGTCAGTTCCCCAAAGTTTTCTCATTTCGTCACATATTTCTTTCTTTTAGTCTAGGTTCTTTGGAATTTATTTTTGCCCTGCTTTTTCTATTTTTTATTAAAATTTAGAAAAAAATTTTTTGTTGCAAAATGGTCAGTCCCCCCAATTTTTCTCATTTTGTCACACAATTTTTTTTCTTTTAGGCTTTTCTTTCAATTGAACAAAAATTTGCTTCATTAAAAACAGAATTGGCTGTATACTTCGCTCCAGACTCTTCAGACCTTCAATCTTTATTGACAAGTATTTCAACAAATTCGGGCCGTTCACCAACAGCATTTCAACAATTAATAAATTCTGTGGTGGCGGATAATTACCAAATAAGTTCAACTAATCCAGCAGTTGGAAATTTGGCTAATTCTAAAGTCTACAACGTTATTGTAATTTTTTGAAATTTTTTTTGTCCGCAAATGTCTGTCCGCAAAATTTTTTTGTCCGCAAAAATTTTTTTTGTCCGACTTGGTGTCCGCAAATTTTCTACCCGACTGATTGTCCGCAAATGTCTGTCCGCAATAAACTTTTTTTGCTTTATCGTCTTTTCTTCTCTTCCCCTACTTCCGCAAAATTTCTTTTTTTTTCCTTCCTTCCTCCTCTCTTAAGAATTTTAAAACTAGAATATTACCAGTCCTTGATCATTTTTAATTTTTACGAGGGGAGGAAAAAAAGGAAGGAGAAGTAAGTAAAATTTGCGGACATGTGGGGGATAATAACAAAGTTTTTTTAATTAAAAATTATTTTTAGGCCCAATTAAATGCTCAAGAAAGAGGACTTCCTTATTTATTTATTGTGGCATATTATGATAATTATGGAGTTGTTCCGGTTTGTTTTTTAATTTTATAATCTGTGGAGCAGTTTGGTAATTATTTTTTGAGTTTTTCATTTTTAAAAGTTGACCTCAAGTTGGAGCAGTTCAAAATAAATTTTTTTAATTTCCTTCAAGTTGGAGCAGTTCAAAATTTTTTTAAGTATTCCTCAAGTTGAAGCAGTTCAAAATAATTTTTTTAAGTATTCCTCAAGTTGGAGCAGTTCAAAAATTTTTTTAAGTATTCCTCAAGTTGGAGCAGTTCAAAAATTTTTTTAAGTATTCCTCAAGTTGGAGCAGTTCAAAATAATTTTTTTAAGTATTCCTCAAGTTGGAGCAGTTCAAAATTTTTTTAAGTATTTCTCAAGTTGAAGGAGTACAAAAAAATTTTTTTAAGTATTCCTCAAGTTGGAGCAGTTCAAAATTTTTTTTAAGTATTTCTCAAGTTGAAGGAGTACAAAAAAATTTTTTTAAGTTGACCTCAAGTTGAAGCAGTTCAAAAAATTTTTTCTTTAAAGGGTTTAACAACAGGCTCAGATTCTAATGGAAGTGGAGTAGCTATACTTTTGGAATTACTTGCTATATTTTACCAATTATATTCTTTGCCGTCACATGGCGCTCGTTATAATTTGGTATTTGTATTGTCTGCAGCAGGAAAATTTAGTTTTCAAGGAAGTCGAAATTTTATTGATGATTTTAATGAAAAACATTCTGGTTTGTTTTTTTATTTTATTTTTTAATTAATATATCGGGTGGGTTAGGGCTTTTTTGGTTGTTTTTTACAAAAAGTCCACAAGTTTGTTTTCAATTTTTAAATTTATAAACTTACTAGGTATGGGTAAGGATCAAATTTTAGGGTCCTTCCATTCTTTCCTTTTTAAGATTTTTGGAAATTCAAAGTTAACCTCTGCTCTCTACATTATCTTGAAAGGTGCAGAGCATTTTAGGACGAATTCTTATTAATCCAGGTAGCTGAGAAAACGTTTTGGAGCTGATTGAGCTCTTTTACTGTAAAATTTCAAGTTTTAATGACCACTGAGGTCCATTTTTATTGAGCCAAAAGTGTTGTGCTTTTAGTTAAAAATTTTTTAAGAAACTTATTTTTGCTTAGAAAATCCGCAATTTTTATCCGCAAATTTAAAAATGTTTTAAATTTTATCAGAATTATTTTTATAAAAAAATTTTTTTTTAATTTTTTTCAGATGAAAAAATAGCTTTAGCAATATGTTTGGATGGTTTAGGAAGAAAATTGTCAACAACTTTAAAAGAAAATAGTCAACAACCATTATTTATTCATTTATCAAAAACACCCTCAACAACCTCTACAACTTCAAAATTTATTTCAACATTACAAAATTTTGGAATTAATAAAAAGAAAATAAATTTAGTTACTAAAAAAATTAATTTGGGAGCGGATAAATTGGTTTGGGAACATGAAATTTATAATATTAGAAGAATACATTCGTTGACTTTATCCAATTTTGAAAAATTTGATGATGGGGAAAGGTGAGGAGAAAAAAGATTTTTTTAATTTTAAAATTAATTTTGCTTCATAAACGCATTGCTTTACTTTTATGAAGCTTGTTTTGTTTATGAAGCAAAAATAAACTTTATTTTGTATTTTCCGGAAACTTAACTCAACTTTGTGTTTTCAGTAAAATTTGTGTTTTACTTGTGTTTTCCGGAAAAGTTCAATTATTGTTTTAACAACATTTTCTGTGTTTTTCCGGAATGTTTTTAAAAATAGAAAAACACAAGGTAAAACAAACAAACATTGTTTTTGTATTTTATTTTCCGTAAGAAGTTTGTTTGGAAATGTTTTTACAATTTGTAAATTTCCGGAATGTTTGGGAGTGTTTTGGTTATTCTAAACTTTCCGGAATGTTTTGATGATGTTTTTCCGGAATGTTTTTTAGATATTCTGATGTTTTTAAAACACATTCTGATGTTTTTCCGGAATGTTTTTATAATTTTATACTTTTCCGGAAAGTCTGTCTAATATTTATATACTATTTCTCATTTTCTTTAATTTCCAGAAATTCAATGTTGGATACCCCCAAACAATTAGATTATTCAATACTAGAATCAAATGCTCGTTTAATTTCAAGTTCATTAATTTCATTTGTATTCAATTTGGATTCAAATTTATGTACAAATTTAAAAAAAACAAAAGAAGAATGTTCTCTTTTATTAAATGAATCAATTAATGTTGACCGGAAAAGATTGGCAGTTTGGATTAAATTGTTTGGAAGTAAACCTAGACCTACAAATACATTACAATTACAATTAATTGCAAATTTACAACAAGTTGTAAAAAAGTTTTCGCATACTTCGTTAGTGTCTGAAGTTGTAATTAATGATTTTGTTTTGTATGAAATTGTTGGTAAGTTTGTTTGTTTTAAATTTGTAACAAACAAGTTTATTTAAAACATGTTTTGATTTAAATGCTTGTTTCAAAACAAGTTTGTTTTATGTTGTGAAAACAAAGTTTATTTTTTATAATTGTAAAAACAATGTTTTTTAAGTTCCACAAACATGTTTGTTTTGAATTGTAAAACATTGTTTTTGCAATGTTTTTTCAAAACTGCAAAAACAAGTTTATTTAAAATATGTTTTGATTTAAATACTTGTTTCAAAACAAGTTTGTTTTAAATTGTGGAAAACAATGTTTTTTAAATTCTACAAACAAATTTATTTTAGAATTGTAAAAACATTGTTTTTACGATGTTTTTACAATTTTTTCAATGTTTTTACAAACCTGCAAAAACAAACTTGTTTTAATCGTAAAGACATGTTGTTTTACAATTGTAAAAATAACTTTAAACATTTAATTTTTTCTAGAAGATACATTGTCTGCAAACATTGTAAAACCTGCAATTTTTGAATTATTATTAGCTGCGGGAATATGTGTTTATCTTTATGGTATTTATATATTAGCATATAATGCTCAAAAAATATTGGAAGGGTCTATAAATAAAATTAGAAGAAATTTATTGTTATAGAGAGTTTTAAAAATTTAAAGACGAGTTTATCAATTTTTTGACTTTACTTTTTTGTCGGGAAAAACTTGTAAAATTATTTTTTAAGAGTAAATAATTTTTTTCGGAATTAAAACACATGGGAGTAGTGTGGAAATCTTGGAATATCCGGAACCGAGCCGAAAAACCTCGGTTCAGCTGCAAACCGAACTGACAACCCTACATTTTATGGTTTATTTTTAATTAACTTTCCGGAAAAGTTTTCACAATTCGTATTTTAGAATTGTAAAACAAACGAAAAATTAATTGTAAGTTGACTGGTTTATTTTTACAAGTTTTTTTATCTCTCTCCCTTTTATAGAATATTTTTGTTGTTTTGTTAAACACGTTTATTTCATTTGTTTTTACCATGCTTTTAATAGCATAGATTTATATTCAGGTAGAAATTGAATAAAAAAATTTTTTGAAGAATTTTTTTTATTTTTAAAATATTTTTTTTATATTTATATATTTATTTTTTTTTAATTTTCAAAAAAAACTTTTTTTAACAGCTAATTTTTAATTTAATTTTTTGAAAAATATTGTTATGGTTGATGCAAACTTCAGAGAAGAATTGTCTAGAAGGCGTGAAAAAGTAGAAGATATTTATAATTATGAAGGAAATAAGGTTTTTTTTTATTTTTTTTAATTTTTTTTTAATTGAAAATATTTTTAGGGAAATTTTTTTGGAAAAATTTGTTCGAGAAAAATTTTTTAAAGAATTTTTGGGAAATTTTCTTTGAATTTAAGAAAATTATTTTCCGGAAAATTTTTTGAATTCTTTTAAAATTTTTCCATTTTTGAAATTAAAAGAAATTTTTCAATTAAAAAAAATTTTTTGAAAAGGTGGGCAGAGGTACCTATGGACATGTTTACAAAGCAATGTTAAAAAATGCACCCATTGGATCTGAAAATAAAGCTTTTGCTTTAAAACTTATTGAAGGTTTTTTTCAAATATTGGGGTAAAAAATTTTATTATTTTTTAATTTTTAGGACAAGGGTTTTCAATGTCTGCGTGTCGTGAAGTTTCTCTTTTGCGGGAATTGAAGTTTGTTTCTGATTTTTTTTTAATTTTCAAAAAATTTTTTTTTTCAAGTCATCAAAATATAATTAAATTATTGCGTGTTTTCCTAACTGCTGAAAAACGTGTTTGGTTGCTTTTTGATTATGCTGAACACGATTTGTGGCATATCATAAAATATCATAGAGCAGCAAAACAAAAGAATCGTCCAGTTATGGTTTGAAGTTTTTTTTTTGAATTAAAAAAAAAATTTTTTTTGAAAGGTACCCAAAGGAATGGTGAAAAGTTTACTTTATCAAATATTGGAAGGAATTAATTATTTACATGATAATTGGATTATGCATAGGGATTTGAAGGTTTTTTTATTTTTTTAAATTAAAATGAGACTTTGTCTTGTGACTTTTAAATGTTCGCAAGTTTTATCCGCAATAACTTTTTCCATTATATTTGGTTGCTTAAAGGATCCAGTCAAACGTATTCCCTTCTTTTTCTATCTATAAGGATTAGGATTGCCGTTTTCGAGTCGGGCCGACAGCCGAGGCATTTTTTCGGGCTTGTTTTTATCGAATCGGTCAGGCACGAGTCTTTTTCGGACCAGATATCTTAGGCCGACTCTATCTTTCGGCCCGAGTCGGGCCATTTTGACAACCCTAATAAGGATGCATTCTATATTACGTTGACAAACTCGTTTTCCCATAGAGAGAGAATTTTTTAAGTGTGCGAAGTTTTAGAAGAAAACTTGCGGTTTTGAAAGCATAAAGTGAACCGACCCTTTTAGAAAATTTTTTAGAAATAAAAATAAAATTTTTCCAAATAAAGCCAGCCAATATACTTGTTATGGGTGAAGGAACAGGAATTGAACGTGGAAGAGTTAAAATTGCCGATATGGGGTTTGCTAGAGTTTTTCATATGCCTTTGAAGGTTTTTTAAGTTTAAAAGTAAAATAATTATTTGTTTTTTATAGCCTTTATCTGATCTAGACCCAGTTGTCGTTACTTTTTGGTATCGTGCACCTGAACTTTTGTTGTGCTCAAAACATTATACAAAGGTTTCTAAAAGATTTTAAGGAGTTGGGTGTTGTGGTGTAGTGGGTTAAGTTTTTGGTGAGGGTCGGAAGTTCGAATCCGCCTGGGAGTTTTTGACTTGTTTTTGTTTCTTTTTTCGTATAAAAGTGTTTTCAACGTTTTAGAATAATTTTTAAACATGCTATTGAATTTTGGGAGTGTTTAGGAAAATGGTGGACAGTAGATCCTTTGGAGATCCTTTTTGGACAGGAGACCCTTTTTGGCCCATAACTCTTTTGGGTTTTAACTTTTTCTCGAAATTTTGATATCAAACGGAAGCTCTAAATGTGCTTATTCTTTTTCCCAACTAGAGTAAATAGATTCGATCATTCACTAAATTAAATAAAATTTTTCTTTTGAGGGAATTGATATATGGGCAATTGGATGTATTTTTGCTGAATTATTAACGTCTGAACCTATTTTTGTTTGTCCTGAGGTTTTTTTAATTGTTAGAAATTTTTTTCATTTATTATTTAAGGAAGATATAAAATCTCAAACTCCTTACCACCCTGCACAATTAGACAAAATATTTTCTGTGATGGGATATCCACATCTTGATGAATGGCCTGATATAAAGGTTGTTTAAAAAAGTTTTTTTGAGTTTATTTGAGACTCTCGTAAACCCTAGTGCGTCGAAATACCTCTACTCCCTAAAAGTCGTCAACGTGGATATGTCTCCGCGTCTCTTCCACAGTTTGGTATTTCGGCGGTTTTGGTGGGTTTGGTTTGGCGTTTGGTATTTCAGCATCCTACCTTGCGTAGCGTGGTATAGGCTGAACCGATACCTTGTAGCCATATTTGGAATCCATCCGTAAATTCTGTCCGCATATTTTATCCGCAATTTTTTCTGTGTCCGCAAATTTTGTCCGCAAAAATCTTTAAAAATGTTTTTTTCATTTTTTAAAGAAAATGCCAGGATATTCCAAACTTTATGACGATTTTGAAAAACCACGAAGAGAAGGAAAATATAAAGGTTCATCATTAAAAAAACATATGGAAAAATATAGAAATACAAGTGGATTAACTGAAACACCAATTTGGGAACAAGCATTTTCTCTTTTGGATAGAATGTTAACTATGGATCCACAAAAGAGAATAACTGCAGCTGAGGCTAAGGAACATAGATATTTTAAGGTTATTTTTTTAAAGTTGTTTTGAGAAAATTTAAGAAGAAAAAAAATTTTGTCCGCAAAAATAAATTTTTGTCCGCAAAAATAATTTTTTGTCCGCAAATATTTTTTTTGTCCGTAAATTATTTTTTTAGTCCGCAAATATTTTTTTGTCCGCAAAAATTTTTTTTGTCCGCAAAAATTATTTTTCATTTTTTTTTGTGTAGCTTGAACCAACACCTGCAAGTGATGTTTTTGCTGGATGTCTTATACCCTATCCAAGAAGGGAATTTCTTAAAGACGAGCCAGAAGATAGAAATAGTGGTTCTAAACAACAGGTTTTTTTGGGAAAATTGTTATTAAATAAATTTTTTCTTAAAGGCTCCAACTTTACCTGTAGTAGCTGTGCCTCCAACAGTTCCAGCACATACACATAATCCTCCAACAATGGAACCACCTGCTGCAAAGAAACTTAGACAACAACAACACCAAGTTATTCATTCTGGGGGAACGAATACTTCAAGTTTAACACAACAACAGGTTATTGAAGGATTTTTAAAGAGGATTTCTGGTTCTTTTCCTTTTGTAACCTCAAAAGTTCGAAGGTTTTACTCGAAAAATCTATTTTATGACACTTTTTTCTATTATGTGTTAAGGCTTTAAGTACCTGTTCCTCCAACATTAACGTAGCTAGGGCGTAGCTAGGGGTCGGATTTCAGGGACTGGCTACTAGAGATCGAGCTATCCTGGACCAAGGCCTGGTTTTTTCTGTACCCAGAGTCCAGGCCCAGGCATTTTTTGACCTTCTTGGGTTTACTACAGGCCTAGGATCCGGCCCACGTCAATAAATCAAACCCCAGTCCAAGAGCAGGTTCAGGCTTTTCAAAAATCTCGATCTCTACTGGCTATGTCCTTGAGTAGTAACTGTTCTTTTTTTGCTTATTTATAAAAAAAATTTTTTTTATAGCAACAAATAAAGCAACAAAACCAACAACAACAACCTATAATGACAGGAAATGGAATGGTAATATTGGGTGGTGGAGGAACTAGTGGGGGAGGAGTTATTCCTCAGCAACCTCAACAACAACAAATGGTTGTTGAACAAATAAATATGGCGCACGGTTTTTTTTTTAATTTTTTTGAAATTTCTAGTCTTAAAAAAATTGCAGGAATGCAAATGAAAACTGAATTTGGGACAAATATGGGAACTATGGATGGAGGAGGAGGAAATATTGTACAACAACAAGTTGGAGGTGTACAACAAGGTGGGGGAGTACAGCAACAAAATATCAGTGGTGGACATTTTGATGGTTCTCATAATATAATGACTGGAGGGGGTGGTGCTCCACAACAAGGACAACAACAAATGGTTAGTGGAGGTTATTCAATGCAACAACCACAAATGTTTCATTCCAATGTTCCTCAACAACCAACACAGCAGCAACAAGCTCATGTATGCACATTATTAGCCATAACTTTTTTGAACTTTAATCTTTTCTTATGATTTATATATCATTCGAAAGCCCTGAATGTGTTGAGTATTTTTCCAAGGGGAGTGATAAGATCCGATGGCTCCTTAAAGAGTTATCAACTGATAAGCGCAGAAAATCGTGATTTCCGACCTTTATTGGGCCATAACTTCTTTTAACTTCAGCCTTTTCTCATAATTTATACATCAATCGAAAGCTCTGAATTTCCCGATTATTTTTCACAAAGGGACTGATAAAATCCGATCACTTCCCAAAGAGTTATCAACTGATAAGCGCAGAAAATCGTGATTTCCTATCTTAATTGGGCCATAACTTTTTAATAAACTATCAAATTTAATCAGTCCTTTTGGAAAAAAGAATCAGGACATTCAGAGCTTTCGAATGATATATAGATCATTAAAAAACATTGAAATCGAAAAGAGTTATGACCCAAAAACTAGAAGCTCTTATAATGTTCCCTATTTTTCCTCTAGTTATCTCAACAACAACAAATTCAAATAAACAATCAAATGGTTGGGCAACATCACGGAATGTTACCTCAACAACAAATGAGAAATGTTCAGAATAATAACGGACAACAACAAATAATACAACATCCAAACCAACAACAACAATATATACAACAAAACATGCAACAAAACATCCAACAACAAATACCGAATAATAATAACCAACAAACAATGTTGTCTACATCTCAACAACAACAACAGACTTCACAACAACATTTAATTCAACAACAAATAAATATGCAACAAATACAAAGAAATCAAATGTTTTCACAACAATTACAACATCAGCAACAACAACATTTAGCTCAACAACAACAAATAATGCAACAACAACATAGTAATAAACATATTTTTAGTAAAACTTAAAAACATGTTTGTAAAACAGCTACTAAACATATTAAAACAAACAAACAACACTAGGTTTTCCGGAAAATTTAAAACATGTTTTAAAACTTAAAAACATGTTTGTAAAACAACTACTAAACAAATATTAAAACAAAACACATTAAGTTTTCCGGAAAACTTAAAAACATGTTTTAAACCTTAAAAACATGTTTGTAAACTTAAAACATGTTTGTAAAACAAACAACACTAATTTTCCGGAACTAAATAATTTAAACATCCGGAAAACTTGGTGTTGTTGAGCTATTTGTTTTACAAACATGTTTTTAAGCGACATGTTTGTTTTCTGGTTTTGTAATGTTTTTATTTGTTTTCAGCTCTTTATTTGTTTGCAAATGTTTTTCTGATTTTTCCTTATTTTTATTCTGATTTTATATTTTAGTGCAACAACAACAAAATATGCAGTTTCCTCCACAACAACAACAAATGGGAGTAATAAATCCACAACAACAACAACAACAACAACAACAACAATTTATGATGTCTCAACAACAACAAAGAATGGGACAACATCAACAACCTCAACAACATCCTCACAATCAACATAGACCTTATTAATTAATTTTTTTGTTTTATTCTTGTTTCTTTCCTATTCACAACAGCAATTAATAATAATTTTTTCCTGTTTCCATATTTTTTTCAAAATTTTATAAAAGAAAAGGTTTAGTTTATTATTGTTTTTTAGGGTTTTTAAGGTTTTTCCTTCCTTTCCATGTTTTTTACTTCAGTTTAAAACGCCATTTGTCATTCAATTTGACTGTTTTATTTAGAGCTCTTCTCATTTTCTCTTCTAAAATATATTTTTTTCTCGTCTTTGAGTGATGTGTCAACCCCAAAACTAAACAGACATTTAATCTTCTTTATCCATGGATTTGTTTTTTCATTAAAATAATTCAAGTTTGTAATCTTAAAGTTAATTGTAAAACATGCTTATTTATATTTACAAACTTATTCTGAACATGTTTTTGAAAAATGTTTTTATTTTATGATTCCAAAACAAGTTCATTTCAAAATTTTGTTTTAAAACTTGTTTTACAACTTATTTATTCTAAACATCTTTTAAAACAAGTTTATTTGTAAAAACAAGTTTTTGCTTGTAAAAACAAGTTTATTTATTATATGTTTGCAGCATGTTTTTATTTTAAACTATTTATCTGCAAAACAAGTTTATTTAAAACAAGTTTATTTATTTGCTGAACTTGTTTTCTAAAACATGTTTTAAAACATGTTTTTATGTTAAAACTTTATTTTCAACAAGTTTGTAAAACAAGTTTATTTATTTGTTTTGTTTTACTCAATGAGAACAACAACATTTAAATGATTCCCAACAACAAAAATTATTTAAGAGCACCATCTCAACATGAACACAAACATGTTGCCCAACAACCCCATTTTCTAGGAGAAGAATTTCGAGCATGTTTTGGCCATTTACACATTGTAAAAACATTTAAGCAAACTTAAAAACATTTTCTCTTGATATTTATATACCGACACTGTTCGCCTCTTGATATTTGCTGATTTGTTCAGATTAGCAATAGAATTAATTTATTTTATTCCATATATTGGACGTATAGATGCTTCAACTTCTTTACAAATTGGTTGGTCTAGTGTTGGATTTTTTCTAGCAATTATTCCAATTTTTGGAGGAAAACGAGGCGAAAAACATTACAAATATCTTTGGCCTTTGTTGTCTTTAAAGGTTGAAAATATTGAAAAAATTGAAAAAATTATTTTTTTTTTCTCAAAAAGATTATGGAATGTTCTGTTTGTGTTCTCCTCTTAGTCTTCACTTTTATTCTTGGCGTTACTGGCCCTCTTGGATATGCGCTACTTAGGCTTGTAATCCAATGGAAATACAGAAGGATAGAAGGTGGGGAAGGATAGAAGGTCTAATGATTTGCATATCAATCGAAAGCCCTGGATGTACTGATTATTTTCCCCAAAAGGACTGATAAGATCCGATCACTCCCTGGAAAGTTGTGAACTGATAAGTGCGGAAAATCGTGATTTTCGCTCTTTATTGGACCATAACTTTCTCCAACTTCAATATTTTTAAATGATTTAAATATCAATCGATAGACCTGAATTTACTGATTATATTTCCCAGTGGAAATGATAGGATCCAGTCAGTCCATAAAAAGTTATAAGCTGGTAAGTGCGGAAAACCGTGATTTCCGCCCATTGTTTACCCATAACTTTGGGTTTGCTAGAGTTTTTCATATGCCTTTAAAGGTTTCTTAAATTTAAAAATAAACAATTAATTTAATTTTTTATAGCCTTTATCTGATTTAGACCCAGTTGTTGTTACTTTTTGGTATCGTGCACCTGAACTTTTGTTGTGTTCAAAACATTATACAAAGGTTTCTGAAATATATAATTGCGTTAGGTTTTGTGGTGTAGTGGGTTAAGTTGTTATTAGGGGTTACAGGTTCGAGTCCGTGGGGCAGTTTTTGACGTGTTTCTGTTTGTTTTTTCGTATAAAAGTGTTTCTAACGTTTACGAAAATTTTTTAAACATGTTGTTGAATTTTGGGGGCATTTGGGAGGGTATTGGACAGTAAGTCCTTTGGAGATCCTTGTTGGTAGAGCCTAATTAGGCTAACTTAAAAAAAATTTTTTCTTTGAAGGGAATTGATATATGGGCAATTGGTTGTATTTTTGCTGAGCTGTTAACGTCTGAACCTATTTTTGTTTGTCCTGAGGTTTTTTTAATTGTTAGCAATTTTAATTCTTTTACTGTTTAAGGAAGATATAAAATCTCAAACTCCTTATCATCCCGCGCAATTGGACAAAATATTTTCTGTGATGGGATATCCACATCTTGATGAATGGCCTGATATAAAGGTTGTTTAAAAAAATTTTTTTCTGAGTTTATTTGGAGTTTATTTGAGTCTCTCGTAAACAAATAACGTGGCCGTAGCGCCAAAGCGTCGAAATAGCTAACCCCTAAAAGCCGCTGACGTATTTATTTTGGTATGTTTTGGCGTCTCTTTCACAGTTTGGTATTTTGGCGGTTTTGAGGGGTTTGGTTTGACGTTTGGTATTTGAGCAGTATACCTTGCGGAACAAGGTATGAGGCTGACCCATACCCTGTAGTATTTGGAATCCATCCGTAAATTCTGCTGCAAATTCTGTCCGCAAATTTTTTGTCCGCATTTTTTGTCCGCAAAAATCTTCCAATAAATTTTTTATATTTTTTAAAGAAAATGCCAGGATATTCCAAACTTTATGACGATTTTGAAAAACCACGAAGAGAAGGAAAATATAAAGGATCATCACTAAAAAAACATATGGAAAAATATAGAAATACAAGTGGATTAACAGAAACACCAATTTGGGAACAAGCATTTTCTCTTTTGGATAGAATGTTAACTATGGATCCACAAAAAAGAATAACTGCAGCTGAGGCTAAGGAACATAGATATTTTAAGGTTTTTTAAAATTGTTTTGAGTAAATTTAAGAAGAAAAAAAATTTTGTCCGCAAAAATAAATTTTTGTCCGCAAATATTTTTTTTGTCCTCAAATATTTTTTTTGTCCGTAAATTATTTTTTTTAGTCCGCAAATATTTTTTTGTCCGCAAAAATTATTTTTCATTTTTTTTGTGTAGCTTGAACCAACACCTGCAAGTGATGTTTTTGCTGGATGTCTTATACCCTATCCAAGAAGGGAATTTCTTAAAGACGAGCCAGAAGATAGAAATAGTGGGTCTAAACAACAGGTTTCTTTTTGGGAATTTTTTAATTAAAAAAATATTTTCTTAAAGGCCCCAACTTTACCTGTAGTAGCTGTGCCTCCAACAGTTCCAGCACATACACATAATCCTCCAACAATGGAACCACCTGCTGCAAAGAAACTTAGACAACAACAACACCAAGTTATTCATTCTGGTGGAGGAACAAATACTTCAAGTTTAACACAACAACATCAGGTTTTGAGGGGTTTTTTAAAGAAAATTTTTGGTTTGTACCCTCGAAAGTTCGCAAGTTTTTATGGAAAATCTATTTTATCACACTTTTTCTATTATGTGTTAGAGACTCCAAGTATCCGTTCCTCCCAATAGTAGCAGCTAGTATGTAGCTAGGGGTCGGATTTCAGGGACTGGCTACTAGAGATCGAGCTATCCTGGACCAAGGCCTGGTTTTTTCTGTACCCAGAGTCCAGGCCCAGGCATTTTTTGACCTTCTTGGGTTTACTACAGGCCCAGGATCGACCCATGTCAATAAATCAAAACCAAGAGTCCAGGAACAGGCCCAGGCTTTTCAAAAATCTCGATCTCTGCTGGCTATTCCGTAGCTGTTCCTTTTATCTTTTTTGATTTCCTGCTGATAAAATTTGCTTATTTATAAAAAAATTTTTTCTATCAACAGATAAAGCAACAAAACCAGCAGCAACAACCTATAATGACAGGAAATGGAATGGTAATATTAGGTGGTGGAGGAACTGGTGGAGGGGGAGTTATTCCCCAACAACCTCAACAGCAACAAATGGTTGTTGATCATCAATCACAGATAAATATGGCACACGGTTTTTTTTTGAAATTTCTAGTCTTAAAAAAATTGCAGGACTGCAAATGAAAACTGAATTTGGGACAAATATGGGAACTATGGATGGAGGAGGAAATATTGTACAACAACTTGGGGCTGTACAACAAGTTGGGGGAGTACAGCAACAAAATATGAGTGGACATTTCGATGGTTCTCATAATATAATGACTGGAGGGGGTGGTGCACCACAACAGGGACAACAACAAATAGTTAGTGGAGGTTATCCAATGCAACAACCCCAAATGTTTCATTCTAATGTTCCTCAACAACCAACACAGCAGCAACAACAAGCTCATGTATGCACTTTATTATGGCTATAACTTTTTTTAATTTTAATCCTTTCTTATGTTTTATATATCAATCGAAAGCACTGAATGTGCTGAGTATTTTTCCCAAAGGGACTGATAAGATCCCATCAGTCCCCACAAAGTTATCAACTGATAAGTGCGGAAAATCGTGATTTTCGGTTTTTATTGGGCCATAACTTCTTTTAACTTGACTCTTTTCTCATAATTTATACAGCAATCGAAAGCTCTGAATTTCCCGATTATTTTTCCCAAAGGGACTGATAAGATCCCATCAGTCCCCACAAAGTTATCAACTGATAAGTGCGGAAAATCACGATTTCCTACTTTTATTGGGCCATAACTTTTTAAGAAATGATCGAATTTAATCAGTCCTTTTGGAAAAAAGAATCAGGACATTCAGAGCTTTCGAATGATATATAGATCATTAGAAAATATTGAAATTAAAAAGAGTTATGACCCAAAAATAGAAGCCCTTATAATGTTTCCGCTTTTCCTCTAGTTATCTCAACAACAACAAATTCAAATAAACAATCAAATGGTTGGGCAACATCACGGAATAATTCCTCAACAACAAATGAGAAATGTTCAGAATAATAACGGACAACAACAAATAATACAACAACATCCAAACCAACAACAACAACAATATATACAACAAAACATGCAACAACAAATACCTAACAATAACCAACAAACAATGCTGTCTACATCTCAACAACAACAACAAACTTCTCAACAACATTTAATTCAACAACAAATAAATATGCAACAAATACAAAGACAACAAGTAGTTTTTTCACAACAATTACAGCATCAGCAGCAACATTTAGCTCAACAACACCACCAACAACAACAAATAATGCAACAACAACATAGTAATAAATATATTTCTATTTAAAACTTAAAAACATGTTTGTAAAACAAATGTTAAAACAAACAAATAACACGAAGTTTTCCGGAAACAGATTATTATAAAAATGTTTTATTCCGGAAAACTTAAAAACATGTTTTAAGCCTTAAAAACATGTTTTAAAACTTAAGAACAGGTTTGTAAAACAGACAACACCATGTTTTCCGGAAAATACCCTAAAACATATTTTAAACTTAAAAACACGTTTTAAGTTTAAAAACATGTTTGGAAAACAAGCAACACCAAGTTTTCCGGAAGTAAATAATTTAAACTTCCGGAAAATTTGATGTTGTTGAGTTCTTTGTTTTACAAACATGTTTTTAAGTGACATGTTTGTCTTATTGTTTTAAAATGTTTTTATTTGTTTGCAAATGTTTTTCTGATTTTTCCTTGTTTTTATTCTGATTTTATATTTTAGTTCAACAACAACAAAATATGCAGTTTCCTCCACAACAACAACAACAAATGGGAGTAATAAATCCACAACAACAACAACAATTTATGATGTCTCAACAACAACAAAGAATGGGACAACATCAACAGCAACCACAACATCCTCACAATCAACATAGACCTTATTAATTTTATGTTTTGTAATAATAATTTTTCTTGTCTCCATATTTTTTCAAAATTTCATAAAAAGGTTTAGTTTATTATTGTTTTTAAGGTTTTTTAAGGTTTTTCCTCCTTCCTTTCCATGTTTTTTTCTTCAGTTTAAAACGCCATTTGTCATTCAATTTTGACTGTTTTATTTAGAGCTCTTCTCATTTTCTAAAATATATTTTCTTCTCGTCTTTGAGTGATGTGTCAACCCCAAAACTAAACAGACATTTAATCTTCTTTATCCATGGATTTGTTTTTTCAGTAAAATAATTCAAGTTTGTAATCTTAAAGTTAATTGTAAAACAAGTTTATATCTACAAACTTATTCTGAACATGTTTTTGAAAAATATTTTAATTTTATGATTCTAAAACAAGTTCATTTCAAAATTTTGTTTTAAAACTTGTTTTACAACTTATTTATTCTAAACATCTTTTAAAACAAGTTTATTTATTTGTAAAAACAAGTTTGTTTACTTATAATATGTTTGCAACATGTTTTTATTTTAAACTTTATCTGCAAAACAAGTTTATTTAAAACGAGTTTATTTATTTGCTAAATTTATTTCTTAGAACATGTTTTAAAACATGTTTTTATTTACAAACCTTATTGTCAACAAGTTTGTAAAACAAGTTTATTTATTTGTTTTGTTTTATCCATAATGAAAACAACATTTAAATGATTCCCAACAACAACAACAATTATTTAAGAGCAACATCCCAACAACATGAACAAAAACATGTTTCCCAACAACCCCATTTTCTAGGAGAGGAATTTCGAGCATGCTTTGGCCGTTTACATATTGTAAAAACATTTAAACAAACTTAAAAACATTTTCTCTTGATATTTATATACCGACACTGTTCGCCTCTTGATATTCGCTGATTTGTTCAGATTAGCAATAGAATTAATTTATTTTATTCCATATATTGGACGTATAGATGCTTCAACTTCTTTACAAATTGGTTGGTCTCTTGTTGGATTTTTTCTAGCAATTATTCCAATTTTTGGAGGAAAACGGGGTGAAAAACATTACAAGTACCTTTGGCCTTTGTTGTCTTTGAAGGTTGAAAAATTTTAAAATAAATTAAAAAAAAATTTTTTGAAAGATTATGGAATGTTCTGTTTGTGTTCTTCTCTTAGTCTTCACTTTTATTCTTGGAGTTACTGGCCCTCTTGGATATGCATTGCTTAGGCTTGTAATCCAATGGAAATACAGGAGGATAGAAGGTGGGGAAGGATAAAGGGTCTAATGGTTTACTACCATTCGATAGCTCTGGATGTTTCGATTATTTTTCCCAAAAGGACTGATAAGATCCGATCACTCCCAGGAAAGTTATGAGCTGATAAGTGCGGAAAATCGTGATTTTCGCTCTTTATTGGACCATAACTTCTTTGAACTTCAATATTTTTAAATGATTTAAATATCAATCGATAGACCTGAATTTACTGATTATATTTCCCAGTGGAAATGATAGGATCCAGTCAGTCCATAAAAAGTTATAAGCTGGTAAGTGCGGAAAACCGTGATTTCCGCCCATTGTTTACCCATAACTTTGTACAACATCCATCTATTTCAGCGATTTATGTATCAATCGAAAGCTCTGGGTCTACTGATTATTTTTCTCAGCGGGACTGATAAGCTCTAATCGCTCCTTAATAAGATATGAGCTGATAAATGTGTCGTGATTTCCTAGTAACTGAGGACACTCATATGAGATCCCGTATTCCCGTAAGTCTTAATTCTAATTTACTCCATTTAATCAGATGATCATTCAATAATAACATTCTCCTTAACAACATTTTTGTTTATTTCTATATTGTTGGTATTTAATTGTTATGTGCTTCACAAATATTGGCGTCTACGAAATTTCTTGCGTTCTAAAACACTTTATATTTATTTGAGGCAAAGAAATGAAGTGATTAGAGTAATTAGACCTTCCTTCTCTTTGTTTTGTTGATTTTTTTGTTTTTAATGATAAAATGTTTTTGTGAATTGCCTCAGGGCATATTGTCACCTTCCAAAACGCTTAACCCAACAGATCACCTTATCAAAAATCCTTTTGGATTACATTTAAAAATAAATTCAAGTTGGAGATTAACACATACTATATAGAAGAAATACTTAAATTTTATTGAGCAAGATTAGTTGTGCAATTGAATGTGCATCCATCTTAAATTTGCATATTTCGAAGGATGAACAAATTAATTAAATTTCCGTTTATCTTATTCTTACAAAACATCTTTTACGAAAAACATTAAAAACAATGTTTTTGAAGAATAAACTTTCCGGAAAACATTCGAAATAATGTTTATTAGAAATGTTTTCCGGAAAAAGCTAAAAACATTGTTTAAAACAAAGTTTTCCGGAAAACACAACAAATAAACACATCAAAAACACAATATAACTAAAACATCCAAGTTGAACAAAAACATTTCCGGAAAACATGTTTTCAAGTTTGCAAACTTATGTTTTTATTTTTCCGCAAACTTGAATAAAATTAATTAGTCGATGTTTTAGTGTTGTTTTGTTTTTAGTCCATCAGCTTAGTGTTTCTCAACATCCCTTTTTCCTTTTAAAGGCAGACTTGAGGTAGAGAGCAAACAAATAAGTATTAGTCTATTACTGTAATATATACACCCAATAAGAGAAGAAAATGAAAAAACGCGCGAAAAGGGTAAAAAAGGAAGAAAAAAGGATATTATTTAGCCGGAAATTTATTTTTATAAAAACAAAAGACCGCCCCAAGCCTTCGAGACTTGGTTGAGTTTAATCCTTATAATTATTGAATAGTGTAACTCTTTCTTGGTTTATTACTTAAAAAATAGAGTAAAGGAGGTAAAGGCTTTAAACCTTATTTTTCCTTATTTTTAAGAAACAAAAACTTTAAAAACCCTCAGGCACGTAAAAAAGAAAACATTTTTTGCTGTTATTAAAGTGCCAAGAATATTTAGACAAGTATGAGACAATGAAAAAATATTTTTGTTATAAAAAATATCAGACTCTAATGACCTTAAAATTTTAATGAATTTGGAAGAACAAGTTGGTCAATTACAACAAACATTTTTCGCTTTACAAAACAATGAACAAAGCAACAACATTAATGGAATTACAAACTCAGAAAATGAACAAAACATTCTGGTAAAAACAAACTTAAGTTTGTAGTATAATAAACATTAAACCTTTTCCGGAAAAACATTTGAAAGAAACAAACATTTAAGGGGAAACAAAACAAACTTTCCCAAACAACAAACAAAACACAAACAATAAACTTTTTCCGGAAAACATCTTTAAGGGAAAACATAGCAAAACACAAACAAAAACAAAACACACACACAAAACACACAACATTTAAAAAAGGAAACAAAACAAACATTCCTAAACAATTGCAAAACACAAACATTAAAAATTTCCGGAAAACATTTTTAAAGGGAAACATTACAAAACATTGTTTTTCTCAATTTCAGATCTCATCTATTAACAAAACATCAACCTCTAAACATGAACATAACTTTTCTTCCCCAGAAAATTTAGATTTCTCAATTTCTAGTCAAAGTTTAAACAACAATGATAAAATTCCTTTTGTGATAAGGCTACAGTCTCCTAATTTAAATTGCCAAACATTCCCATCAACAACAACAACATTTTTTGTAAAACAACTTGAGGAAACAAACGAAATATTTAGGGAAAACATAGATAATGGTAAAAACATTAAAACAAAATGTAAAACAATTACAACTTTCCGGAAAACACAAAAATACAAAACATTATGGAAAACAAAAATCAGAAAAACATTCAGGAAAACAAAAATAAGCTTTCGGAAAAACATTAAGGAAAATAGGAAAATACAAAACATCACAAAAAATAAAAACATTCTGGAAAAATCAGAATAATCTAAAAACATTCCGGAAACAAAACAAAAATACAAAACAATCCAGAAAAATCAGAACAAAACTAAAACATTTGAGAAAACACAAAAATACAAAACATTCCGGAAAAATCAAACAATCTAAAACATTCCGGAAAACATAGAAATATAAAACATGTTGGAAATAAAAATCAGAAAAACATCTCAGAAAACAAGTTTCCGGAAAAACATTAATAAAAACAAGAAAACACAAAACATTAACAAAAAATACAAAACATAAACAAAAACAAATAAGTAGGTGAAGCATCGTTCAAGGCTTATCAAAATGAAAATTTATATCAATCAGTTATAAACTGTGATGGTTGTGGAATGGGAATTCATGAAAGGTTTTGTAACAAAAAATTTCCTCAATAAAAACAAATTTTCAGGCATTTACTTTGTTTAAGCAAAAATTTAGAGAATTTAGAGAAAAGTTATTGGCATGAAAATTGTTTAACATGTGTAAAATGTAATAAAAATGTTGGGAACGATAATAAATGTTTTGTTCATGACGGTCGAATATTCTGTTCTGAAGATTATTCTATGTAGGTTTCAAAAACATTCTGAGGAAAACACAACAAAAACATTCCGGAAAACGCAAATTAAAAACAAAAGAAACACATTAAAATCATTCCGGAAAAACACATTTTAAAAACAAAACATTAAAACACAGAACATTAAAACACAGAACATTAAAACATATCCGGAGAAAACACAAAACATAAAAACACAAAACATTAAAACATACCTGGAAAACATAAATTATAACAACAACAAAACATACCGGAAAACATCCACTTGTTTTAAAAACACAAAACAACAAAAAAAACAAAAAAACATGGGAAAACAAAACATTAAAAATAAACGGAAAACATTCATAAAAACAAAACATTCAACAAACATTCACTCTATACAAACATTGACCAAACATTCCGGAAAACATTTTCTCTCTCTATAGTATTTCTACTCAAACATTATAAAACAATCCAACAAACTTATAATAGAAATATTAAAGCGCTTAAGAAGATGCGTGCCTTGAAATCCTTGAAAGTTTTACTTTTAAAAATTTAAAATATTTATAAAGTCTGAAATAAAAAAAAGGAAAGGCAGATAATTCTAAAAATAAAATTTTTATTTTTTCGGATTAACCCGCATTTAATTTTATATATCCTCTTCTCTTAATTTTAACTCAAGAGAAGATTTTTTGACACTTTAAAAACATATTTTTGACACAAGAGGTTTTTATTGGGCTTAAGCAAATGAGTGACAGAAAAACAATAAAAACACAAAAACACAATCAATATGGAATATAAATTAATTAAATTTTCCGGAAAACATAGCAGCAAACAAAAAAACATGAAAAACAACAAACATTCTGGAAAACATTCATTTCATAAAAACATTCATAAAAACAACAAGCTTTCCGGAAAACATTTTTCAAAGGGAAACTATGTTGTGAAAAACATACAAAAGCACAGCACAAAACACCAAACAAACACATAAAAATCAAACAAAACATTAAACAAACAAACATGTATTTTTAAAACATGTTATTATTAAAAACACATGTGTTTTTAATAACTATAATAATTTTGCAATTAAAAATATAGAGAAAAAAGGCTTCTTAAATATACAAGGATAATAAAGGATAATAAAAAATAATATAATGAGTATTAGCGGAAAATGAGAATCAAAGAAGAGACAATAAATTAATTTAAAGGCTTCTTGCCGTGTTTTTTTTTATTTAATTTTGGAGTATATAATATATTAAAGTCATTAAATTACGAGAAGTGGATATAAAAAATTAGAAAAATGACAAGAAAAACATAAAAAATTTTGATAAATGTTTAAAGCTATTTATTGGAGATTTATAACAACGTTAAGAGAAAAATAAAACAAAAATACAAAACCAGAATTAAATCACAACAAAAAATACAAAACCAGAATAAAATTAAAACAAAAAATACAAAAAAACAGAATTAAATCACAACAAAAACACAAAACATAAAACAAAGGAAAAATAGAAAAACCAGAACAAAATTAATAAACTTTCCGGAAAACATAAAGTAAAAACACTGTAAAGCAATAAAAATCAGAATTAAATTAAAACAAAAGCAGAAACACAGTAAAAACACAACAATAAAAACAGAATAAACACAAAAACATTACAACAAACATTGGGAAAACACATGTTGTAAAAACAGAAAAACATATAAAACAAAATAAAAACACACCCAGAAACACGCAACAAAAACAAAAATTAATTGATGTATATCCTATTTTTCCAGGCTTTTTGGCCCCAATGCCCAAGCAACATGTACTCGTTGTGGTCAATCTATAACACCTACAGAACTTGTATATAGAAGTGCAGGCATTTTTGTTTATCATCTAAATTGTTTTACATGTTTTTGTTGTGGACAACAACTAACATTAGGGGAACAATATATAAATGTTGGGGGACAATTAATTTGTCAACGGGAAGTTAATTTATGGAGATTGCAACAACAACAACAACAACATTTGGGTAATTTAATGTTTTTATGTGTTTTTGTTTTGAATAGTAAAAATCAGAATTTGAAACAAACATGAATTAAAACCAGAATATTAAAAAAACATTCCGGCATTCCGGAAAAACATTCCAACTTTCCGGAAAACTATTAAAAACATTTATAGAAAATTGTGTTTCTTTCCGGAAAACTATTAGAGAAAAATACAAAACCTTCCGGAAAAACATTTTACTTTCCGGAAAAACAATTAAACAAAAACACAAAACTTTCCGGAAAAACATTCTGGTTATTCTAAAACAAACATATTTAAGTAAAAACACAAAACATTTGAGGAAAACATTTAAACATTCCGGAAAACAAATACATTTTTAAAAAACACAAAACATATTCCGGAAAAACATTTAGACATTTCAGCACAACAAACAAATTTTCTACCAATCCCACAATTCCCAGAACTAGAATTTAATTTACAAAGACAAAACTATAATAATCGACCTCATCGTCGACATCGAGACAGATCAAAAAAGATTCCAAAAAGACCCCGAACAATCTTGAATGCACCACAGAGGAAAGCATTTAAATATGCTTTTGAGAAAGGGCAGAAACCAACAAGAAAAGTGAGTAGAAAATAAAAAAACGAATAAAATATAAAAATCAGAATGTTAAATAAACTTGGAAAAATCAGAATTTGAAATGAACATGTTTTAAAAAATCAGAATTTAATTAAAACATCAAAATAAAACATAAACACGACCTACACGAATCAGAATTTAAAACAAACATAGAAACTATTCCTTTATAATTCTGATTAAATCAGAATCTAAACTGAACAAGTTTTAAAAAATCAAAACATAAACACTACATAGAATTTAAAATCAGAATTTAAAACAAACATAAAAACAAACAAATTCTGATCAAATCAGAATTTAAAACAAACATTTTAATACAATCAGAATTTAAAATAAACATTTTATTAAAAGGTAAGGGAACAATTAGCGCGTGAAACAGGCCTAAGTGTTCGTGTTGTGCAAGTATGGTTTCAAAACCAGAGGTTTAACTTTTAAAAAATTTTTTAATTTAAAAAAAAAATTTTAGAGCAAAAATAAAAAAGGAGAGTACTAAACGAGAATTAGACAAACAACAAAATATTTTTGAAAATAATAATGGAGGGAAACAGAGTGGTTCAAGTGCTGAAGAAGAAATAATTATGGGTGAAGGTAAGGGAAAAATTAAAAAAAAATTTGACCCTATCTGAAAAAGAGGGCGGTTTGATTTTTTTCATCATTTTTTCCAACCTTAATATATAAATAATGGTCAGTCTTTTTTCTTCGTTCAATTCCACTCTTTTTACCTGTGGCATATTCAAATGAGAGGACAGAAAAATACACTCACGACAGACAAAACACGGACGAGCACGGTCGAGCCCGGTCGAACACTGACGAGCACGGTCGAACACTGACGAGCACGGTCGAACACGGACGAGCACGGTCGAGCCCGGTCGAACACGGACGAGCACGGTCGAACACGGACGAGCACGGTCGAACACGGACGAACACGGACAGACAAAACTTGTCTGTAGTATGTGTGCTTTTCTGTCCTCTCATTTGAATATGCCACAGATAAAAAGAGTGGAATTGAACGAAGAAGAAAAGACTGCCCAATTATTTATATATTAAGGTTGGAAAAAAATGCTGAAAAAAATCAAACCGCCCTCTTTTTCAGATAGGGCCAAAAATTTTTTCGGAAATTAAAAAAAAATTTTCGAATTAAAAATTTTTTTTAGAAATTATTCTAGAATAATTAGTCTAAAAGAAGAAAAAATTTAAAAAAATAAAAAAATAATTTTTTTCGAAAATTAAAATTTTTTGAAAAAATTTTTTCAGAAATAATTATGAGTGAAGGTAAGAGAAAAATTGAAAAAAAAATTATTTTGAAAATTAAAAAAATTTTTAAAAAAATTTTCAAAAAAATTTAAGAAGATTAAAAGAAAAATTCAATAAAAAATTTTAAATAAAAATTTTTCAAAGAAGATTCTGATGAGTTTGATGTCGATAGCTGTTTAGATGATGAAGAGGAGGAATGGGAAGAAAAAGAAATTGTTATTGAAAAAAATATTCAAGAAAATCCACCCTCATTATATATTCAAAAAAGTGATCAAGACAAAAATAAAGAAGAAAATCAACAACAACAACAACAAAAACAAAATCCTATCGAGAAACTTTATAATATGCATCAAACATATTTTGCTTAGAAAAATTTGAACGAAAAAAAAGGAAGAGAATTTTTTGATCATTAAAGAAAATCCTCATTCGATCTCTTACTTATAAAAAATACTACTAGTCAAAATAAAAAATAAAAATTAAAAAAATATGTGATTTGAGGAATTTAAAAATGATGTGTTTTTTAGAACCTAGACAAAGAGAGAAAATAAAGTTGACTCTTGAAAATTTGAGTTAAAAATTTTTTTCTCAATTCACACCTACACTCTATACATTTACATTTAAGAATCTCAAAAAAAAAATTAAAAAAACCTAAAAATTCCAACTAGAGTTTAAGCCACCTTTTGAAGGGTAGAAGGACCAAACAACACCACCAAATTCTCAATTAAGAAACAATTTATTTGTTCAAAGGGCAGAAAAAAGGACTAAAATATAAAATAAAAATATTAATTTATTCATTTAAAAAAAAACCTGAAAAAAATATATTCGTGGACAAAACATGCTGACGTTAGACAGTTTAAGGGGGACGTTGATGCAATGGAAAAAATTAATTAATAAATTAAATATTCAAAGAAATGGATTAAAAATCCAATTTTAATTTAAAAAAAAATTAATTAAAAATTTTTAATCGAAAAAAATATATTTTTTTAAATTAAATTAAACAAAAAAAAATAACAAAAAAAATTTTTTTTTCAAACTAACTTGTGTCCAAAAATTGAAATTATTTTCATCCCCTCATTCTCTTCAACTTTTTTCTACCAATAAAGTTTTGGATTAAATCCTCTCTGAATACTTTTGTGGTTTGAAAAACGAGTACAATCAACCATCCACCGCCCATTTCGTCGAGTAAAGAAACAATAACGACAATGAAGTTTTAAGAACCATTTGGAAGTTAAATTAGCTTTTTGTTGAATTGAACAAACATTTGGTTGAATTAAAATGTTTGGATGACCAGAACAACAATGTTGGGAAGAATTGTTGTTGAGTAGAGAAGAAAAGAAACTTGCAACACGGTTAATTCGAACAAACATGTTTTTGTTTTTCTGAAAAAAAAGAAAACAGAATAAAACTTGAATAAAATTTAAAAATCAGAATTTAAAATGAACATGCTTAAATAAGGTAAAAAAACATTGGAATTAAAAATCAGAATATGTTCATTTTGTATTCTGATTTTTAATTTAATGTTTATTTAAAATTCTGTTTTGTATTTTATTCAATTTTATTTATAAATAAACCTGGAAATTAAAAAATCAGAATATAAAATGAACATGTTTTAAAAAATCAGAACAAACTATTAAAAACAACTTCCCAACAAAACACAATTTACAATAAAAACATTTAAAAAAATCAGAATTTAAAACAAACAAAAACATTTACAAACCAGAATATAAAATAAACATTAAACACTAAAAGATTCCGGAAACAAATGGACATTAAACATAACGCTCAAATTCAGCATAATGTGCAAAATTAATTTTGTTGTCATGGTAACTAAAAAACGTTGCTTTTTGACCATACAAAAAAATTTTTTAATTAAAACACAACGAAAAATTAAAATCTTGTTTGTATGAGTCAACAAATATTTGATGAAGCTGGACCAAGTACAAGCGCAGCCTCAATTAGACAACAACAACAAGTTTCACATTTAGAAAATGAAGATAAAAATTGTTTTTTGTTGTTGATTACTGGACAAATTGAAACTGTTGAGGTTTGCAGAAAAAAATATTAAAAACAAACTTTAGTAAAAACATTTACAACTTTTCCGGAAAACATTCTACAAACATTCCAGAAAAACAAACACAAATGTTTTTCTATAATAAAAACATTCTATAATAAAAACAAACACCTACAAACTTTCCGGAAAACATAAAAACAAATATCACAACATTCCGGAAAACATTCTAAACCAAACATTAACTTTTTTAAAAACACCCAACTACAACTTTTCCGGAAAACATTAAAACATCCCATAAAAACAAACATATAAACAACTTAAAACTTTCCGGAAAACAAGTTTATTTAATTTTCAAGTTTCTTTCAATACCCAATGTTTATTGTAAATATTGTTTTGTATATGGACCAGATTGGAGACAAGTTGGAGGAATGGAGGAAGGTTTTTTTGATGAATTGTTTTTATATGAATGTTGTATTTCAAGGTATCAGTGCAACAGCATACAAAACAGAAAGAAGTTTCAACAATCAAATTGTGCTCAACACCCCAATAGAAGCAACATTCTCTTCTACAAATCCATTTAAATGTAAAAAACAAATTTTAACGGAAAACATTTACAAACTTTAACCAGAACATTTATAAATTCTGGAGAAACAAACATTTTCCGGAAAAACATTAAAACAAGTTGTAAAAATAATACCAACTTGAATTAAGAAAAACATGTTTTTAGGGAAAACATTTAAAAGAGAAACAAACTTTTCCGGAAAACATGTTTATTTTATTAAAAAGACATTACGGAAAAACATTCCAACTTCAAAAACATACAAACATATAAATAAACATAACTAACTTGAGCAAAAACACAAAACAAACACAAACATCCCAACTTTAATAAAAACATTTATAATTTCTCACGAACAACTTTCCGGAAAAACATTTAAACAAACAAAACATACAAACAAAACATGCAAAACACAACAAGCTTAAACAAAAACACAAAACAAATAAACAGAACATTTCTCTCAATTTCAATAAAAACACAAAACAAACACAAACATTCCAACTTTAATAAAAACATTTATAACTTCCCAACAACAACTTTTCCGGAAAACATACAAACATTTCAGACTTAATTAAAACAAACAAACTTTCCCAACACAACAACAAACATTTTTAATTTAAGGGCCCCAACTTGTTTTGAGTTTTTACGGTCAAGACCCCTTTGGAAACGATGTAATAAGGGGGTATACATCTACACATTTACCTACTACACCTGGGAAGTAATTTAAAAAAATTTTTTTTTAATTTAATTTTTTTGAATTTAATTTTTAAAAAAGTATAAAAAGAAAATGCCCAATTTTCCTACCTCAAGCAACCACAAATATTCAAAAAATAATTGGTTTATTGACTGGACGTAGAGCTGAATTTATTGATCCTACAATTATTGCCAAAAGTGAAGGGAGAGAAGGCGAGTTGAAAAATTTTTTCTTTTTTGTTTTTAGGCTGACTGAAAAATAAAAAATAATTAAAAATAAAATTTTTTTAATTAAAAAAAATTTTGCGGACAAAAATTTAAATTTATAGAATTGAAGACAGTTGGTCCCAAGAACATTTTTTAAATTTTTATTGGGATATTCTAAGTTTATAAAAAATTAATTTAATGCCCAAAAAAGTTTATTTATTTTATATAAAATAAATTTTTAAGCGAGTGTTTGTAAATATCGCTCTATTCAGAAATTCTTTTAAAAATTCAAAAAAATTTTTTTTAATTTTTGTTGGGCTTCCTTCTTAAAAAATTAACTAAAAAAATTCAAAAAAATTTTCTTTTTTCAGTTACACGAGTATCTACCCAAGGTTTTGTAAATATATCCCTTTCTTCAATATTTAGAAATACAAAAAAATTTGGTTATAATTTGTCAAAACAAACTTTAATTAAATTTTCTGAATTTCCTTTGGATATTCCAAAAATTAATTTATTTGAAAAAGAGAAGAAACCTGAGGATTTACAAAAACAACAACAAAGAGTTGCAAAAATTGATAGGTTAAAAAAAGAAAAGGGAGGCCCTATTAAAATTCAAACTGATGTAGAAATTATTCAGGTTTGTTTAAAAAAATTTTTTAGAAAAACTTTCGACTTCCCCAAAAAATTTTAGAAAAATAAAATTAGGGACTCTACCAATCGGTAACAAAGATTTTTTCGGGGGAAATAACAAGGATTCTTAACAAGGATTTTTTCGGGGGAAAATTCACTTTTTTGTGCCGCAGACGAAAATTTTTGAGAATTTTGAAATCCTCCCCCTCTAACTCATGGTTACAGACCTAAGGCTATAGGACTAAACAATAAACCGATTTTTACATTTTCTCTTCCAAAATTAATTCCTTGGAATATCCAATCAAATCTTACCCAAAAAAATATCAAAAAATAATAACCTTGTATTTATTCCAAAACACAATTTCAAAAGACCTCCCAAATAAATTCCAAAGTTGTTCAACTAAAGTTAAAAAAATAATAAAATAAAAATTCTAATTAAACAAAAAAAAAACCTTCAAATATTAATTTTAAAAAATTTTAGGAGAGCGTAGAAGAACAAGATGACGAACAAAAATAAATTAGCCACACAATAGCAATATATAAATTGTCTAAAAAAATTATTTAAAATTTAATAAAAATATTTGAATTAATTTTAATTTAATCAAAAATAAATTTAGAAGAAAAAAAATTTTTTTTGAAGCAATATATTTATTTATAATCAACATTTTCCAATTTTTTTTAAATAATTGAATAACAACGCGCAAACAAAAAAATAATAATGAAAGAAAAAATGAATTTTTTTTAAAAAAAATTTTTGAAAAATTTTAGAAAAAAAAATTTTTCAAAAAATTTTTAAAAGATTTTTTTCTCATTTTTCAAATATATTTTATAAGGCAACGTGTAGAGACAATAAAATATAATAGGATATATGCAAGAATATGTTTATTGGAAACATTCTGTAAACTTAAGTTTCCGGAAAAAGATTAAACTTGAAAACTAATACAAGTTTGTAAACTTAAAAACTTAAGTTCTTAAGTTAGCAAAACAAGTTGCTTTTTTGATGTTTCAGAAAAACATCAAAACAAACAAGTTTTAAAGAAAATACAAAAGAAAACACATTTATTCCGGAAAACACAAAATATCAAAAATATACTTAAAACATGTTTTCCGGAATATATCAAAGTATAAAAACATTCCGGAAAAACATGTATTTTCTTTAAAACATTGTTCAAACAAACAAATATTCCTGCACTCATAACAACAAATAAAATACCAAACAAAAACATTTTTTCTTTCCTAAAAACAACTACCCATGTTTTTTTTAAAATGTTGATCTATATTATTTGTGTAGAGAAACTTCTTTCGTCATTCTTCATCAATTTCCATTTTTACCAAACAAATTTTTAAAAGAGAAAAAAAAATAAAATAAAATCTTGAAGCGTTTCCAACAATTTGAACAATTATATAAAATATATAGTACGTTTTTTTATGTTTTTGAGGGATAGAGAGAGATAAAACAATAAAATATTATATAGAGAGAAAAACAACAACAAAACAACAAATTTAGTAAAATAATATTTTTTGTATGTGTGGCGGTATTTTAGAGAGGTAAAGAAAACATAAAAACATTACGGAAAACATGTTTTTCCTATTAAAAACATGTTTTGTTTTATTGAAAAAAGCTTTCCGGAAAGTATAATAAACATATGAAACTTTGAAAAAACATGTTTTGTTTTATTTTAAAACATGTTTATTTTACTAAAAACATTCCGGAAAACATGTTTTTCCTATTAAAAACATGTTTTGTTTTATTTTAAAACATGTTTTTATTAAAAACATGTTTTTGTTTTGTTTCAAAACATGTTTATTTTATTAAAAACATTACGGAAACATAATAGATATATTTCCGGAAAATATAATGAATACATTTCCGGAAAGTATAATAAATAATATAAACTTTCCGGAAAACATGTTTATATTAAAAACATGTTTTGTTTATTAAAACATGACTTTCCGGAAAAACATGTTCATTTAATGTTTGACCACGTTTCGTCCCAAAGGAGAAAATCAGCCATTTCGTCACAACGTCTAAAAACCTCCACTTTTTTCTTTACCTCAAAGAAACGAAAAATAATATAATATAGAGAGAATGTTTGTAAAATAACGGGTGAGCAAAAAAAAACAAAAGAAGCATATAATTAAAATAAATATATCTCTCTTTAAAATAAAATAAACTTGTTAAAGAACAAAACGAACTTGAGTGGCACTAGACGATTTGTGCTGCGAAACATTGTGTTCTAGAAAATTTTTTTTTAATTCAAAAATTTTTTAATTAAAAAAAACCTTCATAATTAACCCTAATACTGCAATTAGTAGTATCTTGGAATCGGCTCTTCAAAATTGCTCTAAAAAATAAAAAAACTTATGAAGGGTAAAGAAATAATCTTAAAAAATCCATTTTTGGGATCAAATGTCACTTTAAAAAAATAATTTTAATACCCTAAGACAAAATTCGGTACTTTTCCGTTTTGTTACACCCCAATATATTAATGCTCAAAATGTCACATATAAGGTAATAAAAGGTGCTGAGTCGAACGATACCTTTCTTTTTCCCAGGAGATGTCTGTGGACCGAGATATAGGGCTCGAAATGGTCAAAAACCATAGGGGGGAGTAAGTTCATTTTTGGGGTAAAAATTCGAATATACAAATAATAACCCATTCGAAAGAGCTCATGGAGCTGAGTCGAAAGACACCAAGATCAACGAAATCTGATTTGATTTGACCGAGATTCAGGTCCCTGAATATGGAAGAACCACACAATTTTTTTATCGTAACTCGGTCCAAACTTGTTCGAAGCCGATGATTTTGGTGTCATTCAACTCGGCTCGTCGAGCTCTTTCGAAAGAGTTATTATATGCACATTCGAATTTTTTACCCCAAAATGGCCCAATGGTTTTTGACCATTTCGAGCCCTTTATCTCAGTTCACAGACATCTCACGGGAAAAAGAAGGGTACCGACCGACTCAGCACCTTTAATTACCCTATATGTGACATTTTGAGCATTAATATGTATATGGGGGTGTAACAAAACGGAAAAGTACCCAAAATTCAAACTCAAATCAAATTACAATTTCAAAATGCATCAAAACAAAATTATTTCCACTATCGGGGTTCGAACCTTAGACCCCCTAAAAGCAAAATCCAAGCATTTTCCCACTACACCAAACTATCATTTAATCAAGAAAAAATACCCAATCCGTCTATTAGCTTCCTCAGCTTCAGCATTCTTTGTCCAAAGACAAATCTGAAGAAAATAAATTTTTTGTAGTTCAAAAAGTTTCAAAAAAACCTTATGGCCTTTACCACGCATATTACAAACAGCCCCACAAACATATTCAGAATCACGTCCAAATTGCTCACCAATTAAAGCAACTAATAATTCTAACCATAAAGCATCCAAATGTTCAATTTTATTTTTATTATCAATCTTGAAAAAAAACAAAATATATATTAATCAAGCTGAGCATGAGTTTGTCTCGAAATACACATTGGATGGCCTCAGGGTTAAGTAAAAAAAATAAGGCCGAGGTTTAAAATTATCGTCGTGTTTCGGATCGATCCCCCTGGCTACCCGCCCTGGCTACGAGCCTGGCCCTGCCTATCTCTGATTCAACCCCTAGCTAGAAGGCTTCATTTTTAATCCCAGACTAGTGATCATGATTCACCAATCCTTATCTCGATTTGGCACCTAAATAACCCTAACAAATAATACGAAAAAACAAATCTTATTGTCAGAAACATGGAATGTTTTAAAATAAAAAAAAACCTGTACAATCAATCTACCCCCATCTTTATTCTCTGGAACTTCCCAAACCGGTTGAATACCTTCCTTGAAAAAATTATAGTCACAACCAGACTGCATTGCAGAAGGTGGTCGAATGTTGTCATAAAGTCTGGAAAAAAGAGATTTTTTAAATTTTAAAGTGTGCTTTGAGTTGAGAGTCTAAAGAGAGGTATAGAATGCGCCGTTGTATCTAAAAATTGTCGTTGTCAAATATCTAATGATTTCCAACAATCCGACAACTCTAGTACCGAGAGAGTCAAGTTCTTAAAAAATAGCAACTGCTCTATAGTTTAACCTAGTAATTGAGATTTTTGAAAAGCTTGGGCCTCTAGTCCAAAAAAACCCAGACACAGAAAAACCCAGGAAGGTCAAAAAAATGCCTGGGCCTGGACCCTGGTTACAGGAAAAACCCAGGCCTTAGTCCAGGTCCAGCTCGATCTCTATTTAAAAAAATAAAATAAACTAACGCCCAAAACGCTTCAGCAGATTCAATTGTACAAACTTTCTTCAATCTTTCCAACCAAGTCAATTCTCTATCGGAATTTAAAAACCAAAAAGTCCAACGAGTTTTAAGTCGATGTTCTTGTCTTAATTTGGAAGTTGTTGAAAGAGATAAATTGTTGATATTTAATTGTGGCGGTGATGAAATTATGGGTATTTGAGTAGTTGAAGAAGAATTATTGTTGTTGTTTAAATTTTGCCTTTCTTCCAAATTATTTCCGTTATTCTCGTCCCCTTCTTCATTATTAACATTATCTCCACATACCTCCCCTCCTTCAACAGAAACAACATTATCAACAACTTGTTGCTGCTGCTTTTCTTCAATAATTTCGTCATCCTTAATTTTTTATAAAAATTTTGAAAATAAAATTTAAGAGTTTGTCAACTTTCCCTCATTAAAAAAATCAATCACGAATCCACAGATGGGTCGGGTACTCAAAATAGGATGCCCAAAACCCGAACTATTATATTCTACAAACAAAACCCAAAGAAAATTTTTAAATCCTGATCCGAAATCCGAACAACATTTTTTCAAACTGGCCGACCCATGGAAGAATCATGTGACAGAAAGTCCAATTCTTGGTTTGTAAGAGTTTCCGGAAATTTTTAATTACAATTTTCAAGAAGTGTCTGTTCGCAACCACAAAAATCGTTGGGAATTTGTGATTTTGTGAATTAAATTATTAAAATCCCTTCTCTAAATCAACCCAAAAATGAACGAATATTTTCTAAAATCCCATCTATGTAAACCCCAGACAACTCAAAAAAAATTAATCGAAAATTCAGTCAACAAAACATCTCAGTCAGAAAAATCCCCCAAACATGGACCCAAGCCTAATTTCCATTAAATTTATAAAAAACCTTTTTCTCTTCTTCAACAGAATCATCAGTAACAATAACTTTGTGTGGATGTTGCTGCTGTTGAGTTTGTTGGGTAGAAGCTGTTGTTGAAGTTGTTTTTTCTTGTTCCAAAGTATTGTCAATACATTTGTCTGTTACACCATTTGTGTCCATATTTAAAAATATTTTTTTGTCTTCAGAATAAAAGAAAATTAAAGAATTTATCGATTTTTAAGAAGAAACTTCTGAAAAAAATTTTTTTAATTAAAATCAATTAAAAAATAAATAAAAAATTTTTCAACGCCTGACTCAGCATTTGTTCTTATTTTTAAAGCAATTTTAAGAAGCAAGTAAAAATTAGGAAATTCCCCCCAATTTTTAACGAAAGCCATTTAATCGCAAACTTAAAGTTTAGTTCAAACAAACAAGGTTTAAATAGTAAAACAACCAGAAAAACATGTTTTTCTGATTTATCAAAACATTTAATAAACGGGCAAAAACATGTTTGCTTGTCAAAAACATGTTTTAATAATATTCTGATTTATTAAAAACATTATTCTGATTTTTTAAAAACATTTAATAAAACATGTTTTTGTTTGTATAAACAGAAAACATGTTTTAATAAAAATGTTTGTTGTAAAAATCAGAATAAAATGTTTTTAATAAATCAGAATATAATTTAAACATGTTTTTAACAAACAAACAAGTTTTAATTATATTCTGATTTATTAAAAACATTTTATTCTGATTTTTACAACAAACATTTTCTGATGTTTTTAAAAACATTTTCAGAACATTAAATGAACATTGTTTTTGTTTTAAACCAATTTTGCGATTAATTAGACAAATGTTTTGTGTGGTCTGAAAATTTGCTTTTAAAAGCAATTTTGTGCTGCTTCTATTCTCTAGTACATTTTTGCGGGGTAGGGGACGACTCAGAGTCGCCGATTCAGAGTCGCCGATTCAGAGTAGCCGATTCAGAGTAGGGACAATTCAGAGTCCGCCGATTCAGAGTAGGGACTATTCAGAGTAGCCGATTCAGAGTACGTGGAAAAGGGGACGATTCGGAGTACATAGAATAAAATACCCTAAAAATCGAGATTTTTGGAAAGGAAATGATTCATTTTTTTGCTTTTTAAACTTTTTTGTTTCCTTTTATTGTTCTAGAGTTAGAAACAACAATTTGAACAACCACCAGCAATTAGTCAATGGCAGAAATTAATTTTTAATAAAAATTTAAAATTTTTAAAATTTTCTTTAATTTTTTAAATTTCTCCAAATTTCTGCAAAAACTTGCAAAACCCTAAATCGACGAAGTTTCTACTCTATTTTGCGAGGTTTTTTAAAAGAATTTTTGTTTTATTTTTTGAAATTTTTTTGTCCCCAAACGGCCCTCTTTAGGGCAAAAAATTTAATAAGTGAAATGAGGACAATGACTATTATTTATTTTTTGATAAATTTTTGTATATTTGAATCATTTTTTAATAAAAATTTTATTCCCTGAAGAAAAAAAAGTTGAGGCCAAACTTTACCCTAAGGCCGAAAAAGCCTAAGAAAAGCCTAGAGTCAAGACTCGGCAACCTTTTAGAATGTTCCTCAGATCGTAGGATGTAAGAAAATCCAGAAAAATCGCAAGAAATACTGATTTTCTATGTCCAAAAATTTATGTACTCTGAATCGTCCCCTTTTCCCCGTACTCTGAATCGGCTACTCTGAATTGTCCCTACTCTGAATAGTCCCTACTCTGAATCGGCTACTCTGAATCGGCGACTCTGAATTGGCGACTCTGAATCGGCGACTCTGAATCGACCTTTTCCCTTTTTGCGAACATTCCTTAAAAACATTGTTGTAATAAAGTTCAATTTTGAGAAATAATTAGGGTAGAGAAGGATACAAAAAATTAGAGAGCACAAAGGCGAGACAGCTTCTTGTCTCTTTGTTTCTTCATTATGACAACAATGCTGAAGTAAGCGCAAATCGCCAACACAGGCAAAATACGACAAAATGTCAACGCAGCCAAGATACGACAAAATGCCAACACCGGGAAGATATGACAAAATGCCAACCCACTCAAAAAACGACAAAATGCCAGCGCAGCCTAAAAACGACAAAACGCCTACGCACGTAAAAACGACAAAATGTCACAAAAGGGAAAATGTTTCATTTTGTCGTTATGGAATTTTTGAATGATGGCGTTTCGCGGCGCCTCCACCTAAAAAATTTATAAAACCTCCTTAAAATTCATACCTACATTAAAACACTCAAAAGCGTGACAAGAATATTTTTTAAAAAAATTAAATAAAAATAATCAAAAAATAATAAATTTTTAAAACAAAAAAATTCAATTTTCCAACATTTTTTATCTAAAATAAATATAATAATAATTGATAAAAAAAACCAAACACAAATTTTTTGGGAAAACACAAAAAATAAACAAAAAAAAAAATTTTTTTTCAAAAATCCGCAAATTTTGTCCGCAAATCAAAAAAAAATTTTTTTTGAAAAAAAATTTTTTTTCTTCGAAAAAATTTTTTAAACAATAAATGAGGGTCGAGAAGAAGAAAAAAACACAAAAATTTTACAGTAAAATAGAGAGAGAAAATAAAAACAAAACGAAAAAATTTTTTTTAATAAATCCAAGAGAAAAAATTCCAAAAAAAAGGCCAACAAAAATATAATAACGATAACAATATATAGGTGTTTAAAGGGAGAAAAAAGACCAACTAGGTATATAATAATAAAGAAATGATGAAGAAGAAGACTAAAATTACTCAAAAAATTCTAAAAAAATTTTTTCAAAAAAATTTTCAATTTCAAAAAATTTTCAAAAATCCGCAAGTTTTGTCCGCAAATTCAAAAAAACATTTTTTTTCCTCACCTCTTCTTCATCAATTCCCACACAAAAAAAAACAACTCAAAATTAAAAGACTTAAAGGGGGGAGGAAAGTTGGGGGAAGTGGGGAATATATAGTCTCTTTTATGTTGCACTTTAAAAAAAAACACCAAACACATCCTTAATACCCAAAAAAACCCTCAAAACAAACAAATAAATATAAAAAACCTCCTCTTCATCCTCATCATCCTCTCTTCCATTTTTCATCTCTTCATCTTCCTCTCCTTCTCAAAGCTCATCCTTTTCTTCCCCACCAGGAGTTCCACCAGCACCTCCATCATAACCTGGTGGTGGAGGTCCACCTCCAGCAGCATACAATTTTGTAATAATTGGCTGCACTTTTGATTCAAACTCTTTTTTGCGGGCCTCCAATTCTTCAACTGTTGCTTCTCTATTGGAATCCAACCATGAAATTACTTGATCAACAGAAGTTTCAATTGTTTTCTTATCATCATCAGACAATTTTCCACCAAGTTTTTCTTTGTCATCAATCTTTAAAAAAATTTTGAATTAATAAAATTCGGTTTGGAGAAGGTTTCAAGAAGGATACATGCCCAAGGGATAGTCCTGCCTCTACCGCTAAAGACGAAAAAGTCTGAGATTGTGGATGCGGCAGCCCATCCCTAACTCCATCCCATCCTATCGACAGCACATCCTCCCACCATCCCATTTTTATATTAGTAAACCCAGCCTTAAATAGGATCGCCCAGAGATATTACTCCGCTTATGTCAGTCTATTTAATTCCATACAGGTTTGGGACACTCCCTCAACGTCTTAAATCAAGAGAAGTTATATAAAAGCTGGAAGAAGTTAATACACATTTGGACCAAAGTCAGTTCAAGAAGCCAAAACCCTCAAAAAATTTTAATTCCTTAATAAACCTGGTTTTTAAGTTGATATGCATGTGATTCCAATTCATTACGTAATGTAACAGTTTCTTTAACACGTTTATCTTCCTCAGCAAACTTCTCCGCATCATTAACCATTCTTTCAATATCTTCAGGAGACAAACGGTTGTGATCATTTGTGATGGTAATTTTATTTTTATTCCCAGTTCCCTTATCTTCAGCCGTTACATGAAGGATTCCATTGACGTCGATTTCAAAGGTTACCTTTAATTCAAAATTTTTTAAAAAAATTCATAAAATTTCAAAAAAAACCTCAATTTGTGGCACACCACGAGGTGCTGGTGGAATTCCTGTCAAGTCGAATTTTCCAAGCATGTGGTTGTCTTTAGTCATTGGCCGTTCTCCTTCATAGACCTTTAAAGGAAAAATAAAATTTTCTCAAATTTTTTTAAAACTCCAAAAAACCTGAATTGTCACAGTTGGTTGATTATCTGCTGCTGTAGAAAAGACTTGTGCTTTCTTGGTTGGAATAACAGTGTTTCGATTGATCAACTTTGTCATTACACCACCAACAGTTTCAATACCGAGAGTCAATGGATTGACGTCCAACAAAACAATTTCGGTATCTTCTTCTCCAGAAATTACTCCAGCTTGGACAGCAGCACCATAAGCAACAGCCTCATCTTTAAAAAAATTTATTCAATAGTGCTACTTCGGATATTTTTCGACAAGAACCCAACCCGGAGAAATTTCAAAATGCGATCCAAAACTCGATCTGGCTTTTTTCTCAACCCAATACATAACCGCTACTAAAAAATAGTCACTTTTATAATGAAGTGATGTTATATCTATAATCGTGAGGTATAACCGAATTTTAAAGATATTCTATTCATAATTTTGAAGGTTAAAGCGAATGTTCACTTGTCTTAAGACCCAAATTGGTTAGAATCCAATTTTTAACCCAAAGTCCAATACTCATTAGTGTTGAGGATATTCAATCTCAAAGTAACCAGAATTCACCCAACATTAAAAAAACAAATTTTAAACCTGGATTAATACCACGCGAAGGTTCTTTTCCATTAAAGAAATCTTTTAATAATTGTTGAATTTTTGGAATTCTTGTTGACCCACCAACCAAAACAATTTCATGAATGTCATCCTTCTTCATATCTTAAACAAAAAAAAATTTCAAAAAAATTCAAAAATTCCCCCCAAAAAAACCTGCATCTTCCAAAACTTTTTGTACAGGTTTAAGCGTTCCTCTAAACAAATCCATATTTAATTCTTCAAATTTGGCACGAGTTAAGGTTTCAGAAAAATCAATTCCATCAATTAAGGATTCAACTTCCATTTTGACTTGGTGCTGGACTGAGAGGGCTCTCTTTGCCTTTTCGACCTTTAAAAGAGAAAAATTTTGTATAAATTATACACCGGAAATTATTTTAAAAAATTTGTGAAAATCCTTTCTAACATCAAGGAGAATAAAGGGAAGAAAAAACGAACAAAACAAGGAAAATTGTCCCTTTTGGTTAAGTGGTATAATTAAAAATATTGCGGGGAAGAGGGTACAGGGTTCGAACCCCACCAGTGGAAACTTTAATTTTTAGTCATTTAAAATAAAAAATATCGATTTTAGAAATCTCCCAACATATTTAAAAAACGCTACAAATTTTTTAAACCCAAAAAAAGTCCAAAAACAAACCTCACGACGAAGTTTTTGAACCGCACGGTTATCCTTCCTCAAATCCTTTCCAGTCTTCTTTTTAATTAATTTAATAAAGTATTCCATCGTCCTCTGGTCGAAATCTTCGCCTCCCAAGTGAGTGTCTCCATTTGTTGCCAACACTTCAAAAACTCCATTATCGATAGTCAACAATGAGACGTCGAAGGTGCCTCCGCCAAGGTCAAAGACAAGAATGTTGCGTTCCCCTAAGAAAAAATAAAGTTTAAGAAAAGTAACTTTGTGAGGAGAATATCAGAAGGATCCATACAATTCAGTATCCGGAGCCCTATAACAGAATAGTTTGGAGTCCGGACAGCCCGGAGTCTTGGCCCCATTGGCAAAATTCACAAAAAACCAAGTGACGTTTTCCCAAGTCACCCCCAAATGAAAAAATTCTAAACCTTCTTTCTTGTCCAATCCATAAGCGATTGCCGCAGCTGTCGGTTCATTAATAATACGAACAACATTAAGTCCAGAGATGGTTCCAGCATCTTTGGTAGCTTGACGTTGAGCATCGTTAAAGTAGGCGGGGACCTTAAAAGACAAGGTTTTGTAAGGTAAAGTAAAATACAAAAAGCTAACCGTAACCACAGCATGCGTAACTTCATGACCCAAATAGGCTTCGGCAATTTCCTTCATTTTTCCAAGAACCATTGCTGAAATCTCTTCTGGAGCAAATTGTTTGATTTCTCCGTTGACGTTAGCCTTGATGTGTGGCTTGTTAGCTTTATCAGCAACCTGAAAAATGTTGGGAGAATGAGATGACATTTGGTCCCAAAAAATATTTTGCGGACAAAATTTGAAACTTGCGGACAAATTTCCAAAATTTGCGGACAAAAATTCCAACCCAAAATTTTGTCCGCAAAAATCATCCGCAAAACCCCCAATTTAATTTTAATCAAAATATACCCCGAATGGCCACAACTTCATGTCATCCTGAACAGTTTTGTCGGTAAACTCCCTTCCAATTAAGCGTTTTGCATCGAAGATAGTATTTTCCGGGTTCAACGTCAACTGGTTCTTTGCCGCGTCCCCAATCAACCTTTCACCATTTTCAGTAAACGCAACATAGGATGGAGTAATACGGTTACCTATGTAAAGAAAATATAAATGATGAACGAAACTTATTTCCCCTAAAAGTCATTATTAGAGATCAGCCCAGAAGGACAACCCCAGGAGATCAAATGTCCTGCCCTTGTGCAACTGTCAGGCAAAATGGAGCTTGATCTTGAGTCATCTTTACACGCTCCGAATGTTTGGATTTGACCTGGGTATTTTGGCCAATAGCTGGGTTCATTTGACTTCTAGTGGGGTTATGTCTTTATCCTTTGGGTATTTGTCTCCTGCCTTTTGACATTCCTATATGGCCATCCTTTTATTCTTTATGCCAGTCTTTTTGACTAGTCACAACCCTTTGGGAGATGTTGAGGGAATCGGCGAAGTCCTATTCCCGGAGCCTTTACTATTTCTTAATTTAAACCTTGATCGTTTGCAATAATTTCGACACGTCCATTTTTGTAGACACCAACACAAGAATAAGTTGTTCCCAAATCAATTCCAATAATCGTTCCATATTTTTTGTCTTTATCCTTAGGTTTGGCAGAATCGTTTTTGGCACCCTCATCACGTCCAAGACCATGAGATATTGACAAAAACAAAAAAATTGAAGAGATCAGAATAAACTTTGTCGTTGTTAACATTTTTTGTTTTTAAAAAAAAACTCTGAAAAAATAAATTTTTAAAAATCAAAAATAAAGTAAAGTAAAAGCGAGGCAAATATAGGTAATTATATATAGGGACTAGGAAGGGCGGTAAATGATAAAAATATAAAGAAAATATAAAAGAAAAAGGTTTAGGAAATAAAGGTGAAGGGCAAGGTTAAATAAGATGGATGGGAAAATATTTGAAAGGTGGACTGGGGGAATTATTTAAATAAGGACACGTCCGATAGTCGCGCGGCCATAACGGCGCAAAGCCATAACTTGCTTTAAAATTTCCGAATCTTTCCAAATTTAGTATTAAACGATTCCTCTCATCGAGCTAAAGAGAATGGTACCAAAATTGATAAGGTCCATAAAGTCCTAAGGAAACAGCTTCTAAGACGAGATAAAACTCCCACAGAATCGCGCATTTAGACTAGGTTGTGGAAGGACCTTAAAATATTCAAGGAGAAATGGAAGGTCTCAGAAATTTTATTCAACAAGAGGCTACACAAGAACAAGGGCTACCCAAACATTTCACGGTTGGACAGTAAAACCCCGTTTCTAATTACTCAACAAAATCCTCCATTTCCTTAAAGAGAAGCTTAAAGAATTTAAAATTTAAAAGGAAGTAAAATAAAAAAATTTTGTAGTGAAAATTTAACTCAAAATTAAAGCATATATTGAGAGGATTTGCAGTTGTTTCTCAAGTGCTGAATGATTCTTAGTGACTGACCCTTTCCCGTATTTCAGACATGTCGCGCTTTTATTGGGTAAAATTTTAGCTGACGTTGCATAACCGCGTAAAGTCTATTTTCCTTTAAATAATGATTCTTCTTTCTTAAAAAAAATGTCTCTAACCGTCTAACTATATACTCTCTCAATTTATTCTAGAATGTCAAGGTGAATATTTTCAAATGAAATATTACGAAACACCAAATACTTGAAAATTAGACAAAATGGTAAACGACAAAATGGCACAAGGGACAAAAACGACATAATGCCAGAAACATAACAGTACATAAGTGGTAGACGACTAAACGTACATAAAGGGGAAATACGACAAAATGCCAGCCGACACAACGGTACAGAAAAATGGCACCATTGTTAATGCTCAAACAAATAACAATAACGCTAGGCTATGTTAACAAAAAAGGGTCACGAAGTTCCATATCCAGCCAGCATTGTTAAAGAGCTTTCTACTTTGTCCTTATATTTTTTAAAATATTTTTTAAACCGTTTTTTAACAAGAAAATTTAAAAAAATAAATAGGTCTAAAAAATAAGAAATTTTCTTAACAAAATACACTTAAAAAACAACCAAAAAACAACTTTTTTTTATTCCTTCCATCTATGCGCACAACTTGCACAACGATAAAATATTGTCATAGGTTCATCAGCACTTCGTGTTTGTATTTGTTGAAAATAGGCTTTATCATGGGAACAAACTGGGCATCTTTCTAGAAAATTTAAAAAAATTTTCAAAAAACAATAAAAAATTTTTTTAATTTTTTCCGACGTTACCCTCCAGAAAAAAAAATTTCGAGGGAATTTTTAAAGAAAAAAATTATTAGAGGTAAAAGGACTCGAACCATTGACCTATTTTTATCAACAAAATTCACCAAAAAGCCACTTAACCACCCAGGCCTTGTTTCAAAAAAATTTGGGAGGCTTAGGAAAAATTTTTCAAGCAAAAGAAAAATCTTCGCCCAGCCCGGTGCTCGAACCCTCACCCCTTTTGGGGGTGTAATCTAACACACTAACCATTACACCACCAAACATCCTCTCCAACTTTAAGTAAAATTTAATTAAATAAAAATAACCATTTGTTACTTGCGCATTTTCCCACATTTCTGCACCTCCCAAAATTTTTTCTTCTTCCTTTTTCTTTGTATAAATTTTGCTTGAAAGTTTTTCAACTATTGGGAGAACATAACTACAAGATTTACATGAAAATTGGTTGCAAGAATTTCCTTCTCCAAGTGTTAATAAAGTACCACAGGCTGGGCTAGAAAAAGAAATTAAATATTTAAAAATGGTATGGGTGGTTAAGTGGGTAAAATTTGAATTTTGATAAAAAAATAGGTCGATGGTTCGAGCCCTCTTGCCTCCTATAATTTTTTGTCTGTCGAAATGTTCTCTAATATATTTTTCATTACAAGAAAAAAATTATCGGAAGCAAGCGGACTCGAACCATCAACCCCATTAAAGTTGGTTCAAAAATTTTTTAACAGCGCGAGCTTACAATTAGTCTTTAAGCCGAAATTTTCAATTAAAATATTAATAAACAAACCAGAAAACGAGCATTTTCTTCAGTTTGTATCCTTTTCGTCTCTCTAAAAAAATTTTTTAAACTCAAAAGCATAAGAAAAAAATATAAAATACATTCATAAAAGTAATAAAAACCAAAAAAATCAAACGATGTTTTTCAAGTAAAACAAATTTTATTTTCCAATAAATAATCAAAAATAAACAATAAATAATCAATAAATAAATTAAAGTTAGGCCTCATTTTTCACATGTCCCCCACTCCTTAAGAATTGAAAAAAATTAAGTGATATATAACGAGGCACTTAATTTATTTTTCACCCCCATCCCTACCTACACATTTTTTTCCCATTTACGAACCCAACCAAATTTTTAAAAAATAAAAAAAATTCTTTCCAAATAGTGATCGTTGATAAAATTCTGGAAGGGGTACATAAAATTTTGAGGTCTGACTTTGGTAAATTACTGCATTGCAGTAAACAAATAAAACAAAGTAATTTTTTAAATAACTGAGATTTTTAATTTGACAAAAAATTCAAAAAAATTAAAGCAAAAAACCTCTTTTATTTTTTCCAATCAAAAATATATCCTTTCCTCAATTAGCTCTAAACCCGTCCAGCTTCAACAAATTTTTTATAGAGCGGATCAATTTCTTTACGGAAAAATGGCAATGTAGCTTTTGCATAAAAATCAGGATAAATCTTCAAATTTTCGATTACCTTTAAAAAAATTAAAAATAAAATGAAAATAAATTTAAAGATTTTTTGAACAGGAATGCAGAACTCAACAGGGATTCACTTTAATCTATTTTAACAATAAGATGTCAAAATCATTCCCTATTCATGTTCGAAAAAATGCTTCGAAAGACAACACCTGAACCGGAATAGGATATTAGAACAGAAACACCCAGATGTCCCTGACATTTATTGGATAACCAAATCAGCCAAATCCCTTCTACCCCCTTGTATAACACTGACTTGCTGAAAATTAAAAAATACTAATCATCATAATATACATAAACCATAACCACATGCTTTCAATGAACAGAAATCTTATGAACCCAAAAAGAACCCAAAAAAATTTAAAAAAATATTAAAAAAAAACCGAATCCAACAGCACAGAAGTACAACTTAAACCTGGCGCTTCATATTTAATATGCACTATATGAACGTGAAGATGATAGAAAGTTGGCTTAAAAAATTTTTTTGTTTAAAAATTTCTTAAAATTTAACAAAAATAAACCTGATAATGAAAATACATTTTTAATTGACTCTTTTTTAATCCATATTTTTCTTCAATAGTTTTAGCACTTTCATTACGAATATTTTCCAAAAGAGGCAATTCATTTGGAGTTAAATCACTGGAAAAAATTTTTATTTTTTTTTTGATTTTATAGGAAGTAGTGATCTAGCTAGGTATGGACCAATGCCTGGATTTTTCCTGTACACACAGTCCAGGACAGACACTTTTTGACCTTCCTAAGGTTTTCCTGGGCCTGGGTTTTCTTCTTGGACTACAGACCCAGGATCCGGTCCAGGCCAATAAATCAAACCCAGGAACAGGTCCAAGTTTTTCAGAAATCTCGATCACTAATAAGAAGTAACAGCTATATTCTTAAAAGACTCCTCCTATATTCTAAAAGCAAAAAGACAAAAACCGAAAAAAAAATTAAAAAAAGGAAGCAAACAACGGAAGGGCTAAAAAAAAAGAAAAAAGCAGCGGGAAGACTAAAAATTGAAAGAGATCCCAAACAAATTTTAAAAAATATTTCAGCTGGAGAGAGATAGAATAAAAGGGTTTTTAGACTCATAAACTAAACCAAAGCCAAAAAATCTTAAGCGTTCGAGTTCGCAAAAAATAAAAAAAAACCGAATAGAATGCAAATCACGTCGATGAGCTACAGCCAACAAATAGAGTTCATCCAAATTTGTCCCATTCCATTTCAAATCTGGAGCCAAAATAAAACCATCGTGTTTGTCTGGGTTTTCATAGATGATGCGTTCTTCTTCACTCTTCTTATCCAAAAAATTGTAGACCCACTTTTAAAAAATAAAAAAATTAACAAAAAATGTTTTTGGCCTCTTAAAACCCTCGTCCTAAGACAATCTTTGTTTGCGTCCAAAGAGCAAAAGAATCGTAAGTGTTTTTATTTTTTGAGACTTTTACGGGCACCAAGGGCTGAAAAAAAATTTGCGTTCGAAATGCCAAAGTAACGAAAAATTTTAGGGGACACCCCATTTTAGCCCAACTGATATCAACCACTAGCTAGTAGCTACGGCTTTGACGGATGCCAAAGTAAATTTTAAACTTGAAAATTCACAAAAAAAAAATTTCTAGCAGGAGCACAAACAGCCTTACCAGACTCATAAAAAGTCAAATGAAAGCATCCCCTAACAATTAAAATATTTAAAAAAACCTTCAAATTTTCAAATTGTCTAGTTTCAACCAAATAATTACAAGTAATATTCTTATAATCTTCTGGTGTTTCATTCAAAATAAAAAATTCTTGGCGTCGATATTTTTGAATATCAAAAGCATTTGCTGGATAAATTAATGTTGTTTTGAGCACTAAAAAATTATAAAAAAATTAAATTTCTAAAAAAAGTTCTTTTCAAAGTGAACGACATTAAAAGTGTCACTAAAAAACTGAAAATTTTCTTATAACTATTCTAGGGGTAGCGGTCCAAGTAGCGGCGCATAACGGCGCAAAGCCATACTTTGTTGTAAGATTTCCGAATTTTTCAAAATTTAGTATTAAACGATTACTCTCATTGAGATAAAGAGATTGGTACCAAAAATTGATAAGGGCGTCTATAACTAATTTTCGTTAAGTAATGAATACAAAATAAAAATTATTTAGACCCAAAAATGGTTCTAACTCATGAACAATAGAAACCCAAATCCTTTACGTTTACACAAAAGTAACTTATTCCATCAAAAGGATTCGAACCTCTCCTCAGTTTTCATATCTGCCTGCGCATTAACCAACTTAGACACATGTACACTAATTAAAACAACAAGGGAAACATTAAAGCTGTTGTTGTGTTCATCGTATAAAAGCCATGTTCTCTTCACCTAAACTAAACAAAACCTCTTCATCACAAATCCAATACCCTACAATCGTCTCAACACAAACAAAATCTGTGTTTTCCTGCTTCTCGTCAAGTCAACGACCGCTCAGGAATGAAGTCTAAGAGCATCTACAACATTGCACTCGCTGTCACGATTCTTCTTTTGCTGCTGCTTGGAGGAAAGGTCAACAACACCGCCACCGCAGATGGAGAAGAGGAGGATGAAGTGCTGCAAGCAGAACAGAACGGAAGACCCGTCGGCCTGGCAGATCACATCTTGAAAAAGGATAAAGTGACACTTGCTGAGGGCTCAAGATCTGCAGTTACCGAAGAAGACTACGAGGAGTATAGGAAGAACTCTCCTGATGCATGCGATGTTAGACTTGGCGAAAAGAAAGGAGAGGATGGATATATGTAAGTTAGCCTTCTTTTGGAGTTAGTATCCTCTAATATTTTTTCCTTCCAGCATTGTTAGCTACTCCAAGAACTCCAAAGCGGCGCAAAAAGGGTGCACTTTGGATCTCTTCACCAATCTTGAGAAAAAGATCGAGTTCGAGACTTTTCTGAAAAATGATAATGGTGGCGGTCCTGAAGGATGTGTGAAGGAAGAGGATGATAACTACAATGACAATGTGTGAGTTTTTTTACAAAGAAATTCTTTCATGAAAACTACAATCTTCATTTATCATCTTTTAGACTGCCCTTCGCCTACAGCCATCCAGCCGATCTATCAGAAATCCTAAAAGAACCAATTCAAGGAAAGTCTGGCAAAGGCTGTAACAGTAAAATCTGTTTAGAGGAAACCTGCATCCAAAAGACGGGCCTTGAGCTTAGATGGGTCACAATTAAAAATGAGACTATCGATTATGTCAACCTTCTTCTCAATCCAAGTAAGAAAACTAGATTTGTTTAATAAATTTATTTCAATAAATTTTCAGTTGGCAGCCCTGCATATAAAGAAGCTAAGGAGGACATGAAGAAATTCAACGAAGAACCGCCGGTGTATCCAACAGTGAAGGTTGAACGATCAGAGTATTCTGTCCAATTTCAAACCAAAGACCCGGAAACAAAATATAAAGAATATAATTGTACCCACAATCCTGTCGGGAATGTCATTACACCTATGGCATGGGAAATCATTGGAGCAATACCAAATCAAAAGAAGAAACATCTACTTGTCTTCCATCTTCTTCCGCAAAAGGCATCGCGAATAATAGAATGGAGTAGATCTCGACATCTATCAAAAAGACTTACCTTCGAAATTAACAAAATAGAAGGAAAGAACGATCCGACAAAACCACCAAAAGTAGCAACAACAGTACGACCAGAGCCTAAAAAGGAACCAAAAGTACGAAAATTTCCGCCAAACGGGCCCGAATGTGAGGAGCTTCGAATTCTTTTTGTAAGTTACACAACTTTTGACTATTAAAAAATTTCAAATTTTTTTAGTCAACGGAATTCTATGACTTGTTAACAATCGTTCCTCCTACTACGACCACGACTACCACAACAACTTCCACTCAAACGACAACTACAACGGTTACAACTGAAAAACCTAAAGGCTCTGTGTTGACTATCATCTTTGTGATTGTTGTGGTTCTTCTGTGTAGCTCTTGTGGTGGGGCAATTGTCTACTTTGTCTTCTTGAAGAAGGGCGGCGACTCTGATGGAGACAAATCAAAGATGGACGATAAAGGCACAAAATCTAAAAAGGACGACAAAGACAACAACTCAAAAACGGACAAGGACTCCAAATCTGCCAACTCGGAAGCAGAGACGAATTCAAAAGTGAAGGATGCTGAAGAAGGCAAAAAGAAGGAAACTAGTTCTACTGCAATTGAAGAGGCAAAGTCTATGGGAAAAATATAAAGTATAAAGGGATCATGAAGGGGATAAAACAAGAAATTTCAATGTGATATATAAAAAATAATATTTTCTTGTTAGACTTGTTATTTATCTAAATATTCTCCCGTTTCCCCATAGCTTTGTTTGTTGACCTAAATATTGCAAAATTCATCCTTAATATATTTTTTATATGGTATGTCTTATTCTAAGCAGAGGTGGGTCGGAACAGTCAGAGGTGTCAGAAATCGGAAGAACTGGAAATCGGAACTGGCTCAAAAGTCCGGATTTCTTCCAATTTTTGCGCCGCAGGCAAAAATTTTAAAATTTTTGGAAAAACTCTAGACGATAATTTGCTTCAAAAATTGTCGGAAATCGGAAATTTTTCCAAAATGTCGGAAATCGGAAGGAAAAAAACGTCGGAAGTCGGAAATCTGAATTCCGGCCCACCTCTGATTCTAAGCCATTATGTTCTGTATTTAGTTTTTCAGTATATTTTTATGAATAAAGTTGTAAGAGAAAATTGGTTATTTTTTCGATTATTAATTAGCCCAACTACTTTACTAACTCAGTAAAATTCCAGCATATGTCCCGAAAAGCAAATCAAACGAACTATATGCCATTGGAATTAGCTCAATGAGCTTAGTGATCGACAACAAAATTAAGCTCGGGTCTTAATTATGGCTGAAACTGTTAATTGTTATAGGCTGCCGGAATTTGAACTTATTTGTTAGTCGGATGACACCAAAATCGGCTTTACACTCTGTTCCAAAAACGCCCCCCAAAAAGCGATAAAAATCAGGGGTGTGCCGAAACGGATTTTAAAAGCGAAATACGAAATGAGAAATTAAATTTAAAAAGTGAAACGCGAAAAGCGACCTTTTTCTTCGCCGCAATTTTGAGAATTTTGAAGAGACAAGAAGCCAGATTCTTTTTTTTGCGTCGCAGGCGAAAATTTTGAGGATTTTGGAGGTTTTCGATTTATTCGGGCTCATTTTTTCTCCAACTTTACCATCTTTCACCTGTCATTAGGCAAATTTTTTCAGAAAATAAATTTTTAAGCGCTTTCAAATAAGCCCTAAATTAATTATTATCTCACCTTAAGCCCATTATCTAGTGCCCCAAAATTAACTTGATGCGATAATTTTGAAAAAACCATTGACTCCTTGTCCAGCAAAACGCTCCACAAATGAGCTTCTCTTATAAAGACAAATCCGCCCACAAAACATACATACATTCGCAATTTATGTAAGGATTAGTAATCCTATAAAAGCCAGTTTTTACCTACAACCTTCATCATAAATCCAACACTATTCAATCGTCTCAACACAAACAAAATCTGTTTTCCTGCTTCTCGTCAAGTCAACGACCGCTCAGGAATGAAGTCTAAGAGCATCTACAACATTGCACTTGCTGTCACAATTCTTCTTTTGCTGCTGCTTGGAGGAAAGGTCAACAACACCGCCAACGCAAGTGGAGGAGAGGAGAATGAAGTGCAGCAAGCAGCACAAAACGGAAGAAAAGTCGGCCTGGCAAATCACATCTTAAAAAAGGACAAAGTGACACTTGCTGAGGGCTCAAGACCTGCAATTACACAAGAAGACTACGAGGAGTACAAAAAGCTCTTTCCTGATGCATGTGATGTTAAACTTGGCGATGATAAAAAGAAAGGAGAGGCTGGATATATGTAAGTTATCCTTTGTTTGGAGTTAGTATCCTCTAAAATTTTTTCCTTCCAGCATTGTTAGCTACTCCAAGAACTCCAAAGCAGCTCAAAAAGGATGCACTTTGGATCTCTACACAAATCTTGATAAAAAGATCGAGTTCGAGACTTTTTTGAAAAATGATAATGGAGGCGGTTCTGAAGGATGTGTGAAGGAAAGACACGATAACTACAACGATAACGTGTAAGTTTTTACAAAGGAATTCTTTCACGAAACTAATTTTCATTTATCATATTTTAGACTGCCCTTCGCTTATAGCCATCCAACCATTCTAGAAGAACTCATAAATGAAGGACCAATTCAAGAAAAGTCTGGTAAAGGATGTAACAGTGAAATCTGTTTAGAGGAAACATGCATCCAAAAGACGGCTCTTGAGCTCAGATGGATTAGATCGGAAAATATTACAAAATATATTTATGATGTAGTCCATATCGATCGTATAGTCCTTCTTCTCAATCCAAGTAAGAAAAAAAGATTTGTTTAATAAATTTATTTAAAAAAATTTTCAGTTGGCAGCCCTGCATATAAAGAGGCTAAGGAGGAAATGAAGAAATTCAACGAGGAACCGCCGGTGTATCCAACAGTGAAGGTTGAACGAACGGAGTATTCTGTCCAATTTCAAACCAAAGACCCGAAAACAAAATATAAAGAATATAATTGTACCCACAATCCTGTCGGGAATGTCCTTACACCTACAACATGGGAAATCATCGGAGCGAAGTCTAATCAAAAGAAGAAACATCTACTTGTCTTCCATCTTCTTCCGCAAAAGGCATCACGAATTATACAATGGGAGATGATTGTTCAGAATATTGGGGGCCATGAGAGAGGTCATGAGTTAAATGTGGTACCAAAATTGCTTCCAGATTCGCCAAACGGGCCCGAATGCGAGGAGCTTCAAATTCTTTTTGTAAGTTACACAACTTTTGACAAGAATTAAAAATTTTTCAAAATTTTTAGCCAACGGACAAATATGACTTGCTGACTATCGTTCCGCATACTACGACCACAACTACCACAACAACTTCCACTCAAACGACAACTACAACGGTTACAACAACAACTGAAAAACCTAAAGGCTCTGTGACTATCATCGTTGTGATTGTTGTGGTTCTTCTGTGTAGCTCTTGTGGTGGGGCTGTTGTCTACTTTGTCTTCTTGAAGAAGGGCGGCGACTCTGATGGAGACAAATCAAAGATGGACGATAAAGGCACAAAATCTAAAAAGGACGACAAAGGCATCAAGTCAAAAACGGACAAGGACTCCAAATCTGCTAACTCGGAAGCAGCGACGAATTCAAAAGTGAAGGATGCTGAAGGAGGCAAAAAGGAGGGAACTAGTTCTACTGCAATTGAAGAGGCAAAGTCTATGGGAAAAATATAAATAGAGGGATCATAAAAGGGATAAAACAAGATTCTTCAATGTGATATATAAAAAATAATATTTTCTTGTTAGACTTGTTATTTGTTAAATATTTTCCCGTTTCCACATAGCTTTGTTTGTTGACTTAAATATTGCAAAATTATTCAAAATTATAAGCGCACTTTGGATTTTTGTGTTTCTAACATTAGGAAAAATCTACAAAAATTCCTGTAAACATCTCCATGTGTATTAGTGATGCTCGGGAGGAAAAAAGCTCGGGAAACGGGGTCGGGTCGGGAAATGACCTCGGGAGTCGGGAATTTGAATTTTTGTACAAAGGTAAAAATTTTGTGAATTTTGGAAGGTAGAGAAGCCAGATATCTTCTATTTTCAGCGCCACAGGCAAAGAATATTCCTCACTCTCCTTTCGCCAATTTTGTGGCCTTTTAATCTTTCCATATCCCTTTTAATCTCAAATTCTTTGTCTGGCCACAGGCGAAAATTTTTTTAAATTTGGAAGCCTAAGCGACTTGCGTCATTTGAGTTAAATTTTGGCCTTGCGTTGCGTTTTTTGAGATTGTCTCTACTACCAAAACGTTTAGACTACAAAAACGTTTATATTTTCGATTCGAAAAAAATCTCAAAATGTCCAAAGGAATAAATGTACTCAAATATTCTCAATTCGTCGAACAATAAAATAGAAATGGAAGTTGGCATAGATTTTTTTAAATATGGTAAAAAGGGTGCGAAGGCTGTACTTTAGTATAGGCCCACCGAGATCGGAACATGTGGTATATACCATTCGATTCGTCTCGCCGAGCTGAGTTCAAATATGCAAGAATTTTCTGCGGGAGACGAAAACTCGCAGAGATACAGGCCCCCGAAAATTGAAAAACCATAGGGGGGACCAAGCACTTTTTTGGGGTGAAAAATTCGAATATGCAAATGATAGCTCATTCGAAAGAGCTCCTCGAGCTGAGTCGAATGACACCAAAATCAGCGAAATCAGACATAAGTGGACAAAGTTATGATCTTTTATTTTAGCTCCTTACCTATGGCATTTGTGGAGATTTTTGCTGCTACGGAGGCCCCAAATACGTCCAGAGCAAGGGAGATAGGAATAGGTTTATGTTACGAGCTCAGACCCATCGCCCGTAGACTCCCCGCGAGGCGCGTGCCGCAAAACCCCGCGCGAAGCGCGGGGTTTTGCACAAGCGCCTCGCCGACGCCCCATAGGTTTATGTTACTTGTTTTTTGTGTCATAACTTTGTCTAATCTTATTCAATCACGGTGATTTTGGTGTCTTTCGACTCAGCTCGTCGAGATCTTTCGAATGAGGTATTATTTGTATAAAAAATTTTGTATTCCAAAAATCGCCCTTTTGGATCTTCGGTTTTTAGGGGTCTATATCTCGGTCCAATCAAGTCGGATTTCGTTGATTTCGGTGTCATTCGACTCAGCTCGAGGAGCTCTTTCGAATGAGGTATAATTTGCGTATTCGAATTTTTCACCCCAAAAAAGTGCTTGGTCCCCCCTATGCTTTTTCAAATTTCGGGGGCCTGTATCTCTGCGAGTTTTCGTCTCCCACAGAAAATTCTTGCATATTTGAACTCAGCTCGGCGAGACGAATCGAATGGTATATACCACATGTTCCGATCTCGGTGGGCCTATACTAAAGCGACCCCGGGTGCGAACTCACGGCCCATAGAAACCCTAAACCAGAGATGTTTCGAAATTTCGATTTTCGAGGTTTTTTCCTTTCGATTTTCGAAATTTTGTGATATTTTCGACTCCGAATTTTTGAAAAATTAAAATTTTTGGCGCTAAAAAGGAAAATTCTGACTTAACGCTCATTATAAATTCAAAAAATTTTTAATTTATGAAGATTTTTGCGTTAAGGATGCTCCGTAATTTTCGCCTGCGGCACAGAAAAAGGAAGATTTGGCTTACGGATCCTCCAAAATTTTCAAAATATTCGCCTGCGGCGCTGAAAAGGTAAGATGTAATATATCTGAGTTTTGGATGGATTAAGGTGGATATCGGGAAATTTCAATGGTTGGTTTCGATTTTCGAGGTTTATTTGGGCCTGATATCGAGGGATTAAGTGGTGTAAGGTGGATATCATAGAGTTGGATATCTTAGGATCACCGATATTCTCGACTTCCCTTTTATTCTTCCGATATCCCTTCGAATCCGTTGATATCCTTATTTTGTCGTGATATCGAAAGATCAATAGATTATTTATCCTCCTCTGATATCACTTAAATCCCCCTTGATCAATTCAGAGCCCCTTTTCATCACTCCTGAGCAAAATCTGTTGCTGTTGTTCTATGAACAACATATAAAAACAACATATAAAAACCGATGTTTTCATCACTTAAACTAGTAACCTTCATCATAAATCCAACACTCTTCAATTGTCTCAACACAAACAAAATCTGTGTTTTCCTGCTTCTCGTCAAGTCAACGACCGCTCAGGAATGAAGTCTAAGAGCATCTACAATATTGCACTCGCTGTCACAATTCTTCTTGTGCTTCTGCTTGGAGGAAAGGTCAACAACGTCAATGCAGATGGAGGAGAGGAGAATAAAGTGCTGCAAGCAGAACAAGACAAAAGATTCGTTGGCCTGGCAAAACACCTCTTAAAAAAGGACAAAGTGACACTTGCTAAGGGTTCAGAAGCTGCAACCACCGAAGAAGACTACGAGAAGTACAAAAAGCTCTTTCCTGATGCATGTGATGTTGAACTTGGCGAAAATGCAAAGAAAGGAGAGGATGGATATATGTAAGTTATCCTTTGTTTGCAGTTAGTATCCTCTAATATTATTTTTTCCTTCCAGCGTTGTTAGTTACTCCAAGAACTCTAAAGCGGCTCAAAAAGGATGCACTTTGGATCTCTACACAAATCTTGATAAAAAGATCGAGTTCGAGGCTTTTTTGAAAAATGATAATAGAGGCGGTTCTGAAGTATGTGTGAAGGAAAAGGACAGTAACTACAACGATAATGTGTGAGTTTTTTACAAAGGAATTCTTTAACGCAAATGTGATAATTTTCATTTATCATCTTTTAGACTGCCCTTCGCTTATAGCCATCCAGCCATTTTAGAAGAACTCATAGATAAAGGACCATTTCAAGAAAAATCTGGTAAAGGATGTAACAGTGAAATCTGTTTAGAGGAAACCTGCATCCAAAAGACGGGCCTTGAGCTTAGATGGGTCAGATTCAAAAATGAGACTATCGATAATGTCACCCTTCAACTCAATCCAAGTAAAAAAACTAGATTTGTTTAATAAATTAATTTTAATAAATTTTCAGTTGGCAGCCCTGCATTTAAAGAAGCTAAGGAGGACATGAAGAAATTCAACGAAGAACCGCCGGTGTATCCAACAGTGAAGGTTGAACGAACGGAGTATTCTGTCCAATTTAAAACTGTGGATCCGGAAACAAAATATAAAGAATATAATTGTACCCATAATCCTGTCGGGAATGTCCTTACACCTATGGCATGGGAAATCATTGGAGCAATGCCAAATCAAAAGAAGAAACATCTACTTGTCTTCCATCTTCTTCCGCAAAAGGCATCTCGCCAAATACAATGGGAGAAGTCTATGTCTAGAGATGAGTCTGCATCATTTGGCTTTTATAAGTGGGATAAAAGAATGAGACCAAAAGTGCGAAAATTTCCGCCAAACGGGCCTGAATGCGAAGAGCTTCGAATTCTTTTTGTGAGTTACACAACTTTTGACTATTAAAAAATTTCAAACATTTTTAGTCAACGGAGTACTACGACTTGTTGACTGTCGTTCCGACTACTACGACCACAACTACCACAACAACTTCCACTCAAACGACAACTGCACAGGTTACAACTGAAAAACCTAAAGGCTCTGTGTTGACTATCATCATTGTAATTGTTGTGGTCCTTCTGTGTAGCTCTTGTGGTGGAGCAATTGTCTACTTTGTCTTTTTGAAGAAGGGCGGCGACTCTGATGGAGACAAGTCAAAGATGGACGATAAAGGCACAAAATCTAAAAAGGACGACAAAGGCAACAAATCAAAAACGGACAAGGACTCCAAATCTGCCAACTCGGAAGCAGAGACGAATTCAAAAGTGAAGGATGCTGAAGAAGGCAAAAAGGAGGGAACTAGTTCTACTGCAATTGAAGAGACAAAGTCTATGGGAAAAATATAAATAGAGGGATCATGAAGGGGATAAACAAGATTCTTCAATGTGATATAAAATAATATTTTCTTGTTAGCCTTGTTATTTGTCTAAATATTTTCCCGTTTCCCCTATAGCTTTGTTTGTTGACTTAAACATTGCAAAATTCATCCTTAATATATATTTCTCTGATATAATACAAGCCTTATGCTGTGCCATGATGTTCTGTATTTAGTTCTTCAGCATATTTTTGTGAATAAAGTTGTAATTGGTTGGTTGATTCGAATATTAATTAACTCCCGAAAAACGATTCAAAAAACGATTGTCAGTCGAATTAGCTCAACTAGCTAAGTGGATCGACAACGGAATTAAGCTACGATCTCACCTATGGTTTGATGTGTCAACTATGGGTTAATCAACTATTGACTCCCACGTGCCGTAAAAAACCTTGCGTAGTTTTCTACAAAGCGACTTACCGACAATAATTGTGGTACAAGGTCTTGATATTCGCGCGGCGCGCCAAACACCAATTTTTCAAATTCTTAAACGCGCCAAACGCCAAAATCGGCCAATATGGGCGCCAAAATTTTTAGAATGTTAATTCGGGCAAAAAACCATAGCCCAATACTTTAAGCGCCGCAGGCGAAAATTCTCTGTTTTCACGATGTTAGGAGTCAAAATCAGTGCTGGATATGGCTCCGGGAGCTAGCTCCGGAGCCGGCTCCGGCGAAGCCGGAGCTGGAACCAAGAATTTCAAACCCCGGAGCCCGGAGCCAAGGTTTTCCAATTCCCCACGGCTCCGGCTATACACCCCTAAAGATGGGTTAGAGAAAAAGTAAGCAAAGATGGTAGGCGAGAAAAGAAAAGGAAGAGAAAATTGAGACGGGTAAAAAAGATTTTCTTTCCTTTCCTTAGTAATGTAGTTGTGGTTGAATGGATAGTTAGTTAGGTTCCGAGTTTTATCCAGTTATAGGTTCGAAAAATATTACAAAAAATGATTAAATAATTGTTTTTCTTTGGAAAATAAATTATAATAGGCATTTTTTAAATAAATAAAGCTGGATAAATTTTTTAAATTGATTAATTTTAGTCTCCTGTGAGTCAAATTTTTCAAAATTTTTGCCTGCGGCGCAAAAAAGGATGATTTTTGGCTTAAGGATCTTACAAAATTCTCAAAATTTTCGCCTGCGGCGCAAAAAAGCGAGTGATAATGAGAATGATAAATTAAATCCCTCTTAATCAAGCTTAATTCCTCGATATCGCTCTTAATTCACAAGATAATCCACCCAAATCCCGCTTAATCCGTTGATAACCCTCTTAATCCTCCTATATCACTCGACATCCCCCTTTATCTACCTAGATCCCCCAATGAAAAATAATTCATTGATTTTCCACCCGGACCCGGAGCCAACATGGAGCGGCTCCGAAAATCGCCGGCTCCGGAGCCGGAGCCAAGATTTTGAAACCCCGGAGCTCGGAGCCGGAGCCAAAATTTTGAAACCCCGGAGCCAAGAAATGGCAAATACCCAGCACTGGTCAAAATTCATCCTTTATTAACTCGGAAAGCAAAAATTATGGAGTAGTGGTACAACATTAGTTTGAAGAGATAAAAAGATTAAGGCGCATATGAGAGTACTAGGAAAGAGAATTTGAAAGATTAAGAGTAAGGGAACTAATTCTACCCTAACGTGCCGTGAGCGTTAAATTAGATCAGGCGAAAATCTTGAAAATTTATGATCCTCCCGCTACCGCGTTCCGCACTTTTTGCCTCAAATTTTAGAAAAAATATGAAAAATTATCAAAATATGCAATTACACAAGACTTTTTATGAACATTTTCATCGATAATAACTTATTTCTTCATCGAAATCTCATATCTCAAAAATCAACAAAAAATCGGGGTTCGGTACTTCAAAAAATATTTTTAATTTTTATAAAAATTTTTTTCTAGAGCTAAAATAAAAATTTCGTTTAATGCCTATCTGAAGGGACTGGGACGTTCATAAAAAATGTTCATGAAAATTTTTATAGAATTTTTGACCGAACAAATGTCGATATTCTTAATTTTAACTAGCTTGGTCCTATCTTTTTTCCCCCAAAAAATAGAGTAGTATTTGTTTTGAAATGTTTTGTAAAGTTAATTGTTAATTAAAAAGGTAATATTTGTACTCATTTAATAGAGTAAATTCGGAAGAAAATTTGTTGTGAGTAAAATGTGCGCGTCTGGTCCTATCTTAATTTCCGGCAAATTTTTTCGATTCAGCTTGTCGAGATGCAACGAACCATACCAAAGCGTACTGAATTCGACTATTTTGAATGAAGTTATAGCTCTGCGGTAAGTTGGGCTACGCTGTACGTTGGTCTGAGCCACAAAACATACATCTGCATGTGTTTCAAGGGATAATCATCCTATAAAAGCCTATCTTTAACTAAACAACCTTCACATAAATCCAACACTCTTCAATCGTCTCAACAAAATTTGTGTTTTCCTGCTTCTCGTCAAGTCAACGACCGCTAAGGAATGAAGTCTAAGAGCATCTACAACATTGCACTTGCTGTCACAATTCTTCTTTTGCCGCTGCTAGAAGGAAAGGTCAACACCACCACCGCAGATAAAGGAGAGAAAGAAGTGCTGCAAGCAGAACAAGACAAAAGATTCGTTGGCCTGGCAAAACACCTCTTGAAGAAGGACAAAGTGACACTTGCTAAGGGCTCAGAACCTGCAACCACCCAAGAAGACTACGAAAAATACAAAAAGCTCTTTCCTGATGCATGCGACGTTAAACTTGGCGAAGGTGCAAAGAAAGGAGAGGCTGGATATATGTAAGTTAGCCTTTGCTTGGAATTAATATCCTCTAATATTTTTTCCTTCCAGCGTTGTTAGCTACTCCAAAAATTCCAAAGCGGCGCAAAAAGGCTGCACTTTGGATCTCTACACCAATCTTAAGAACAAGATCGAGTTCAAGACTTCCTTGAAAAATGATAATGGAGGAGGTCCCGAAGGATGTGTGAAGGAAGATTGCGATAACTACAATGATAATGTGTGAGTTTTTCACAAAGGAATAAATTTTTCTTTCACGAAACTTAAAAATTTTATTTATCATCATTTAGACTGCCCTTCGCTTATAGCCTTCCAACCATTCTAAAGGATCTCATAAATGAAGGACCAATTCAAGGAAAGTCTGGCAAAGGCTGTAAAAGTGAAATCTGTGTAGAAGAAAAATGTATCCAAAAGACGGGTCTTGAGCTTAGATGGAGCAGAACTACTAGCTTTGATATCGCCCTTGTGATCAATCCAAGTAAGAAAATTTTCATTTATATTGTTTTTTCTCAATTTTTCAGTTGGAAGCCCTGGATATAAAAAAACGTCTGAGCAAATGAAGATATTCTACGGAGAACCGCCGGAGTATCCAACAGTGAAGGTTGAACGAACAAATTATTCTGTCTGTTTTGATAGTACTGAAATAATAGAATACTCTAACTATAACTGTACACCTGATCCTGCTGGGAATGTCCTTACACCTATGACATGGGAAATCATTGGAGCAAAGTCAAATCAAAAGAAGAAACATCTACTTGTCTTCCATCTTCTTCCGCAAAAGGCATCGCGAATTATACAATGGGATCCAAATAATGATAATCCAAAAGTAAAGAAATTTCCGCCAAACGGGCCTGAATGCGAGGAGCTTCGAATTCTTTTTGTAAGTTACACAACTTTTGACAAGAATTAAAAATTTTTCAAACATTTTTAGTCAACGGACAAATATGACTTGCTGACTGTCGTTCCGTCTACTACGACCACCAGTACATCAACAACAACTTCCACTCAAACGACAACTACAACGGTTACAACAACTGAAGAACCTAAAGGCTCTGTGACTATCATCATTGTAATTGTTGTGGTTCTTCTGTGTAGCTCTTGTAGCGGGGCAATTGTCTACTTTGTCTTCATGAAGAAGGGCGGCGACTCTGATGGAGACAAATCAAAGATGGACGATAAAGGCACAAAATCTAAAAAGGACGACAAAGGCAACAAGTCAAAGATGGACAATGACTCCAATGACAAAACTACCAACTCGGAAGCAGAGACGAATTCAAAAGTGAAGGATGCTGAAGAAGGCAAAAAGGAGGGAACTAGTTCTACTGCAATCGAAGAGACAAAGTCTATGGGAAAAATATAAATAGAGATAAAGGGATCATAAAAGGGATAAAACAAGATTCTTCAATGTGATATATAAAAAATAATATTTTCTTGTTAGACTTGGTATTTGTCTATGTATTTCCCCTTTCCCCCATTGCTTTGTTTGTTGACTTAAATATTGCCAAATTCACCCTTAATATACTACACCTATGTATATGTCCTGTATATATATTTTGTTTGTTTGTATTTTATTTTGAATAAAATTTAAAAAAACTAAAAGAAAACTTGCAATTCAATTCCGGATCCACAGCCATTTCATAATTTCCATATTTATCATTTTCCGTCAACAAGTGTAATTTTGCACTTTTGAGCCATTTTGGGATTAAATTGTCATCTTCTTCAAATGCTTCTTTATTGCCTTTAAATTGATTTTAAAAATTAATAAACCAATCGAAAAAACCTACAAATCAAAACAGCTTGTTCCTCCCCTTTCTCCAACAAAATAAACAAAGATTTGCGTGTTGGATCACCTCCCAACACTTGTTTGTAAACAAAATCGTTTAAATCTGCCAACATTTTTAACTTTATAACAATCTAAAAACATAAAAGAAATCGTTAAAAACAATAAAGAAACGAAAAAAAATAAATTTTCAACTTGAAAATTTTGTTAAAAAAATATTTTTTCTCTAACCGTCTGTCACACTCACTCGTTTTTCATTTTGTTTAAAGACAAAATGGTCGCAACGACAAAATGGTACACTCCAAGAAATGCGACATAAAGACACTTGAAAGTCTAAAATCATTAAAATTTTTTTTTAATTTAGCAAGTTTCAATTTTGATTTTCCAAACTTTTTAACTTTTTTAAAGTCCTTAAAAATCAAGAACTAAAAATCACAAATTATATTTTTCTCCTTTTTTCAGTTATTTATTTTCAATGAAAAATACTTCAATTATTTTTCCCAATTTGTTTACTTTAAAAAGAACACTTTATTATTGCCACAATAAGTATTATCGACCGACAACAAATTCCCCGTTGTTTCAAGGACAAAAGCTGCCCCTTATAAACTCAGTAAATTATTCATATTTTTTTATGTTGCTGCTATAGATAAGAGAATGTTTTTATTTTCATTCTCACCCCATTTTCTTATTCTCATCCCAAACGTTAAATAAAACACAAAACAAAACTTAATGTTTATTTAATAAACAAGTTTCTTAAAAACAAGTTTATTTAAAATTCTGATTTTATTCCTAACAACTTGTTTGTTTAGAATTCTGATTTAATTAAAACAAGTTGTTGTTTAAAATTCTGGTTTTATTAAAACACAAGTTCATTTTTAATTCTGATTTTAACTAAAACAAACTTGTTTATTTAAAACATGTTTTAATTTTTCAAAACATGTTTTAAAACAAGTTTATTTCTGTTATGTTCAAAACATTTTTGTTTTTGTTGTTTATCTTAATGTTTTTAAAACTCAAAACTTTTTTTCACAGAAACTTATTGACGCAACAACAACATCAAAACATTTTCTATCTTTCACTGTTCAACAAAACAACAACACAAAAACAACAAAAACAAAAAACATGAGTTGCGGCTCTCCACTATTAACACCAGAACAACGTTCAAACTTGCTTCAACCTTTAATTACAGAAAAGGGTTGGAAAATAACACCTGGCAGAGACGCTATACAAAAAGAATTTAAATTTGAAGATTTTAATGAAGCTTTTGGTTTTATGACTCGTATAGCTTTAAAGGCTGATAAGATGAATCATCATCCAGAATGGTTTAATGTTTATAATAAGGTGTGGTTTTTGTTGTTGTTTTTAGAGGGATGTTTGTTTAAAATTCTGGTTTTAATAAAACATAAGGTGTTGTTTTTAGGGGAGGGAATGTTTGTTTAAAATTCTGATTTTACTAAAACAAGTTTATTTTTAATTCTGATTTTAACTAAAACAAGTTTATTTAAAATTCTGATTTAACAACTTGTTCATCTGACATTCTGATTTTATTCCCAACAACTTGTTTATTTAAAATTCTGATTTTAGACTTCTGATTTTATCTAAATCAAGTTGTTTGTTTAAAATTCTGATTTTATTTGAAACAATTGTGTTTTCGTTCATGTTTTTTAAATTTATTTTTTTCAACAGGTTGATATAACTCTAAGTAGTCATGATGTGCAAGGGATATCAGAAAGAGATGTTAAATTAGCTACATTTATTGAAAAATGTTTTAAATAAAATTTTTAAAATTATATTTTGGAATTTTCTGTCTTAAAATATCACATTTTTGTTAGTTTTTTTAAAATTATGCACCTTTAAATAAATTTTATAAACCTTCAAAATATTGGTTTATATTTCTTTATTGTTTCGGCTATATGTTGATATGAAACCAAATCACCACTAATTTGACATTGACGAAAAACTTGATGAGAAGTTACCTTGTCTAAACGTTGGTAGTAGTTAATAAATTGTGTGAAGGCTAACTAAAAGAAACAAAACAAATGTTTGTTTAAAATTCTGATTTTATTCAATGCTTGTTTATCTAAAATTCTGATTTTGCTTAAAAACATGGGTATAATTTCGGAAAACGAACAGATCCGAAATAGGTCAAATTATATGTCACTCGAAAGAGCTCGTCGAGTTATGTCGAATGGTTAAAAAATTTTTGTGCGGACTCATAGAGGGGCTGAGATATAGGTCCGCGAAAATCGAAAAACCATAGGGGGGACCAAGCACTTTTTTGGGGTGAAAAATTCGAAAATGCAAATTATACCTCATTCGAAAGAGCTCATCGAGCTGAGTCGAATGACACCAAAATCAACGAAATCTGACTTGATTTGACAAAGTTATGACCGTTTGTTTTAGCTCCTTACCTTTGGTATCCGTCGAGGTTTTTCCTGCTACGGAGGAAGCCAGATAACCCATTACAGCGATAATTGGAATAGGATTATGTTACTGACCCAGCCCCATCGCCCGTAGACTCCCCGCGAGGCGCGTGCCGCAAAACCCCGCGCGAAGCGCGGGGTTTTGCACAAGCGCCTCGCCTACGCCCCATAGGTTTACGTTGACCATTTTGAGCCTCTATCTCGGCTCAGAATCAAGATATCGAGTTGATTTTGGTGTCATTCGACTCAGCTCGACGAGCTCTTTCGAATGAGCTATTATTTGCATTTTCGAAATTTTCACCCCAAAAAAGTGCTTGGTCCCCCATATGGTTTTTCGATTTTCGCGGACCTATATCTCAGCCCCTCTATGAGTCCGCACGAAAATTTTTTCACCATTCGACTCAGCTCGACGAGCTCTTTCGAATGACATATAATTCGACCTATTTCGGATCTGTTCGTTTTCCGAAATTTTTCCAAAACATGTTTATTTAAAATTCTTATTTAGCTTAGAAACATGTTTATTTAAAATTCTGATTTTTTAAAAACATGTTTGTCTAAAATTCTGATTTTATTCAATGCTTGTTTATCTAAAATTCTGATTTTATTTAAGACATGTTTATTAGAAATTCTGATTTTATTTAAAAACATGTTTATTAGAAATTCTGATTTTAATCAAAAACATGTTTATCCGAAATTCTGATTTTAGTCAAAAACATGTTTATTTAAAATTCTGATTTTACTCAAAACATGTTTGTAATCTTAAGTTTGTAATCTCAAGTTTATATTTTTATATACCTGTAATATATTAGCAGCATTTTTCAAGTTTGTAAAAGAATGAAGTATTTCATTGTTTATAGCTTCAACAGAACGTCTCCATTCAGCACTAAATGTTCTTACAATTTGTACAACTTTTACTGTATATCTAGCTAATAATTGTGAATGATTTGATTCAATTAAAGGTTCACATTCATTTACAAATTGTATAAGAGGAGAAAAATGTGGTGATAATACTTCTTCAACATATGCTGCTATTTTTGTTTGTTGTAATTCCCAAAAGCTTGTCCTTTCTTTTGATTCTGGGACTACTTTTTCCTTTAAAATAAAAAAAAATTTTTTTTTGAATTTTTAAATTTTTTTTGAAGCATTTTTAAGTAGAGACCGAGCCGAGACGAGGTCTCTCGATTCTCTTACGACACTCCCAATCCAGTCTCTTTTGAAGCTTGAAATAGTCTCGCATTGAGGCATGATTTACCCAGATAGACACTTTTAAAAAAATTCTATTTTAATTTCCGAAATCCGAACCAGAGGAGGATCAGAACAGTCAGAGGTGTCGGAAATCGGAAGAGCCAGAAATGGGAACTGGCTCACAAGTCGGAACTTGGAAATCAAACTTTTTTTTTCGGAAATCGGAAGGGAAAAAAACGTAGGTCAGGGCTGTCGGAATCCCGATCCAACTTTGATTCGAACCTACGACAACGCTGCGACTGTGCTCGCTATAACCTCGCCTACACCACCTATTCACAGGTTCTCTCTCTTCACCCTATGATCGCTTAACTTCCAACTAAGCGTTTTTTAAATGCTGTAGAAGTGACTCGATTTTTGCACTATAAAAGCCTGTTTCTTCTCCTAAACAAAACAGAACCTCTTCAACATAAATCTCTCCAACACTCTCTCTACAATCGTCTCAACACAAACAAAAACTTGTGTGTGTGTGTGCTGCTTCCCGCTTCTTCAAGTCAACAACAAACGCTCTCATATCAGTAGTAATGAAGTCATCACCACTCAGCTACTTCAAAAGTGCTGTCACAATTCTTCTTTTGCTGCTGCTTGGAGGAATGATGGTCAACAACACCGCTACCGCAACTGGAGGAGGAGAGGAGAATGAAGTGATGCAAGCAGAGGAAAAAGAAAGACCCGTCGGCCTGGCAGGACACACCTTGGACGATAGAAAGAAGAAAGTGACACTTTTTGAGGGCTCAAAACCTGCAACTACCAAAGAAGACTATGAGGGGTACAAGAAGAAATATCCCGAGGCATGCGATGTTGAACTTGGTGAAGATCAAGAGAAAGGATACATGTAAGTTTCTCGGCCTAGATCGTTCAAAAATAAATTTTTTCCCCATTTTTCCAGTATTCTCAGCTACTCCAAAACCTCCAAGGCGGCTGAAAGCGGTTGCACTGTGGATCTCTACACCGATTTGGAAGACAAGATCGAATTCTCTGTTTTCTTGAGAAATGTGGAGGGTGGTGGTCCTGCAGGATGTCTCAAACAATTGGATGACAAAAAATTCGATGGCTACAATGACAACGTGTAAGTCTCTTCAAAGCTCTATAATCCTTTTCATCTTCATCATTTTTTAGACTGCCCTTCGCCTACAGCCATCCAACCATTCTCGAAGAACTCAGGGATAACGGACCAAAGCTAGACATTTCTGCCGCTGGATGCAAGAGTGATGTCTGCTTTGATAAGGTGTGTATCAAAAAGACGGGCCTCGAACTTAGATGGGCCAAATCTCTCAAGAATGTAGAACACATAGATCTTCTAATCAATCCAAGTAAGAAAAAAAAATTTTCAATCTGTCCAATAAAAAATAATTTTTTTTTTCAAAATTTTCAGTTGGCAGTCCTTCGTACAAACATGCTTCGGAAGAAATGAAATTGTTCGAGAAGCGTACGTATGGAAAAGTAAAGATCGAGAAAGCCGATAAATATTCTGTTCGATTTGATGGAAAAAAAGAAGCTTTGGAACCATACAACGAATACAACTGTACACAAAATCCCGCTGGAAACATCCTCACGCCCTTAACATGGGAGATCAATGGGACGAATCCTGTGGACCCAAAGAAGAAACATTTGCTGGCCTTCCATCTTCTTCCGCAAAAGGCATCTCGCATGATCCAATGGGTTTTGCCTCCACTTGGTAATAAAATACCAAAAGGAGTGAGTGAAGAATCGCCGAAAGGACCTGAATGCGAGGAGCTTCAAATTCTTTTCGTAAGTTTCAAGAAAAAAATTTTTTTCTAGAATAAAAATTTTCCTTAATTTTTTAGTCAACGGCCAACTACGATTTGCTGACTGTCGTCCCTCAAACTACGACCACCACTACATCGTCTACAACTACAACCACCACTCAACCGACAACTACAACGGTTACAACAACAACTGAAGAACCTAAAAGCTCTGCGTGGATCATTATTGTGGTTGTTGTGGTTCTGCTTCTGTGTAGCTCTTGTGCTGGGGCACTTGTCTTCTTTTTCTTCTTGAAGAAGGGCGGCGGTGGTGATGGCGCTGATGATGAAGACAAGTCAAAGATGGGCGACAACAAAAAATCAAAAAAGGATGAAGATGGGACCAAGTCAAAGAACGACAAAGGCACCAAATCACAGAACGACAAGGGCACCAAATCACAGAACGACAAGGGCACCAAATCGAAAGGAGACAACACCAAATCATTGACCAGCATGAACGACAAAACTACCAACTCTGCAGCAGCTGGAGGAGGAGTGAAGAGTTCAAGAGTGAAGGATGCTGAAGAAGGTGATAATAAGAAGGGAACTAGTACTGCAATTGATAACACAGCATCTCTGGAATTGTAGAAGAAGAGAGGGAAGAGGGAAGAATGAAGAGAAAGAGAGGGAAGAATGGAGAGAAAGAGAGGGAAGAATAAAAGAAGATATATAAATAAATAAACCCCCCTCTTCTCCCTCTCAAAAAAAACTTGTTTAGACCACACACTATATATTTGTCTAAATATGTATAATATTTCCCTCTTATTTCCCCTCATATTGTTGTGTTTCTGACTTAAATATATAATCTCAAAAAAAAATTCACCCCCTTAATATATTCTCTCTAATCCCAGCTTTATGCTATGTATAATCTTTCTGTCCTATATATCCTTCTAAAATGTTTCTGTATGTATCTATATATGTCTGTATGTATTTTTTGGTTGTAAATTTGTGAATAAAAATGTCCGAAAAAATTAGGTTGATTTTTAGAAAAAAATACCACTTTGGTGTAGTGGGATAAATTTAGGAAGAATATGTAAAAGGTTCGAATCCCTATGGGAAAAATTTTTTTATTTAAGTCCTGCAAGACTTACACTAATGGTCTAGTGGGGTAAAATTGTGAAAAAAGAGAATATTTTTTAGGTAGAAGGTTCGAATCCCAATGAGGGGAAAATGATTTTTTCCAAGTCCTGGAAGATTTGCAAAATTTATCCCACCTTAAAAATCCTCCAAAAAAAATTTTAAAAAATTTTTTAAATTAAACTCACATTCAAAACAGTTAGTATCACATCATAATTATTTATTTGAAATACTAGCCTCTCCTTTTTTGTTTTTAATTGTGTAGCTAAACGATTTAATAAACCTTCAATTTCTGCTTGTTGTCTAGACAAAATAGCAATTAATTGGCTATTAATTTTTTTATAAGCCAAATCACTACAAACCAACAAAGAACTTGTTAATTCTGCATATCTTCTAATTACCTAAAAAAGAAAAAAAAATTTTTAGAAAATAAAAATAAAGATAAAAACAACGAGGTTTGAAGGTCGATGGTTCGAACCCGCTTGAGGCCCGAATTTTTAAAATCAGAAAAACTGATTGTAAAATTTCAAAAACCAACAAAAAAATCTCCGAACAACTTACTTTTTTTAACAATTAAAAAAAAAGATTACACTAGTTAATGTTAAAAATTTTCTAATCAAAAACACTCCGCCGATGTTAAGGACAGGGGAAGAGCATCGGAGCATCTCGCCGAGCAACCATAAACTAATCTAACAAGGAAAAGTTGCGAGATGTCCAACCTAAAAACGGCTGAGACCGGGCTCATTTAATAGAGAATGTGCATTTTCTAGCAAGGATTTTGTGCTGTTTTTTTAGCCGGAAGCCGGAAAAATCTATAACATACAACATAACGAACAGCAAAAGTCTCAAGTACCCCAAAAATCCCTTTTTATTACCCTCAAAAAAAATTCAAAAAAAAAATTTTCAAAAAAAAAACAAACATAATGAGGCCTCGTATCCACAGTCATTTTTCTAACATCTAATTGTCTAATACTTTCATTATGTGATTTCATTACAACTTCAAATCTATCCCACAACATTTTTTCAACATTTTCCCAATATGTTTCAATAGCTAAAACTCCACGTGAAATCATTAATTGACGATATTTTGTACAAAAACAAATACAAATAAATAAAGATATTGCATCATAATTTAAATTTATACGTTCTTCTAAAGTTTTCTGAAAAAAAAATTTTTTTATTCAATCAAAATTGGCTCTGGTCTAGATTATGAGTCAAATAAGGCTTTATGAGTCCAATAAAAACTTTAGAATCCAAACAAAAGTTTTATGAATTTATTGGAAGCATAAAGCTTTATTGGACTCATAAACTAGACCAAAGCTAAAAAATTACTTTTTGGGGTTTTTGTGCTAAAGTTTGTCCTAAAGTTTCTCCTCAACTATTATTATTCGCAAAAATGTTTTTTTTTTAAATTTTTTTTTAATAATAATTTTTGCATGAAAACAATAGGATAAGAGATAATGCCTTCATAAAAAATTTTTTTGGTGAACATAACCAAAAAAATCAAAATCCCAAAAAATTAAAAAAATAAAAACCAGTAAAAGTGTAATAGAACGTCCCATAACATGAGTAAACAAATCTACAGCTGATTGATCCGTTACAAGAAAAAAATCACAAAGGAAGAGATACTCTCTGCTACAATGATCAACTATAGCATATTGAACGCTTCGAAAAAGTGATTCAAATTGGAACTGAAAAAAAATTATTTTTTTAATTATTTTAAGATTAATTTTGATAGGGTATAAAGAGAGAAATTTAATTTCAAAAATAAAAAAAAATTCAGATTTTTTTAAAATTAATTTCTAAACGAAATTTCGTTAAAAGTCCCCTCCCAGACTACAACTAGGCCTTGATTAAAAATAAAAAAGGAACCCAAAATTTTAAAAAAGAAAATATTTATGGTTTATTCAATTCGCCTCTTTAAGCTGAATCGAATGACACCAAATTTAACGTTTCAAGTTAATTCTGGACAGAGTTATGACAGAAAAAACCCTTGTTAGAAGGGCAAGAGGCTTCTTATAAACAAATTAAAACATCTTAAAAACAAAAAAAAAATTAAAAAATTTTTTCTTAACTGTTTCATTATTTTCCTGTGCAACATTAGGAACAATTAAAGGAGCCAAAATATCATCCAAAAGTGCATTTTGTCGATTTCCTAAAGAAAACACTGTTGCTTGTCCTTTATGTTGTTGATGGTGTTGTTGTGTTTTATTTGAAGATGTAAAAATGCTTGGTAAATTAGAAAGTGTTGTAGGTTGTTTAAAACATGTGTTGTCCGAGCCGAGTAAATCAGACTTTGTTGCTTTATCTGACATCTGAAAACATGTTTATTTGAAATTCTGATTTTAATTAAAACATGTTTATTTGAAATTCTGATTTTAATTAAAACATGTTTATTTGAAATTCTGATTTAATTAAAACATATTTGCCAAAAATTCTGGTTTTGTTTAAAACATGTTTATGTGAAATTCTGATTTAATTAAAACATATTTGCCAAAAATTCTGGTTTTGTTTAAAACATGTTTATATAAAATTCTGATTTTAATTAAAACATGTTTAGTAAAAATTCTGATTTTATTCACAAACATGTTTACTTCTTTAAATTTCAACTCACAAGTAATTTAAAAAGCCTAGTAACATAAGCCTTAAAATAAGTAAAAAACATTTTGCTTGTGGTGTCAACATATTCATCCTTAATTTCATAAGCAACTTGACGATCATTTCCAAGAAGAAATTCGTAGAAAAATCAAAAAATAAAAAATATTTAAAATTAATTTAAAATTAAAAAAAAACCTATTTTTAAGCAAAGCATTTTGAGGGATTTGATAATTTGTCAAAGGTTTGCGAAACAAAGAAATTCTTAAAAGTAGCCATTCTCTAATTTTTTCTAATGCCTAAAAGAACAAAGTTTGTTTAAAAAAACTTAATTTTTTATTCAAGTTTAATCAAAACAAGTTTGTAAAAACAAGTTTATTTTAAACATTCATTTTCAAGTTTAATTAAAAACATGTTTGTTCGATGAAAAACATGTTCATTTAAAATTCTGATTTTTTTATCAAAACAAGTTTATTTAAAATTCTGATTTGCTTAAAACATGTTTTGTTAAAAATTCTGATTTTGTTAACAACATGTTCATTTGAAATTCTGATTTCATGTATTTATGTAAAACATGTTTATTCAAACTTCTGATTTTATTTACAACATGTTCATTTAAAATTCTGATTTTATTTAAAACAGGCTTATTTTCTATACCTTTTAATTATTTTAAAACAAAAACCTTATATTTCAAATTCTCCACAACATCTCTTACATCCCCAACAGATTTTGCGTCCTTAAATTGTTGAGTTTTAATAAATTGTAATTTGTGCTGAAGTTCATGAAGCTGTTCTAAGAATTCTGTGCTGTTTACATCTTTTTCTGTTATTATTCTGAAAAAAACATTTTTTAAATTTGTCCGCAAAATTTTTGCGGACAAAAATTTTTTGTCCGCAAAAAATTTTTTTGAAAATCTTAAAAAAACCAACTTTATCATCGAATGTGGAACCACCATATCATCAACAAACTAAAAAAATTTCCATTTAAATTGAAAAACCTTCAAAAAAAACCTGGCTAAGCTCTGCTCTAACTCTTTGATGATTATTTAATTGTTGATTAATTTCAATTGATTGCTCCTTCAAATGTTTCATATCCCCACTAATTTTGCCCAGATCACCCAAAAAATTGACTAACATATTTTCCATTCCCTAGAAAGAAAAAAAATTTTATTAAAAATATTTTGCGGATTTTCCTTAAAACGATTTGCGGACTAAATTCTAACGATAAGATTCGCGGATAAAAATCTTTACTGTACATATTAATCAATAAAAGGATGCTTTTTAACGTAAAATTATATTTCAATGAATAAAATAATCAAATCTTTGACCCAGACTCCAAAAAATGATTAAAAAAGCTTTCCCAACATAAGTCTGAAAAGTTCATTTTACACAGACCACCCACATGAAATTTTAAGGAAAATTTTTTAAAGAGTATAAAAAATTACGTTAACCAAGAAACTTTTTCACACTTACATACAGGAAAAAATCCGCAAAAATAAAACTTACCCGCAAAATTGAAAATTTGTACGAAAATAAAAATTTTGCAAACTAGGAACTATGATCAGACCCAAAACTTAATCAAAATTTAAAAAAACCTCCAAAATCCCGTCACACTGTTCAATTTCATTAGCCAAATCAGCAATTTTATCTCCATTATTAATACAATCTTCAACTGTTAATTGACCAATTTGTTGTAATTCTTGTTCTATATTTGCTAAACAATCACGCAAATCTTGGGTATTTTCAATTCCATTAATTAATAATTTATCATCTATTTCAATGTCTGAGGAATTTGTTGTTGTTTCCAAATTATTTAAAATTTGTAAATTTTTGTTTTCTTCCATTAAAAAAATTTTCTAAAAATTTTATATTGACTAAACAACCAAAATAAAAGTAAATATTTAATATGGTCAAATAACACAAAATAAATTTTAAAAATAGTAAAATTAATAAATTTTATTATTTTACAATATTAGGAATTATTAAATATTTTTAAAAAAAAATTACAAAATTTAGTAAAAAAAAATACTGGCTTTTTTAGATACAAAAAATTATTTAAATACAAAAAAAATACTGGTAAGGCCTTGAAAAAAAAATAATTTTTAAAAGCATGAAATATTAAAAGCTTGCGTGTAAGTTTTTAGGACTCTAGGATTGTCTGTATTAACAAAATCTTCAGTTAACCGAAACAAAAAATTTTCGGAACAGACAACCCCTATTTAAAATAACAAAAAAATTTTTTTCAAAAAAAGGTTAAAAGAAAAAGAGTGGAAATATCCATTCATGGTCAAATTGACAAAATCGTCAACAAAATTTCACGTTTCAAAAATAGGAAATCCCATTATTAAGATGTTTAAAAAAATTTTAAAAATTTTGCGGACAAAAAATTCACATGGAAAAATATTTTGTCTACAAAAATTTTTTTAATAATACCACGCTCTCCCCCTCTCCAAATAAAATAAAATTAAAATAAAATTATTTTAAACTTCCCTTCCTCCTTCCCTTATTATTAGGAGAACATTCAGTTTCATTAATACAACATTCAACAGCCCCAATAGCCGAAAAATACATTTTTGCTATAATTTTATTTTCCATACAAACAGTTCCTCCTCCACGTTTTGATTGAGATTTTTGTCTATTTATATCTCCAATACAAATTGTTTTTTGACTAACAGCCCATTTTGAGTGATCTTTTGTATTGTCAAATTTTATGTTGTCAAAAGGTTTTGAAAATTGAATTGATTGAATATTGTGAATCTGAAAAAGGAAGAAAGGACAATTTTTTTGAGGAAAAAAAATTTTTTTTGGCATTTTTTATAATTTTTAACAGTCAAAAACATTTTTCTAACCTTCAAAAAATATTTTTCTCTTAAATTTTCACAAATAGTTTTTGTGGTGTAGTGGGTTAATACAGAAAAATTCAACCTTTTTTTATAGGTGTAGGTTCGAACCTCTGTGAGGTAAAAAATATTTTTAAAGTATTTTAGAATTTTTTTAAGGTAAAAAACATTTTTCTACCCTTCAAAAAATATTTTTCTTTTGAAATTTCTAAAATGGTTTTTGTAGTGTAGTGGGATAATACAGAAAAATTCCACCTTTCTTATGGGCGTAGGTTCGAACCTCTATCAAAAAAAATATTTTTTGACAATTTTTTAAATTTTTTAACAGTCAAAAACATTTTTTTTGACCTTCAAAAAATATTTTTCTCTAAATTTTCAAGAATTGTTTTTGTAGTGTAGTGGGTTAATTCAAGGTATTTCAACCCGTTTTTAAAGGTATAGGGGGTGAAGGTTCAAACCTCTTCAAGGGATATAATTTTAATTAATTGAGTACAAGACGGAAAATCCCTAAAAAATAATTTTAAAAAATACTTTGAAATTAGTATCACAGTCAGAAGGGAGATCTCCACGTCCTACCAACCATGTTTCTGTGTAAAATGAAGATTTCAATTCTGGAGCTACCAAATCATAATATAAATCTGAAAAATTTTTAATGAAATTAAAAAAATAAAATCCTATTTTTAGATAATATTTACCACCCATAGGGTGTTGAAAAAAAATTTTTACACTATCGGGTTCGAACCTTCACCCCCTCTGATAGGATTTACATTACTAAAACATGACTAACCCACTAAACTACAAAGAAACTATCCTTTTAGATACATTAAAAATTTTTTTACGCCGCCAGGGTTCGAACCTACAACTTTAAAATTGGGTTGAAATTACCCTACAAAAATTAAAATTAACCCACTAAACCACAATTACCATTTTTTTCGAAATAAGTGAAAAATTAATTTTTTAAAGGTCAACAACTGCTTTTTAACTGTTAAAATGTCAAAAAAATATTTTCCCACTAATCAGAAATTAAAAAAACTATCAAAACATATGGGGGTGTTTTCTAAGGCTGCCCTACCAAAAAATAATTTCTACTTTAAAGAAAAATCCACAAACAAACCTTTAGCAAACCTTTTATGTTTTGAAAAACTTGTAATTTTTGTACCATCTAAAAGTTGTATATTAGCAACAGAAAATGAAGGTTTTGATTTTGGATAAGATTTTTTATTTATTGAATTAGCCAAATCTGCATATTTTTCTTCGAATGATGAAGGTAATTGGACATCATAAAAGTTTGGTTGAGCGACAAAAAGTTGATGACCTTTAAAAAAATATTTTTTTATTAAAAGGATTTTTGCCTCAAATTTTTTGGCTTTCAGGTTTTTTTTGCCTAATTAAGGTTTCGAGCTCATCAAAAATCAAAGTTTAAAAGATTTTAGTCAAAAGTACGATTTAGATACCCAAACTCGAATTGTTTTCTTTAAATTGGTAGCAAGATTTTTGAAAAGCCTGGGCCTGTTGATATATTTAATTTATTGACCTGGCCCGAATCCTGGACCTGTAGTTGAAAAAACCAGGTCTTGGTCCCAGCTCGATCTCTAATATTCAATGAATGAAACGTTAAAATGAGGGGTATCGCTGTCTGTAGCTTAGATAAAATAACAATGACCCCAATATCCTTATAACCTCACTTAAAAGATGCGATTCTTACAGGCTTAATTAGGGAGGTCTGACTATATTACAAAACAAAAAAAAAAACCAATTTGTTCAAGAGCACCACTTGAAAAAGACAAACAAAAGAATGACTGGCCATTTCTTTTCCCCGATTCTGGATACAAATATTTTTCTTCTGAAGACAAAGGAAATTTTGGAACAGAATGAACAAGCCAAAAGCCATTTTTATTGCTAGAAACAACAACACCCTAAAAAATAAAATTCTAAATAAAATTAAAAATGATTTCCTAGAATGGGGTTTGAACCATAGACACAAAATTCGACCTTTAGGCAGTGTTACACTACTAAAACAAATAAGGTTAAATTTAGCGGACAAGACCTGCGGACAACTTGAGGGTTTAAAAATTTATCTTATAATGATGGGTATCTTAAAAGTAGAAGTATTGCTCAGAATAATTCAACCTCATAATCTACTCTCCTATTCCCCATGGCCATCAAATTAAAAAAAACAGCAATTTGAATTTTACATACAAACACTCCCAAGAAAGATGTTTGTTCGCAAAATTTGGCTGTTTTATTAATTTAAATAAAAACCTTCATATGTGCTCGTCCAGAATCAGTTTTTCCATCATTCGGATTTTCATCATTATATAAAGCAATTAAATCACTCTTCGCCTTTTTGGCTTCAAATATTTGAAGTATTGTTCGACCAATTGCTGAAGTTTCATCTTCAATATTAGCTTTAGATAAAGTCCAATCTTCTCCATTTTTAGAATCGGCATAAAGAAATGATGTTCCATTAGAAATTGAATTGGGTAATTTGTAAGCTACGAACCTTTAAAAAATTTGGAGAAAAGTTTAATGACCCAAAAAGACAGGCATCGACCCTTGGATATTCTGTCAGTCATTTGCTGAGCACTAGAGATAAAGATTTTTGAAAAGCCTGGGTCTATTCCTGGACTCTGGGACAGGAAAAACCCAGGTCTCGGTCCAGACTCAGCTCCATCTCTACTGAATGAGCACCTGTTCAGTGAGCACCTGTTGCTCTGATGAGCACCTGTTGCTCTACCGATTGAACAATGGGGTCCCATCTTATGAGTGTTTTTAAATGGCAAATTAGCCGTTTTTCTTACAAATTTCATACACCCAAAAGCCTGCAAATTTTATCCGCAAAATTTTTTAATAAAATTAAATACACCTTGCGGATAAAATTTCCAAAACTTTGAAGGAGTATAAAAAACCATTTCCTATATATAAAAATGGCAACCCTTCAACAACCCTAAAATTAAAAAAAGCAAACCAGTCAACATCAGCTCCAGTAGGCGATTTGCATGAATATGTTGAAGCTCCAGTAAAAATTGACAAAAATGAAAAGCTGAGAAATAAACAAAAACCAAACAAAAATAAACTTGAAATTATAAACCTGTTTGATTTCATTAAAAAAATTCTAAGCTTTAAAAAAAATTTTTTTTAATTAGAAAAAAAAAATTTAAAGTGATCAAAACACTTGTGTCACTTGAAGTAAGAGAGAAAATATAGATAAAGTTTTTTTTTATTCCTCAAAAAAAATTTTTATTTTTAATAGACAATATATAGAATAAAAAAAAAATAAAGTGATACGGCCATAAAGTGCCACGATTTGAGGTGATTTCATCCTTACATTTAGTGAGAAGGTCTTGAAGCTTTTTGATTTTTTCATTTTGTTCATCAACCTTAAAAAACAAACATAAGACTTTTATGATCAAACTTAAATCTATTCTTTTTAATTCCAATCTACTAAAAACTAAATAATAATAAACCTTTTCTCCACTTCCAATTAATTTCAACTTTTCTTGCAATTCACTTCTATCACTTTCTAGTTTAGCTATACGCTGATCGGCTTTTTCTTGAGTTGCAGATTTATTGCCAGAAAATATTTCTTGAGTTGCAGAAAGCAAATTCTAATAATTTTAGAGATAAGTAATTTGTTATTAGTAAATTGTTTGTTAGATAAGTAATTTGTTAACCTTATAACGAGGCATTTCATCTAATTGATCAAATTCTGCATTCTCTGCAGCATTGCTTTCTGTATCCGAAGATATGTCATTTAATGGAGAGGCAGACAATCTTATGCTGTTGGGAATAACTTGTGCATTTAAAAGGCCACTTTCCAAAGAAGCGTTAGAAAGGCGTCTTAAAGATTTATTGCCAATTTGTTCCAAAAAGTCTTCGGTTGGCGCAGCGTTCTAATAAAAATAAAATTAGAAAACGAGAAAATATTTCCAAACTAAAAAATTTAACATACACGTTAATTAAAATTTTTTAAATCAGACCTCTTTGCAGATAGCTGCATTGTGTTCTTTCAGCATAACAACTTCATTATTTAAAAATTTTACCTCTCCTCTACAATTATTCGGTTTTTGCCGTTTTGAGCACCTATAGGTTTCTGATTTTTTATTATAATAATATTTTAAATTTTTGTATGTCAATACGTTGTTGATGGTGCCTTTAGTAAACATAGTAGAAAGGAATAAATAACTAAAAACTTGTGGATTATTAATTTTAGTGATTGATTAAAAGTAATATCAGGAGATTACAAGAGATATAAAGAAAATGAAAAACTTATGATTTATTTTAAAGAGTAAGAAAGAAGAGTTAAAATTTTTTCTGCGGCGTTGAAAAAAGAAATTCTAGCTTCTTAGCCCTCCAAAACCCTCAAAATTTTCACCTGCGGCGCGATAAAATATAGAAATTAATCTTTGATATTTCCCCAAATACCCTGACGTCATCCATAGTCCTCCGGTATCTCTAAATCCATTATATAGCATAACTGATACGGCACTCGGGGACATGGGGGAAATCAAGTGAAAAGATGAAAGAAAAGTCTGATCATTACGTATATTCTTAAGGAAATTGAAATCTTTCGAAAATCGAAAATTTAGAAAAAGCTGGTTAAATGCAGCAACAAATGTTGGTATTATGAAAAAGTGCAATAAATCGTATGGGTATAGATCAGATTTTAATTATAATTTTCTTAATTTTTAGTATGTATTTAGTATTTTTTAGTAGAATGTTGGTGGAGCGGCGTCGTTTTCTTTTTGAAAAAGTCGATGAGAAGAATTGCCTTCTCATTTGGAGACGAGTGAGTCTTAGTTGCTGAACTGCTGTCGGGGTTGCTAGACTTACATTTTCAGCAAATGAACTTTTAGAGTCTAACATTATTTACCACACCAAAATCTTTAGTGTAGACGAACTCAAAATTTTAACAACTTCATTGTTTAAAAATTTTACCTCTCCTTTACAATTATTCGGTTTTTGCCTTTTAGAGCACCTATAGGTTTCAGATTTCTTATAATAATAATATTTTAGATTTTTATATGTTAATATGTCGTTGGTGCTGCCTTTAGTAAACTACTTAAAGAACTGAAAAATTTTAGCATACATTTTCCCCGTTTGTAGTTCCATGAGCTTCATTCAATCTATAATTTCAAAAAATTTTTCCATATTTAATGTCCTAAGCCAACTTAAATTTTTTACTCAATATTTTCTTAATACACTTCGTTTCAGTGCTCACGTTTAACTGCCTGAATTTATTATAGTCGTAAAATAATTGGACAATTGTGCGATTTAAACGCGAACACTCAAAAATTTAGGCTTATAAACGGGAGCAAGTCAAAACCCCGGATATATTGTAACACACCTAAATTCTAGTTCTTCAATTTTTTGCCTGTCTAAAATTTCCTTCTTCTCCTTCAAATCTATATCTTCTTTTAATTTTTTTATTTCATCCTTCAATGGTTGTATATTTAAATTTTTTTAACAATTCTTCTTTGCAGTAATTTGTCGTTATTAATCTAAATTACATGTTTAATAATTTTGTTTTAATTTTAAAAATAACTATTAGTTTTCAAAATTTTATAAGGGTGGTAAATGGGAAATAACTATTAGTTTTCAACTCAAATAACTATTAGTTTTGTTTGTGATTGAAAGATGTTATGTTTGTGATTGAAAGATGTTCCTCCAGGAAAAACGCTCCCAGGAGAGATGTTTGTTCCGCAAAATCTAACCGTTTTAATAATTTATATAAACCTTCATATGTGCTCGTCCAGAATCATTTTTTCCATCATTTGGATTTTCATCATTATACAAAGCAATTAAATCAGTCTTCGCCTTTTTAGCCTCAAATATTTGAAGTATTGTTCTACCAATAGCTGAAGTTTCATCTTCAATATTAGCTTTGGATAAAGTCCAATCTTCTCCATTTTTTGAATCCGCATAGAGAAAGGATGTTCCATTAGAAATTGAATTGGGTAATTTGTAAGCTACGAACCTTTAAAAAATTTGGAAAAAAGTTTAATGACCCAAAAAGACAGGCATCGACCCTTGGATATTCTGTCAGACATTGCTGACAAGGAACCGCTCCAAAATACTGAAACTTTGAAACCCTATAATTTTTAGAATTAGGGGGTCAGAGCCAAAAATTGGCAATAGGTTATCGACATGCTCTACACGGTGGTACAAAAAGATACAAAATTTCCCATATAGTTCGATATGTTTCCTTGTAAGCACTTGTTCGTTCAACAAATACGAGGTGCTCTAACGATTGAACTAATAGGGCCCCATCTTGGGAGTGTTTCACATGGTCAATTGGATTTCACCCTTCTTCCTTACAATTTTTATACTCCCAAAAAGTCTGCAAGATTTTTTTAATCTTACTTTAATAAAAATCATACACCTTACAGAAAAACTTCATGAATTTTGAAGGAGTACATATAAATGAGCATCTACTTAAAAATGGCAACCCTTCAACAACCCTAAAATTAAAAAAAGCAAACCAGTCAACATCAGCTCCAGTAGGCGATTTGCATGAATATGTTGAAGCTCCAGTAAAAATTGACAAAAATGAAAAGCTGAGAAATAAACAAAAACCAAACAAAAATAAACTTGAAATTATAAACCTGTTTGATTTCATTAAAAAAATTCTAAGCTTTAAAAAAAATTTTTTTTAATTAGAAAAAAAAAATTTAAAGTGATCAAAACACTTGTGTCACTTGAAGTAAGAGAGAAAATATAGATAAAGTTTTTTTTTATTCCTCAAAAAAAATTTTTATTTTTAATAGACAATATATAGAATAAAAAAAAAATAAAGTGATACGGCCATAAAGTGCCACGATTTGAGGTGATTTCATCCTTACATTTAGTGAGAAGGTCTTGAAGCTTTTTGATTTTTTCATTTTGTTCATCAACCTTAAAAAACAAACATAAGACTTTTATGATCAAACTTAAATCTATTCTTTTTAATTCCAATCTACTAAAAACTAAATAATAATAAACCTTTTCTCCACTTCCAATTAATTTCAACTTTTCTTGCAATTCACTTCTATCACTTTCTAGTTTAGCTATACGCTGATCGGCTTTTTCTTGAGTTGCAGATTTATTGCCAGAAAATATTTCTTGAGTTGCAGAAAGCAAATTCTAATAATTTTAGAGATAAGTAATTTGTTATTAGTAAATTGTTTGTTAGATAAGTAATTTGTTAACCTTATAACGAGGCATTTCATCTAATTGATCAAATTCTGCATTCTCTGCAGCATTGCTTTCTGTATCCGAAGATATGTCATTTAATGGAGAGGCAGACAATCTTATGCTGTTGGGAATAACTTGTGCATTTAAAAGGCCACTTTCCAAAGAAGCGTTAGAAAGGCGTCTTAAAGATTTATTGCCAATTTGTTCCAAAAAGTCTTCGGTTGGCGCAGCGTTCTAATAAAAATAAAATTAGAAAACGAGAAAATATTTCCAAACTAAAAAATTTAACATACACGTTAATTAAAATTTTTTAAATCAGACCTCTTTGCAGATAGCTGCATTGTGTTCTTTCAGCATAACAACTTCATTATTTAAAAATTTTACCTCTCCTCTACAATTATTCGGTTTTTGCCGTTTTGAGCACCTATAGGTTTCTGATTTTTTATTATAATAATATTTTAAATTTTTGTATGTCAATACGTTGTTGATGGTGCCTTTAGTAAACATAGTAGAAAGGAATAAATAACTAAAAACTTGTGGATTATTAATTTTAGTGATTGATTAAAAGTAATATCAGGAGATTACAAGAGATATAAAGAAAATGAAAAACTTATGATTTATTTTAAAGAGTAAGAAAGAAGAGTTAAAATTTTTTCTGCGGCGTTGAAAAAAGAAATTCTAGCTTCTTAGCCCTCCAAAACCCTCAAAATTTTCACCTGCGGCGCGATAAAATATAGAAATTAATCTTTGATATTTCCCCAAATACCCTGACGTCATCCATAGTCCTCCGGTATCTCTAAATCCATTATATAGCATAACTGATACGGCACTCGGGGACATGGGGGAAATCAAGTGAAAAGATGAAAGAAAAGTCTGATCATTACGTATATTCTTAAGGAAATTGAAATCTTTCGAAAATCGAAAATTTAGAAAAAGCTGGTTAAATGCAGCAACAAATGTTGGTATTATGAAAAAGTGCAATAAATCGTATGGGTATAGATCAGATTTTAATTATAATTTTCTTAATTTTTAGTATGTATTTAGTATTTTTTAGTAGAATGTTGGTGGAGCGGCGTCGTTTTCTTTTTGAAAAAGTCGATGAGAAGAATTGCCTTCTCATTTGGAGACGAGTGAGTCTTAGTTGCTGAACTGCTGTCGGGGTTGCTAGACTTACATTTTCAGCAAATGAACTTTTAGAGTCTAACATTATTTACCACACCAAAATCTTTAGTGTAGACGAACTCAAAATTTTAACAACTTCATTGTTTAAAAATTTTACCTCTCCTTTACAATTATTCGGTTTTTGCCTTTTAGAGCACCTATAGGTTTCAGATTTCTTATAATAATAATATTTTAGATTTTTATATGTTAATATGTCGTTGGTGCTGCCTTTAGTAAACTACTTAAAGAACTGGAAAATTTTAGCATACATTTTCCCCGTTTGTAGTTCCATGAGCTTCATTCAATCTATAATTTAAAAAAATTTTTCCATATTTAATGTCCTAAGCCAACTTAAATTTTTTACTCAATATTTTCTTAATACACTTCGTTTCAGTGCTCACGTTTAACTGCCTGAATTTATTATAGTCGTAAAATAATTGGACAATTGTGCGATTTAAACGCGAACACTCAAAAATTTAGGCTTATAAACGGGAGCAAGTCAAAACCCCGGATATATTGTAACACACCTAAATTCTAGTTCTTCAATTTTTTGCCTGTCTAAAATTTCCTTCTTCTCCTTCAAATCTATATCTTCTTTTAATTTTTTATTTCATCCTTCAATGGTTGTATATTTAAATTTTTTTAACAATTCTTCTTTGCAGTAATTTGTCGTTATTAATCTAAATTACATGTTTAATAATTTTGTTTTAATTTTAAAAATAACTATTAGTTTTCAAAATTTTATAAGGGTGGTAAATGGGAAATAACTATTAGTTTTCAACTCAAATAACTATTAGTTTTCAACTCAACAACTTCATTATTTATAATTTTTACCTCTCCTTTAAAATTATTGGGTTTATGCCTTTTAGAGCACCTATAGGTTTCAGATTTCCTATAATAATATTTTAGATTTTTATATGTTAATATGTCGTTGGTCTTGTTGTAAATTATTTTTAGTTTTCAATTTCTTTTTGAGCAGCTTCAGCATCCCCCAACTGTTGCTTAATATTCGTTAACTCTTTTTCAAGTTAACTCTTTTTCTAGTGAAAGTTCATATATTGCTGGTATATTTAAAGGATTATTATCTACATGAGGTAGAGGAGGTTGTTCTAAAGGGGGAGGAGGTACACCTGGCGTTTTTTCTGAAGTAATGAAACATTTAAAAGGGGAAATTTAAATCAGAATTTATTTTAATCAAAAAATATTTTATCGGAATATTTTTTAATCTTATTTAACATTCTACCTCTAAACATATCTTTGCTTGATGGTCCCTTAAAATGAACACTTCAGGACGATCCTCATCCTCAGATTCTACATAAACTTCACATTTCCTTTTAATTAATTTATATAAACCTTCATATGTGCTCGTCCAGAATCAGTTTTTCCATCATTTGGATTTTCATCATTATACAAAGCAATCAAATCAGTCTTTGCCTTTTTAGCTTCAAATATTTGAAGTATTGTTCTACCAATAGCTGAAGTTTCATCTTCAATATTAGCTTTAGATAAAGTCCAATCTTGTCCATTTTTAGAATCGGCATAAAGAAAGGATGTTCCATTAGAAATTGAATTGGGTAATTTGTAAGCTACGAACCTTTAAAAAAGTTAGAGAAAAAGTTTAATGACCCAGACAGGCATCGACCCTTTGAGCATTCTGTCAGTCATTACTGATCACTAGAGATAGAGATTTTTGAAAAGCCTGGGCCTGTTACTGGACTCTGGGTACAGAAAAACCCCAGGCTTGGTCCAGACGCAGTTCGATCTCTGATTGTGAGTCCCTCCCTGTTCGTTCGACAAATACAAGGTGCTCTAACGATTGACCTAATAGGGCCCCATCTTGTGAGTGTTTCTAATGGTCAATTGGATTTCACCCTTGTTTATAATCCCAAAAAAAGTCTGCAAGTTTTATCAGCAAAATTTTTTAAATTTCTTACTTAAAACCTGCAAGGGCTTTCTAAATAACCCTTTTAAATCATTTAATAAAAAATTATATACACCTTGCGGGTAAACTTTCAGAATTTTGAGAGTATAACGGATCATTTCCTTATATATTAAAAATCCCCCTTAAATCCAAAAAAAATAAAAAAATAAAAACCAATCAACATCAGCTCCAGTAGGCGATTTGCATGAATATGTTGAAGCTTCAGTAAAAATTGACAAAAATGAAAAGATAAGAAGTAAACAAAATCCAAACAAAAAGAAAATTGAAATTATAAACCTGTTTGATTTCATTAAAAAGAAAATTTCTAACCTTTAAAAAAATTTTTTTAATTAGAAAAAAAATTTTTAAAGTCATCAAAACACTTGCGTGCTTGAAGCAAGAGAAAATATAGACCAAGTTTTTACTTTTATTCCTCAAAAAAATTTTATTTTTAATAGACAATATATAAAATACGACAAGCATAACGACAATCATTCGCAGCTTGAAAAAGCGGTCTCCTTTTTTGAAGAAAAAGTGGTCCTTGATTGATTGAGTTTGAACCTCTTTAGTCATTCCCTCCAAAGGATAGTAGGTGCCACCAAGCTAAGCATCTGAATATTAATGTAAACTGTAAAGGGAAACCTACCAGACTTAAGCTGGTCAAAGACTCCCTTAACTTTGTCCTGTATTTCAGTATAATTCTCTTTAGTCAAGCACGGGTTGAACGGATACCCATGCACAAGAAAAATAAACATATTTTAACAACACACAAAAACCTGAAGAAAACGCCCACAT